CAACCAATAGTTGACGATGGCCTGGGCGCCGTTGAAGAAGCCCACTGTAGCGTCTGTACCGTACTCGTTGAAAATGGTGTGGATAACACCACCGCCACTAGCACCAACAGTCTTCTTAGAGAGCAATCCATACATGAGCTGGCCTCCGTGAATAAGAAGACCGCCGTCAGCCAGTGGAGAAAACTTCTCCGCGAGCGCAGAGTTGTCCTTGTCCACACGAAGAAGGTTCAACCCGGAGGGAAGCGCCATACTGATCATCTGTTTCCCTGTCCATCTGGGTCTAGGCTTGATAATAGCCGGTGGTGGGATAACTCCGTCCCAGTCAGGAACCCAAAGCATAATGTTCATCACCTGCTCTTTGGTCAAGAAGGTGTCCCGCCGACAAACCTTGTAGATACCACAGAGTGTATCTTGGACGATACCCATAAGGGGGCCGTTACGCTGAGGCGACACAATGTTGTGGGGAACCAAAGCAAGCTCGCTGAGTTCTGCGCGAGACTCCTCGCTCTGCGGCACGTGCAAGTTCATTTCATCACCGTCGAAATCTGCGTTGTAAGGACTCGTAACAGACAAGTTCATTCGGAAGGTCGAATACGGCATCACTCGTACACGATGACCCATCATAGACTCCTTGTGAAGAGACGGCTGTCGGTTAAACAGAATGACGTCGCCATCCATGACATGACGCTCGACTTTCCATCCATAAAGAAGCTGCTGACCGCCAGCCCTTCTCGCATGACGAAGGTCGATACGTTCACCATTGTCTCTGACGATATAACGAGCACCAGGGTGCTCATTGGGGCCGTTTGAAACGAGATGTTGCAACTTTTCGATATTGTACGGCGTAACAACTTCAGGGTAAGTCAAAGTCCTGGCAATACTCTTTGGCACACCGACTTCATCAAGCGACAGATTGGGATCACCCGTGATGACAGTACGGGCGGAAAAATCCACACGTTTTCCCATCAAGTTTTGCCGCAGACGACCTTCCTTACCCTTCAACCGAGAACGCAGAGCCTTAACAGGTCGGTTCGATTTTTGCATGGCCTTAGGTTGACCAGCAATGTCGTTGTCCATGTAGGTAGCAACATGGTATTGCAACAACGACTCGAACTCTCGCACCACGTGTTCAGGAGCACCTTCCTGCTCACAGCGTTGAACGTTCTGGTTCGCTCGGACAATTTCAGCCAACTTGTATGTCAAATCATCCTCACCGCGCTGGCCACTGGTGCTACCGCCAACAAGAACACTTGGGCGAACCGGAGGGGGCGGAACCGGCAAGACGGTAAGGACCATCCATTCGGGGCGGGCATAGTCGTTGCTCAGACCCATGATGCGAACAGAGTCATAGGAGATGTTGCGGAAGACGTTGAGAGCAATCTGCGGAGTAATGGTCTTCTTCTCGGGCTGTGGCATGTCGTCCTCCTCCATCATGCTCTTGCTGGGCTTCCATGTTCCGACCAACGATATCCCTTCCTTGCGAATCGTAGGTTGAGCATTACCGCAACCACCGTGACCACTGCTCTTTTCCTTGCCCTCTTTCGAAAATGGGTCTTCCTCGTCCTCGGGGGGATCGGCTTCACAGACCAACACATCCTTGGAAAGTCGCCAGATCTGATCGAAACGCCTCTTCGGGTCTCTCGTTCGCAAGGCTTGGAGAAATCTAGAGTCATCCTGATTGAACGATGTCAGCAAAAGAGCCATGGTAAGATTTGCCATCCCAACAGGGATGACTAACCGTTTTGGCTTTGATCTTTCCACAGTTGTGGCAGACAGTTTCCAGCAGTTTCTTGATCTTGGTCAAGAAACCTAAACATAGATGTTAGCGCATGCCCTGGTCACTGACAGTGGCAAGAGGATTTTCCTCATAACATACCAATATGATAAACCGGTGTCGCGAGTTCGATGTGTCCGAAATGCCCCGGGCATTCCTTCTGACCTTCCTCACAAGTCTCGCAGTTCCACTGACGATCGATCGTACCCAAACGAGGATCATTCAAACCCTTTGTTCGCGGTCGCTGCCGTTGCTCGTCCTATTATCAACGTGTCAGCAGCCTCAAAACACCTGAAAAAACAAAAGAAAAAAAGCTGCAAACCATTGTCTCCGGGTATTCGACATGGACCACACTCATCCGTTTGATCTCTTCAGGCGAGAAAAGACCAAACTGGATTTCCTTGATCGTGCGCAGCGGCGCCTTGGAGTATGGGAAGTAAACGTTCGACATGATGGCGGATAGTCGCGTCGGATCGATCTAATTCCGGGCTGACGTGTAGATAAAACGAGTCCGTAAAACGCAGGAACGAGGTTGCGAAAAACGTGTCCGATCGAAATAAATCGATCGACTCGGGCGAGTACTCGAAAAACAAGCAGGCGAAATGAAAGATAGCAGTTGTAAGCAGCTGGGCCAGCTGAGGCCTTTGGCAGCCCTTGCCACGAGGGCGCCGACGACCTGATTTCACCGACGTCAAGAGAGTCGAAAGGGAGAAAGAGCGAAAATGGCGATCACGATAGAATTCCGCGCCTTCTTTAGTCCATTAAACGATATCGCGATGCCAGATGCGATAAATTTGGGGCGTTGGGCGATGGCCAAGCAGCGTGTCGGGGAGATGAAAGGGAGATGGTTGGAGGTTGCCTCTCGCCGATGGGGCACGAGTTTTCTCGAGCCTCAGAGTGAATTGGTCACCTCTCTAAAAATGCCGGTACTAAAGCCGGAGTCTTGGCAGTTGTTCACTGTCACCGCCTTAATAGCCAATCGGAGTAACTATCTTCGGCGTTGCTGCCGACCAGTGCTTTGTTTTAAATTGGCCCTGACCGCCTTCCCTATTCCCAAATAGCCGCCAGTTTCTACCGTAACATTTGCGATTCACTCGATGATACAAACGATCTCCAATGCTAGCTTACAGTCTGCTCTCCTGGCCTATTCTCCCAGGCTAGGGAACTTGTCTCTCTTCTTGTTTCCCTGCGTGAAATGATATCTTCACTACAAAATGAATTTGTCTCTCCTTGATCCCTTTGTCCTGGCTCAGGACTACCCGGACACATTGACGGAGAAGCTGAGTATGTATTTACTATGGCGGTAATTAATGATATTTACTGACCAGGTACAGGGAGCGGCCATGCGACCTGTCTACGCTTTAACCGCAAAGGCGATTATCTGGCTTCCGGACGAGTTCGTTTCCCCAGACGGCCCAATACCGAGACGCGAAATTGACCCTTCATATTAGGTGGACGGCACAGTGGTGATATTCGATGTCGAGACAAACGGAGTCGCGCGCAAACTGAGGGGACATACCAGGCAGATTCAATCGTTGAGGTTCGTGTGGCGCTGGAATATTCAGGGAACGAGATAGTTAATCTGGCGTGCAGTTGGTCCAGAAATGGTCGATACCTTCTCAGTTCGTCGCAGGACTGGAAATGTATTCTCTGGGACATGAAAGATGGTTCGCGGGTGCGAACTGTCCGGTTCGAGGCTCCTGTATATATCGCGGAGCTGCATCCTTTTAATCAGTATGGCCCTCCCTCCTCGTTGACCTGCTGGACAGTCTCATGATTGCGTGCTAACAGCTTACTTGCCTAGTCTGCTTTTCGTCGCATCCCTCTTTGAAGAACAACCTACCCTCGTCGATATATCATCACCAAAACCCGTCAAACGAGTCCTCCCTTCTGCTCCTCTTCGTGCACCGGAAGTCGATCCAGCAGTAGCCGCGAAACAAGCCGCTCAAGATGCGAAACATTCGACATGCGTTACAATCTTCACCGCGCTCGGAAACCACATCATAGCCGGCACATCAAAGGGCTGGATTAACATCATCGAAACAGAAACCTGCACAACCATCCACTCCACCCGCCTCTGCAATGGAGTAGTCATCCTCCTCCGGCTCGCAAGCAACGGACGAGACCTCCTCGTAAACAGCTCAGACCGTGTCATCCGAACAATCCTCATGCCCGACCTCTCCCAACTAGGCACGGACCTCGAAGCCGCCAACATCAAAGTCCAAGTGGAACACAAATTCCAAGACGTCGTCAACCGCCTAAGTTGGAACCACGTCGCCTTCTCCTCAACCGGCGAATTCGTCACCGCCTCCACCTTCATGAATCCGGACATCTACGTCTGGGAACGCAGCCACGGCTCCCTCGTCAAGATCCTCGAAGGCCCGCGCGAAGAACTCGGCGTGGTAGAATGGCACCCCACCCGCCCCATGGTCGTCGCCTGCGGACTCGAATCCGGCTGCATATACACCTGGTCCATCGTCTCGCCACAGAAATGGTCCGCCCTAGCCCCTGACTTCGGCGAAGTCGAAGAAAACGTTGAATACATCGAACGAGAAGACGAATTCGACGTCCACCCCGCCGAAGAAATCCACCAACGCCGCCTCGACCAAGAAGATGAAATCCCCGACGTCCTCACCATCGAAGAACCCATGGACAACGGCGCCGACGACGACGATAACAACAACAGCAGCAGCAGCAGCAGCAGCAGCAGCAACAACAACAGCAACAACAACAACGCCGTTGACGCCTTCCACATGCCCGTCCTACTAGACATCTCAGATAGCGAGAGCGGCGAGGACATCATCGCAGTGGGGCCCGGCACGATGCGCAGACGCAGTCCCGGCGCGGGCCGTGAGTGGATGGCCAATGGCGACGGGGAGACAGGGAAGAATGGCGCCGGCGCTTCACGGGGACAAAGAGGGCGACGGCGGTGAAGATTCTTTGCTCGTGAAGACGGGGGTGGGTGGGATGAGTGGCTATAATTGTATCGTTTATAGACAGGGGGGTGGACAGGGTTCCGAAAAGGCAACCCTTTTGGTATTGTGCATGTGAAAAGGCGTTTCTGGGAGGGGTTTTGTTAGCTTTTTACCTGAAGATAATATGGCTTTTTATTGTCTTTGACGCCCGTGTAATATAGAATTGATAGACTAGTTAGGAATAGATCCAAACTCACAGCTATGAAAAAAATGTACTTCATACAGGGTTACATTCGAATTGACCACGATTATTTGTCCCGATCCATGGGGCAGCAGAAGCACGAGCACCAAAAAGGAAAGCAAAGCAAAATATATATATATATATAAAATATTAAAAAATATAAAATATAAATAAAAAATAAAAAGAGGTCTGGGTATAAAGCCACGAAGACACAGAAAACCTCAGTTCAACAAAAAATAAAAACGCCAGAAATGCTAGCCGTATCGTGTATTCCCGACTCTCCTCCCCAGCCAACCACAAAAAGTAGTGTAGTGTAAACCAAAAAAAAGCAGCAAGCGAGTGACAATCATCAATTCTCCATTCTCCAACCCAAACCAATCAATCAAGAAGTGAAAAAACTCCGCATGAGACCTGACCGTCCGTGATGCACCATCCCCCCGTTTATTCCCATTTTCCCAGCCGTCATAACGATCCTTTTTTTTTTTTTTTTTTTTTTTTTTTTTTTTGCCCTGTCCGTGTCCCGGTCCCACCTTGTCCTTGTCCTGTCTCCCCGTTTCCCAGGACGTGGTTTCTTTTTCATAAAAGAACCCAATGGTCTATAGTCTTTTCAATCACAATAACGCTCTCTCCAAAACATAAAACGTCAAAAAGGAATGGCGCCCGGGATGGGGCCTGTAAAGTTTAGTAACATTAGAGGGGTTGGGCGCTTATTTAGCCTCTGGTTTGCGCGCTTGGTATATATGCAAGATGTTGTAAGAATGGATCTCCTTGTTAAACGCTTCTGATTTGACTTCCGCGGCGATTCGCTTGATGTCCTCAATGGGCCAGCCAAAGACGCGCCTGAAAGGAGCCAAACTGAGCGTCTCGATGCTCTCCGAGATGGCTAGATTGTACCACTTGGCCACTTTTCGCTCATGCTGGTCCTGATGCCAAGGGTTTAGGGGTAGACCGACCATTTGGTGATCAATGTCGGTAAACCCGGCCTCCTGTAGGTTTCGTATGGTGTCGCGCGCACTGTGCGCTATGGGTCGCGCTGACTGTTCCGTTGCCTGTTTCAAGGACTGGTACCAGCGACGCAGTGCGGAGTCGTCAAGGGAACGATCGTCGCATCGGGGCTCGAAATCGATTTCAACCTGCTCGAACCACGCACCGGGACGGAGATGGGTGTAGGTCCTCTGGTAAAGGCTGGGCCAGTGGGCGATACTGCCACAGCCCATTTGCATGTGGATGAAATCCCAATAATCCTCGCCCAAGGCCCAGGGGCCTTCAAAGTCAAACGGGGCGTAGAAATCGCAGTTCTTCCTCTCAATGTTGGGTGGCTGGATAGGAGCCAAATCCACCCCCAGGACGAAGGCCTGCGGGTACTTGTCGGCCACATCAATGGCCCAAATGCCGGTTCCGCAGCCCAAGTCGAGAAAACGACCATTTTGAGGATGGGGCGCATAGATCAATCCGTCCGACACCCTCGCAACAGTAAAGAGTTTGTGGAAGATGTCGAGTCGATCTTGTTCCTGTTCATCGCATGGGAGCATGTAGACACCTCTGCGGTATCCATGGTACGTCCGTCCATTTTCCTCGTGGAACTGGGATTTCTCGGGGCTTCTAGAGAGATGAAACGGTGAGCCAGTTAACTTTGGATGTGACGAGAAGAGCAGGAAAACAAAAGAGAGAAATACCTGTGGTTACTAGGAGAAGCCACACCAGGCGACACATTACTTCCCCAACGCCCGTTGGCATGTTCTCTTTCAGTAGGATCTCGATCGGTGATAGTATAGATGTCCATGGCATCAGAATTATGTCTGGATCTGCCCATATCACTGGAGGATTGGGAACTAGGATGATTGGGTGGGGAGGCCACAATGGGAGGACGCTGTCCCGCGGGACCGTTGGCGAACATTTGGAGGGTTAAGGGTCAGAGAGGACGAGATAAAGAGCTGTAGATCAACCGACGGATGGACGGGTATGTTGCAGAAAAATTCTCCGATGGGTGAACCGCGGGACCGAATGCAGGATTATTTTCAAGGAGAGACACCAGACTGAATCACGACAAAGCGAATTTATGACGAAGGTAATCGACGGTTATCAGTGTGTCGCGAACCCTCGCAGCATGGATGAGGCTGAAGAAAGACAAAGATCCTCGGTTGGATGGCGCTAAGGAACGGACAGTTGGCCAGCTGAAGTTGCATTAAAGAGAAAATAAAGGATAGAGTGAAGGACAGACGAATATGGTGGGATCGAAGAAGGTGAGAAGTGTTGGTGTTGGTGTCAGTGTTGGCGGTACACTTTATGTGTAGCAGGAGGGGTGGTGGTGGTGGTCGGCGACGGAGAGTATATAACGGTATGCCGGCCCGTAACCGTTGATCGAAGATGAACAGAGTATATAAGACGGAGACGCTTCAAAAAACGAGAAATAACAAGTGTCACAATAGAAATAGAAAAGTAACGGCGCTAAAAAGAGGCGGGCAATAATTATATTTCACTGTGAAAAAAAAAAAAAAAAAAAAAAAAAAAAAGAACAACAACAAAAAAAAATCTACACCGCTCGAAATTATACTGGTTATAAAATTTGGGCACCTTTGTTGTGCACTCAAAGATGCACCTGCTCAGAAGCAAATAAAGGGTGGGGTCTGAGAGGGTAGGTCTCGAAAAAATCGAAGGGCTAAAGAAGCAGAAAAAAAAAAATATAAAATAAAAAAAAAAAAAAAAAAAAAAAAAAAAAACACGAGAGCGCACCGTCGATCAACAGGAGAGGAAATTTAAGAGGGCAATTGACGGCGGAGAAGCATCGAAGGAGAGAAGAAGAGACAAGCAACACAGCCAAGGAACGTAACTGGAGAATTAGAGAGAAGAAGGAAAGAAGAAAGAGAAGAGAAAAAGAAAAGGAAAGGAGGGGAAGAGAAAGGTTTAAGGTTGTTTCCATCAGCTTGTTCCTTCGGGGTTAACTGACACTGCTGTCTTCTGGCTGTCTTCTTGTCGCTCCTGGGGCCCACGGGGCGGGGCAGATCGAATACTATGAAAGAAAAGAAAAGAAAAAAGAATTCAAAAAAGAGGAATTGGTGGGACGAAACGAGAGATTGTCTGTATGGCTACTACTACTACTACTACTACTACTACTACTACTACTACTACTACTCCTACCTGTCTATATGGTGATAGTTTCGGGGAAGTGTCTGGGTCGCTAGAATGATTGGATATGCTGCCATCTTGTTGAATCCTATTCCTGTCTCTACCCGAGTCTTTGGGCCTGACTGACTCAAGCCGCTAATGTGCGGTAGAGAAAGTACGAAGCATTGTGTAAGAGTCTTGTGACAGATGTACTCGGTAATACTTGAATTGTATTCTGCTACAGAGTAGAGAGTACACTGCATGCTGCTATATCAAAACTCTGCTATGGCAGGCTGAATATCTGCAGTCAGGAGTTCCAGCCACCCGGGCAAAGGCGGCGGTTAGTGCCCGAAAGTAACCAGAAAAATCAAAATTAAAAAAATTAAAAATCATAATTTAACAAAGGGATGGCCCGCATGATGGGGCTCTCGTGGTTACGTCGGTTCATCAGGGGTATCAGCATTTATTCTGCCGGTACATGCTACATATCATGGGACATACAGAGTACAACTACAGAGTACTCCGTACTTTCCATACCTGCCGTATTTCTTCAAACAATCAACTGCATAATAACACCTCATAATAACACTTACGTACTAGTTCAAGTACCGCCAAGTACTTCACTGACTGATCACAGTTCACCGCTTCCCGACTCTCTGGGTCGCTGTAAGTAATGCCGTTACCGAGTTACCACTAGTCCTTTTCAGGTCGGTATCGGGGTTACCGCCCACTGTCACGACCCACTGCCGAAAATGGAACTATTATCGGTCTTTGTTTGTGCATTAACTGCAGCATTTCGCAATCCATCGACATCAGCTCTACTTCTCATGCCATCTCGGGCATACAAAGAATATTCAACAGTGCTCTGGAGTATTCTGGCAGACAATCCTGCATCAAGAATGCCCAACTAAGCTGTCCGATGATCAGGGTTCATGCTGGTACTGTTTCTCTGAACTGTCCCCCTCTCGTTCTTTCTTTCTTTCTTCCCTCCCACTCCCCCATTCTCCCGCAGCCCCGTTGAGAAGCACGGTCATGGATACTGCTTTTGAGAATGATTGGAGGGGACATGACACGAGAAACATAACCTAGCCACGTGTCTCCTTACTGGTATGTATTCCTTTGGACTCATTCCCAGTAGTGCATCAGTGCTTCGGTCCAACACTACTACTATTGACTTTTTCGTCGTATTCCAGGAATGCCTCGAATACATCATACACCCACAGCTGTTATGCGAATGGCCAACTTTCTTTTTTCCCTTCGCCGTCATTGCATGTACGATGACGATCCCCATGGGCTTTCTCCGGCACTCGGGGCCCGAACATTCTCTCGCTAAGTCTGTGGCATCCAGCTGCGCCGCCCTTTCACGAAAGCAGACGTGTTTCATGGCCTAATCGCACTCCACTTCTCCGAGTCACGATGTACTCCGTACTGTGGACTCTATGCGAGTTCTGGCGGTAAATGCAGTTGGGGACACAAGCTCAACAGAAAACAACAACAAAAAAACTATACCAAGACGAACACCCAACAATCGCCTGCAGGTTGCCACCATCGTCATCAGCAAAAAGTGCAAACCCGCAGGATTCAGGAGCAGGTACGGAGTACGACGGGTCTATCCCTCGAGATGCAGAATCAAGAGATTAGAGACCGTCTGATTCGTCTGGATGACGCCGCTTCCCAAAGTATCGTTTGCGAAAGCAATGTCACCGCTCTAAGGGGCTGATGTCTTTATATTCTCGATCATGACTGGCCATGCGCTGTGTGCTTACTCACGTTAGAGGGCGGACCGGTGCGTGTCAGATTGACTTCTTAGGGGTCAATCCGAGGTCAATCCGAAATACCCCTTTGGCAGTTGTGCATATGCAAGTCTGGGTGGAATCGTATCAGATTGCAGTTTGATTTCGCTAGTGCTCCACACACCGTCTGTCGTCCTTGGCTGAAATTTGATCAGGGCCAGTGATTATCCTTTCTTGTCGGAAGTCTTTCCCATTCGCTACGCTCCACTATCCGGCGCTACCCTTGCGATCAGTCAATTGACCTAACTCTGGTTGAAGATTAATCACCTTCCTCTTTGATATGATGGCGGTAACTATAATAGATGAAGACGATGGTAGGCAAAGCTAATTATTGGGAGAAGGAAGAAGAGAAAAAGGATTTAGAAAAAAGTGAAAAGAAAAGAAAAAAAGGAGCGACAGGCGGAGCATCCGTGTACTTCGCATTAAGCACTCCTTCTCTCTGTTGTCTTTCTCGATTGCCATAGGATAATCACTTGACCATCGAAATTTGCACAATTATCACAGGTGTGGATATTGCTTTTTTTTTCATTTGCCAAACCGGGTTGAGTATTCACGACGCTAGGGCACTGGGCACAACCCCAATGCACAGTGACCCATTTAACGGTGACGCCGGTCCTCCTCTCACAGCCTCGTGGATTACTGACGTGCAGTCGACGGTTATTGGATACATCATTCGAATCCCAACAGCTTGGGCCACTTCAACTTCAGGTCAAGGCCCGTGGAGGAATGGCCATCTGGACAAAAAAGAAAAAACCCACGCGCATAGGCCCGAGCCGGACGGAGCGGGAGAATCAATTAAATGCCCAACACAGGTCCCAAGCCGAGTGTACTTGTGGTCTGTACGTACGTAGTAGGCACTTCGTACTGTTTCGAGTCAGTCTGTTTTTGACCGCTTTTCGATTTCAGCGCATCCCGCGGCCATCGGACAGCGATCAGGCAATAGACATCTGTACCAGCAGAGAGGATCAGAGCCAACAAACTAAAATGAACAAGCACAAAGAAATAAAATTGCCAGAATACTTGTACATATAGAGTAGTAGTACTCTCTGAGAAGTTTATACAGAGTACTTGTGCAGATATACATTCCTTATGCACCTATGCGGTCTTCGGGCGTCTCCGTTCAGCCACACAGCAAGAGATTTCTTGGCATTCCATTTTCAGAAGGTCAGTCAAGACTTTGCGGTTGTCTACTATCGAGCTTTTCCATCACCAAACATCGACAATCTTCTCCAGGGATACCAGGTTGGGCGTTGGACAGCCATACAGAATCGGGTCCAACCCTTCGTCTAGCCTAGCTGAAGGATTCTATACGAATCAGCCACACAGGTACATACATCATTCTCTGTACAGAGTACAGACTACCCAAAAAAAAAGTACTCTGTACGAAATACTCGTAATATAAACCAATCAATCAATCAATCAATCAACGACCCAATATGCACACTCTCAACGCCACCGCCTCGTCCTCCCTGTTCCTCCCCGCGGAGAATTACATCTACACCATCACCGCCGCATCGCCAGGATCATCCTTCGCGGCCATTTCCTCCGATGACTCGCTGCGCGTGTTCGATGCAGCAAACATCCAGCGTGTCTCTGTTGTTGCGCCAACAACTCATGCTGATGGGGTGACCGCGTTGGAGCCGTATGACCAGAGGCAGGGTCAGCAGTTGTTGGTTACGGGTGGGAGAGATGGGAAGGTGAAGGTGTGGGATTTGAGGAGTGGGAAGGGGAGTGCGGTTGTTGAGATGGAGACTGGTTAGTCTTACTTCCTTTGTTTTTATGGTGTATATGGATGCTGACTCTGTAGACAAACCTGTGTTGTCGGTGGCTTGCAACGCTGACATTAACACCGTCGTTGCTGGGACGGAATTGGCTTCTCACCAGGCGGTTGTTGCGTTCTGGTAGGTCTCCGGATAATGCCTGTCAGGACTATGAGCTGCTAACTGACGCAACAGGGATATCAGATCACCGGATGTGCCTCGACTTCAATATGTCGAAAGCCACAATGACGATGTCACTGAGGTATTCATCTATCCTATCCTATTGAATCTATAGAGGCTAATGATGTAGCTCCAATTCCACCCAACCCGCAACAACCTCTTCCTCTCTGGAGGCACGGACGGGCTCGTCAACGTCTACGACACAACCATCGCAGACGAAGACGACGCTCTCGTCCAAGTGATCAACCACGGCTCCGTCCACCATGCCGGATTCCTCAACGAAAGAGCCATCTATGCTCTGAGCCACGACGAGGTCTTCTCCGTCCATCCCGCTACGAATCCGGACGAGCAGGCCCAGGATCCTGAGCCGGTGCAGTTCGGGGATGTCAGAGAGCCTTTGGGTTGCGAGTATGTTGCTCAGCTGTGTATGGGTAGTCAGGGGCAGCCGCATCTTGCAGTTGGGAATAAGGCGTATGTCATTTTGATCTTCACCTTGGTTTATTAGTGCTAACTTCATCTAGCGAAAGCCGACTCGACCTAGTTCCCCTCACCTCCGACCCATGGCATTTCGACCAGAACAACCTCTGGCGTCTCCCAGGCGCACATGGCGAGGAGATCGTCCGTTCTGTGTATCTGGATGAACAGGTACGTACCATCCAATAGCTAGATTCTCTGTCCTACTCACTAACAATTCTACAGACGCAAACCGTCTTCACAGGCGGCGAAGACGGCCTGGTGCGCGCTTGGAAGCCCACTGATGGCCAGGAAGCGCAGGGTTCTGGTTCCTCGGTCAAGTCGTCGCGACCTAAGGAGAAGGTTAAGACGAAGGATAGGTTTAAGCCGTATTAGAGTGAAATTTTATGGTGTGGTTTACTTGTGTATAGACTATAGAGTAGTTGGTGCTGGGTGTATATGACTTTCGTTCACCCCAACAAAAACAAATCGTACATATTTCTCTTTATACAGAAATAAATAATTGAGATAACGTACTATCAAAATAAAACAATGAAACAAATAAAAAAGAAATACCAATGTCCTCCAATGTTAACTAAAACCACTAAACCAAGCACCGCCGGAAGAAAAGAAAAAAAAAGAAAAAGAAAAAAGACAAAAAAAATAGTCGCGCCCGGGATCGAACCGGGAACCATCTCGGATCAAAGTTCAAGTTGTGAACGAGATATCATAACCATTAGACCACGCGACTGCTTGTTATAGTTCACTGCTCACCAATGACTTATAACGGCTGTCTGTATAAGATAAGAGAACCAAATTTTTTTCTGAACTCTGATTTCGGTCTCCGATAACCAGGAACGGATTTTTCAACCTCCAACTTTTTCACTGTTGGTGTTGGAGTTGGTGTTGCTGTGGGTATAATATTTTTTGCAATTCCTATTTCACAGTTATTCTTTCTTTCGCGCATTCTTAGCTTTTCTTATATTGAACTGCAATGATCGACTCGATATCCTAATCAATTCTCACTCTTCAATCCAACTCGCGACCACAACCACCCACCCAACCTACACACACCAAACAACACAAATGGACGCCCAAGCCTACCTCCTCCGCCACGGCTGGGAGGGCCCCGGCAACCCCCTAAACCCCTCCCGCCGCCTAGGCCCCCACGCCGGCCTCGGCCTCAGCAAACCGATCCTCGTCGCGCGCCGCTCAGGCAACGAAGGCGTGGGCAAGAAGACAACCAAAGACCCGACGAATCAGTGGTGGTTGCGCGGGTTCGAGGATGCACTCAAGGGCGTGGGACAGGAGAATGGGGGTGGAGATGGGGGGAGGAAGCCGAATGCGTTGACGAGTGAGTTGTATCGGTTTTTTGTGAGGGGGGAGGGGATGGCGGGGACTATTGGGGGGAGGAAGGAGGTGGTGAATGGGAAGGGGGAGAAGAAGGAGAAGAGGAAGAGGGGGGATGATGATGACAATGAGAAGGAGAAGGCATCGCGGAGGGAAGAGAAGAGCAAGAAGCGAAAGACGGACGAGGTCAAGTCTTCGGATCGCAAAGAGAACAAGGAAGAGAGACGACGGAGGAAGGAAGAAAAGAAGTTGAAGAAGGAAGCGAAGGAGAAGAAGAAGGCTGAGAAAGCGGCCCACAAGGAAGAGAAGAAGGCGAAGAAAGCGAAGAAACAATCGAAACCCGAAGACGACTATCCCACACCCACATCAACCGAAGAGTCCAGCGGCCAGGACGAGTCAGTCGAACTGAAAGAACCCTCCAAGGAGAAGAAAAAGGAGAAGAAGGATAAAAAGGAAACGAAGGACAAGAGCAAGAAATCGAAATCCGAGTCGACGACATCCGACGAAAATGCAACACACAAGTCGAAAAAGGAGAAAAAGGAAAAGAAGGAGAAGAAAAAGTCCGCCAAAGAATGAATTGCTTGCCATCATAGATAGACCTTCATAGATACCCATTCGGCGCTGTATAGAAGTTTCCAGCCGGTCATTGTATCCTCATTGCATTTCAATATCAAAGCATGCATTAATCATGACACATCAAACATCAGCCTCTTCCAGCAGTTTACCTGGTTTATTCGAAAGAATCCAGGGCCTCCTCTCCCAGAAGTCGTCCTTGATGATATCGACATGTTCAACCACCACCTGCGCCTTTCGACGTAGCTTGCGCAGTTTGTCTTGTTGAGACTTGGATGGCTGTTTCTCTGAGATGGGCGTGCTTTCGTCTTCGTAGCTCGAGGCCGGCTTTTCCCTTGGCTCTTCTAACTGGTACTGTACCGGGATCAGGAAACCAGACTGCATACAGAGACAATAGATGGCTCTTACCTGGCGATAAACCACACTCCCCTTCTTGTACATATCATCCTCATTGTTGTAATTGACCCCGTATCTCGAGAAGAGAATCTCATTCTTGTCCGCCGATACCGTCCCCTGATCCGTCAGCGGAAAAGGTATCCAAGATTCTAGAGATCACATTACTCACCTTGAGCTCCAATTCTGCATCTGTGTTGTTTATCCCGCCTTGCTGCACCATGGCCCAAAAGGTCGTGTTATAAAGATTATTAATGTGGCCTGCCACCTGCATAAGTCTCGATTCTTAGAGAAGGAGAAGATAAACTCACAATCAACCTGTCTCCAACTCATATAATCCCGCAGAATTCCCGCGGTGGGATAGATGACTGCCCGTCCGTCAAACGACGGCAGATACGGCGGCTGCAATGGCGCATCGAGAAAATATGTGCTCCATAGATAGATGTAGTGAGCTGTAAAAGTCGACACGATAGTTGTCACGAGTTTCCTATCTCGTTAGTATCTGAGTATTCATCGTTTTCTCTGAGTGACTCACCCATTCCTCCGCTCGAATAACTGACAGCTTGGGTGGAAGACAAAACTAGGTCCAATGAGTCTCAATCCTAAGTCAAGTGGAATAAAAGGAAAATACCTATATTCATCACTAACGCCGTAAGCCACACACAGATCCGGAAGTTCTTTCATGACCTCGACGGCAGCGGCGTTCATCAGATCCAGCGCACGGCGGTCATTAGGCTTCACGAAGCCATAGCGATCAGAGAGCCTAATATACTCAGTTCAGTTTGCCTCCTTTGATATCAAATGATTATATCAAATGATTATTCATTGTATATAGCAGATGGAGACTGACTTGTGAAATCCTCGGCCGTCAATGCGGACCACAATCCAGGTGTTGGGGAGCAGCACGTCGGGCTGCTCGAAGGTTTTGACATATTCAAATCTTATTACTTGTTAGCTTGTTACTTTAAATAGGTAGTAGATGAAGTTATATATGTATTTACCTTGAGTTTGCCATGTTATTTACTATGCGCCCAGCAAAGTGACGGAGGTAGAATTCAGATTCAAGTGCGCGGGAAGCGGAGATAAAAACCGAAGATGTCTAACAACTACATATTTAACATATGGAAGTATTCGCTAACTACTATCTGAATATATTTTAGGATATCTTTGTGAAGTTACGGTCAGATTCAGTTATTTATAGTAAGCTAGTTGTGCCCTATCTTCATGACAGCCCATATCCGCTTTGTCGCCTTGTGGAGGGCAAACAGATGTGACATTCCGGGGCCCACGAATAACCGGGGTGCATGCGTTCACTAATGCCTGGTTTGAGGAAATATATGGGGTCAACAACTCCCACTTTTCTTTTCTTCAAAATATATAACCCTGTACTGTGATGCCATGAAATAACTCTTACGACGAGTCCGTATGAAAGCACCCTGCCCCTCCCCCTCCACTGTCTCAATACCAAGAATACATATCAACCATATCCTCCGAACTCGAAACCGGATCATACATCATCAACCATCCGGCTTCAGGCAATCCCCTCCACAATTCAGCGATAGATGGGGATGGTCAAACCGCCATTGTCGGCGCGTGAGTTTCTTTCCTTTTCTTTCCTGTGCAAGGCTGACTTAAAAACTTATCATTCGCAGCGAACCCAGAGAAGACTCGTTCCAGACATGGAATATTTCCCATGAAATTGGTGATGTGTATTTTATCGAATGCAACCTCACGTTCGGATTTCTCTTTTCGGGAGAGGATCTGTGTATGTACGAGTCAATTGGGTTGACATGTATGTTACTAACTTCTATGGATCATAGGGGATGGCGCTACACTCGCTGCACATGCTGATTCCACGCCATGGCATATAAAGCAGGAGCCTGGGACTTTGCTTTATCGGTATGCTGGAAACTAGCTTATGGTTCTGTTTCGATTGCTGAACTGAATAGGATCTGTCTCTTCATCACAGACTACTACTACCTTGACCTACCGGACGACGAACCGGATACTAAATGTGAACTTAAGGAGGGCGGAAAGCAGGCGTGGGCGTTTACACGAGCCGGCTGGTAAAGGCAGTGAACCATGTTGATTTGCTAATGTAAATTTGATGGTATGACATCTGTGACTATCCATACCACCAGACGGCGCGATGAGATGAATAAACAATATGCATCATATGGTACGACACTGACATTGACCCACAATCGGAATGATGATACTCGAACAGAGAAAGAAAAAGTTAAAATGAATGCCGCTATTAGGTTGATTATGTTGCCGTACCCTCAACAGGAGTCTCTTCATCCCCGGCTTCGCTGGCTCGCTCACTTGCCTCGCTTGCGGCCTTATCGGACTTCTTGGACTTGCGACTGAAGATGTTAAGGCTTCGAGTTGATTTGTCCGCCGAAGGAACACTGGAAGTGGTACTGTCTACACTCTTTCCAAGCTGGGCTTCACTGGCGCGATCCTCATCAATATCGCCCTGCGAGGAATCACCCTTCCTGGAAAAGAGACCGGACCGATCCTTCCACGAGCTGAACTTGCTGGAACTACCCTTGCGAGTGAGTTTTCGAATGAACGACTCCTTTGAAGCACCATTGTCAAGAGAAGTGCTCGACGGCACCCTATCCAAGGATTCGTAAGAATCAGTGAAGATAGACAACGATCGAGAATCCCGGGAGATCCGTGATTCAGACGGCGACCCATCGTCCATGTGGAGATCAAATGATTCATTCGTGTATTCATCCTTTTGATCCTTGCCCAACTCCTCGCTAAAGATGGTCGTGAATGACGGTGCCGTAGGGTTCAACTTGGGCGTTGCTGGTCGATGGGACGATGAAGGACGAGTTCCGATGGGAGCCTGCAGAGGACGGCTCTGTCTCTCAAAGGAAGAATCCTGGAGGAAATCCGGTTCTCCGCTTAGACTCAGAGGTAAGTGGCCGGAGGAGCCATACGAGGGCCGACGTGTAAGACCTCTTGACCAGGTGGACGGCGAAGCCCAATCAAATCCCAGTGGACTCCGATGGTCTGATTTATCTGCCGATGGCCAGCCAAAATGCCGGTTATCCGTCGAGGGATGAGGTAACTGGTTATCAAACGAGAAAGTAGATGAGGGCCTTGGTGACAACGAGCCGCGCCGGACGGTACCCAGAATCGATGACGGGTCGATCGGATCATGCCTGGGGCTGAATTGGTTATACCCGGTACTCAGATCTGAGCTCTCCCCATGTTTAGATGCACCATGGCCAAAGCCAAACCGGCTAGAGGAAAAAATGTTGGAAAAAGCAGCCCGCCGCGAAGGTGCCTGATCTGAAGAACTGTCGGCAGTCACACTAGTTGTGTTGCTTTTGGGAAACAAGGATATCGGGTTTGGCCAATTGCCTGTATGACTTAGCCGGCGACGTCTAGAACCTATAGGATCCATATCGTCCATGTTTCGTGGATAAGACTGACTTTGGCCTGGCTTCAGGGTGCCTAGTAAAGGCGGCTCGTCGGCAAGAGTTTTCCCGCGAGGTCGATGAAAACCGAAAAGACCAGAAAGTCTTCGTGACGCACTTTTCGGAGCATCCTCCGCAATTCCCAAAGAAACCTGCTGCGAGTCCCTTTCCTGTTGGTTATGGTTCTCATGTGGGCTGGCAAAAAGGCTCCCGGGCTGACTTCCCGAAGAGCCCGGGGACGGAGGTGCATGGGGAAAAGGTTCAAGCTGCGGATTGGGTTCAAGGTTCGGAAATCGTGAGCGAACAGCGGGATGCGGAAGTTCTGGGGATTCCATTTCATCTCCCAGAAGGTCGGAGGGGAGTAGGGAATCCGCGCGGGGACTCATCTGGGGATTATTGAAAGACAAATCTAGGTCGCTGCGCAACGCCTCTGGCAGATCCGATACACCGGATAAAGCCATCCCGTTGTTGACATTAAAAAACGCTGAGCTTGGACCGAAAGTTGGCGAACTGGTGGAGGGGGGATTGTAGTTGATGAAGGGAGGGTCGATCCCGGCGAAGTTGATGGGCGAGGAAACGTTACTTGCCAGCGAACTGCGGTGACGACGAGGACGGATGGTCGCTGCACTCGACAAATCCAGATCCAGGGCTGGCAGGGAAAATGGACCAGTACTGCCGGGACGCTGGCTTGCAAGCCATTTCAGACGCTCTTGTGCATCTTGGTAATTCTGCTGGGTCTGAGCATGGAGAGTAACAAGAGCAGCATAACGCGACTGCAAGTTACCCAACTTGATTTCCCATTGGCGCGCTCGTTCGTTGTCAATTCGATCCAGTTCCTTGCCATCCTCGTTGTCGCCTCCCTGGTGTCCCTTCCTATCCTCCTCTAACTTCTTGACGCGTCCGCCTTTGTCCTGAATATCATCGTCGATGCCCTTCATCTCAGATTGTTCCTTGGCGATCTTCTCTCTGACTTCATCCGTGCGCCTTTTTCTCTGCTCCTCCAGACGGGATTTTTCTTCCTTTACATGTGCAGCATCGCCCGTCATCTTCGCAATCTGCTCCTGCCATCGAATAATGTCGTTCTTTCGTTTCTGGCGCTCTGCTTCCTTTTGCTGCAAAAGTCGTTCCCGTTTGGACTTCTCACCCTGCGCGGTGCGATTGACGCTTTCCAACTTGTAAACGTGCTTCCTGAGCTCGTTGCTGGTCTCGTCCTTTTCCTTCACGCGCCTCCTCATATCATCGCGCTGCCTTTCAAGGTTCTTCAACAATGTGATATGCTCCTCTTCCTCTTCAGCCACTGTTTTATCCACATTCTCATTTTCATGCTGCAGAGATTTCAATCGATCAGCGAGCTGCTCGAGAGTCTCGTCCCGGTCGTCCTGTGTCGTGCTCTTTTGTACTTCCTCCGGTTGTCCTTGTAAAACATCCACTCCGCTCGCCATGGGAGAGTGTTTTCGCCCAACCTGGGGTCGTTTCGATTGTAATAGGCCTCCTCCGCTGTGTTCACGGGACATCACGGGAGCGGACGGAGCTGCAAAGCCAGTGGTCGACCGGGGAATCGAAGCGCGAATGGTAGGACTTTCAATCGCATCATTTTCGTCAGACTGCGACAAGGGCGCCGAACTCGTTCGCACATGAAGGATAGCACTCGGGGTTTGAAAATTCGCTGCGCTGACCGAAAGAACACAGATGTGGTAGATGGTCCCTGGGACCAAGTTCAAGATCTCGACTGCCGTCTCCGCCCGTTTGGTTTCGCCCACTAATGGAATTAGTTCCCAATTCTTGTCCCGCACGAGCGAAGAAAAATCAGAAGTACCTTTACTACCGTTCAATTGGATGATGTGTTTGTGGATGGAATTATGAAAATCCGGTTGTTTCCAAGCAATGTGAATCTCATGAGCAGTGATGTCTTCGAGAGTGAGCTCTGGCGGCGGAGGGATATCCAAACCGAGCTTTTCCACCAGAACTTCATTCGAAGTCTGGCAAACCTGCCAGGCGCGGTACAACAGCCTTAGGAGTCAGCGTCTGCAGGGCATTGAAGCGACCGGAGGGAAATCAAATAGGACAAAGGAGCTCACCAGATCAAAGCCCATAAGATAGTCACTGCCAGGAAGAGAGCCATGACGCCTCGGACCCTCACTCGCGGAACCACGCTAGGGTAGGCGTCAAAGGTGAGGTGCAACGGCTCATACATCCCCGCGTCGAATCTCCATGGACGCGGCGGGTATGGACAAGAGAGACACCGATTCGAGTAAGCCGTAAAAGTCGAGGGCCGAAAAAGCTTGTTCATTCCCCGAATGAGGAAAAGAGCGAGAGGAGGCGAAAGAGACGGAGAGGGAGAGAGAGCGGGAAAGAACGAAGAGCCTTGGGGAGACCCTCCTCGGGCCGTCTCCGCCGAGAAGCGCCTTATTGGTTACATAAGATCTCAGTCATCCATCTAATTCTTGGCACTGATCTTGGCATTCCCCAATCCATAAGATTTCCCAAAGCGGAAGACACCTCAAGCGGAAATCCGCTAGTCCATATGCGGAATAGTGTGAGCCCCTCTGCCGGACAAAGAGCCGAGGCATAAAACAATCTAGCCCAATCGGGAGAGCAGGTGACCGCTGTTGGTTTGTTGAGCGCATCGCATCTCCCAACGGTCGTCTCACCACCACCACCACTTACCATCTCCGTGCTTGTCTATCTTTCTTTAGTCGCATCTCTTACTCTGTATGAGTACTTCTTCCACTCACTCTGCGTTTTCTGCCATTCGTTTGCTGTTTCTGGTCTGTGGTATGTGGCAGCTGGAGTTCCTTGTCATTCACCATCGTCACATGGGCCTTATGTAGGCGGCGTCTTTTTCTCCGAATCAGCTCCCCTCTTACCTCCTGAGATTTTCTCTTTATCCACACCTTTTTCTTGCAACGTTATATCGAATCTCTGCGAGAATCCCTCGACTTGACCCGGCGCGATGCAGTACGTGCGGAGTATCAGTGGTTCCGTCTCGAAGACATGGAATTCCATCAATCCAGCGACTCTCAGCGGAGCCATTGATGTGATTGTGATTGAACAGGAAGATGGTTAGGATACGCTTCATTCTTGCTGTGGATTTGTCTGTGCTAATACTCGGGGTACGTGATTAGGAACTCTTGCCTGTTCGCCGTTTCATGTCCGATTTGGGAAATTTTCCCTCCTCCGCCCCTATGAGAAAAAGGTATATCCATCCCAACCATACTGCGAATCCCGTCCAGTGTGTGACTGAACTGGGTCACAGGTCGAATTTACGGTCAATGGAGAGAAACAACCATATTCCATGAAGCTAGGTGAAGGGGGAGAAGCGTTCTTTGTATTCGAAACATCAGATGATATTCCGGATTCGCTACAAACATCACCAGTGGTATCGCCAGCGGGTAGTCCAAGGTCTCAGAGTGAGAGTGAATTATCAAGCTCACTCCAAGAACCGGATTATCTGGACTTGGATGTCTCACCCGACGCAAGTGAATCGAAGCCTGCGGACATTCCCCTGTCGAGAAATGCCCGGGCCTCGACTGATCTGGGTATGGATGGCTCTCGGGTGATCTTTTTCTTTGCATAATTTACTGACATGCATCACAGGGGCGATCACACCCCTGTCACGGTCATTAGATACGCCCGAACTCGGCATGCCCCATCTTGGTCCGCTTGAGTTGGAATCGGGAAAGCTTAATCGTTTTGACTCAGAGCCTCCGTTGGGAGACGATTTTGAAGTGCGTTCAGCAAGCTCCCATGTATCGGAGACCGATCCAGTCCATATTGCACGTTCCCAAAGCCCGCCCCCACCGACAGCAGAGGAAGCTATGTCGCGTGCGATTTCCTTGTCGAAGAAATTATCGGGGTCAAATATCCCATCGCACGTCACGGATACAGGAGATCTTATGCTCGATATGACCGGCTATAAAAGCAATGACGAGGACGCTTTGCGCGCGGAAGTTATTGCACGCAAAATCCTATCCGAAGAACTGGAAGGCTGCTACGATATTGGATCTCTGATTGGTGCTGATGAACATGGGAACTTGTGGATCTACAGCAGCGAGGAGGCCAAAGAGGCGGCCAATCGTCGAGCAACCTTTAATGCGATGAGGCCCAACTCAGCCATGAGCGAGAATGCTGTTACGGATTCCGGGTATCATAGTGATGGTGACCAGCATATTCCTGAATCGTTGCTCACCCGGCATACCCGTGCGAAATCTGACGTTCAACCTGGAGTACCTACTGCATTGACGCAGGAGGCTCTGTCGGGAGACGCGAACCGCAACTATGCAAAGACTCTCCGTCTCACAAGCGACCAACTCAAAGCTTTGAACCTGAAACCGGGACCCAATCCGATGTCGTTCAGTGTCAATAAGGCTACATGCACCGCAACCATGTATTTGTGGAGTGGAAACACGCCAATTGTGATTTCAGATATTGATGGGACCATTACCAAGTGAGTCACCCCGGGATTCATTCGCATGTATATGTTTCTAACCATGAATCTGTAGGTCTGATGCTTTGGGCCATGTCCTGAACATGATTGGCCGTGATTGGACGCATGCCGGTGTGGCCAAGTTATACACAGATATCGTCAACAATGGATACAATATCATGTACCTTACCAGTCGGTCTGTCGGCCAGGCTGACACCACGCGGGCATATATTTATGGAGTCAACCAGGACGGATATCGATTGCCCAAGGGCCCTACCATCATGAGTCCTGATCGGACGCTTGCCGCCCTACGACGTGAGGTTTACCTGAGGAAGCCAGAAGTGTTCAAGATGGCATGCCTACGGGATATCCTTGGTCTCTTTAATGGAAAGGAGAATCCGTTCTACGCAGGATTCGGCAACCGACTCACGGACGCCTTGAGTTATCGGTCAGTGAACATTCCATCGAGTCGGATTTTCACAATCAACTCGAATGCAGAGGTGTCTCTGGACCTTCTCAGCCTCAACCAGTACAAGAGTAGCTACGTTACCATGCGCGAGCTATTGGATCACTTCTTCCCACCGGTTAGTCTTCTTGTACAAGCCGGAGGTGAGGATTTCACCGACTTCACATACTGGAGAGACTTGCCGCCGGACCTCGACGACTTTTCAAGCACGGATAGCGAAGATGAAGAAGAGCAAGAAGATGAAGAACACGAGGAAGATGAGGAAGAACACGAGGAAGAAGAAATGGACGAGGAGGAGGACGTCGACGACGAAGAGGCAGATGAAGAGGACGAAGGCGATGACTACGAGCTCAGCGGTGATGAAGGAAGTGAAGTGTTTGACGACGACGAGCCCGTCGAGGAAGATCTCGGTGCCAGCTACGTTTCTCAAGCCTCGGCAGACCAGCCCCCTCCGGATCTGAGTATCGATGGCGTTGATTTGGAAGACGATGAAGGAATCGAGGGGGACGACGAAGTTGAACCACCTGAGGCGACTCCAAAGCCCGTGGAATCGAGACATTCGATACCATTGTCCGATCCTCCTTCCCCTTCGAGGTGACGAAATGCATCTGATTCTATTGCTATCGAGTTCGTCGTACCAGACTGGACTGCATTTGCATTATCCGTGGCATTCTGACTTTATTATGCATCATACCGGAGTTTACTGGGCAGCCTTGTATTCATACACATTGCTTTTTGGCAGGACGTTTGGCGCGATATCTTTTGTATGGGGATAGTTTAGAAATATTGGTCTATCCGTCGTTACTTTGTTGATTGCACATAGCCTTGGACAGTCTTTTGAATAGAATTGTTTGTATATTCGTTTACTTCTAGTGCCAGTTCAGTTGTACATAGTCTACGGGTATACAGGATTACCCGTTCTGGACTAGCGCCTCGGAGCTTGATCTTCAGATTCGTCCATCACAGTTCACGTCAACTCACCACTTCAACCACGCCTTCTAGCTGCACTACTATTTTCTTGTTTTAAAGGTCTATTGTATTCGTGGATACCTTCTTGCGTCTACTAATGCCAGCGTTATAATCAACTCGATCGGTCATTCCACGTCGCTAAAGACTCCAACCTCAACCTACTACTCCCTTCGAGCCAACGACGGACAGTTACTTCAAGAAAATGGCATCACCAAACCAAACATCACAACCTACGCAACCCCTCTCCCCCCCAACAACCGACCCAACCTCCAACAACGCCAACACCACCACCACTAACATGAACAACAACAACAACAACACCTCGTCGCAAACCCCCAGCGCCAACCAAACCACAACCGCACCAACATCAGCCTCCGCTCCCCAACCAACTCAAATCCCCGCAACCTCCCTAAAAGACTCTGGCAAGACGCGCCGCCCCCGCGACGTCCGTCTAATCCACATGCTCCTCGCCTCCCTCGGCGTAACAGCCTACCAAGAACGCGTCCCCCTTCAACTCCTCGACTTCGCCTACCGCTACACCTCCAACGTCCTAACTGACGCCGTGCATCTCGCGACGGAGGGGTATGCGGCTGCAGCTGGTGAATCAGGGACGAGTAGTGGCCGTGGCGGCGGCAGCGGGGGTGGAGGTGGTGGAGGAGCGCACGATGTGAACACGGTTAGTTTGTCGGCGATGCGGCTGAGTATTGCGTCGAGGTTGCATTATCAGTTTCAGACGGGGCTGCCGAAGGAGTTTCTTATGGATGTTGCGACGGAGAGGAATCGGGTTGCGTTGCCCGGGGCTTCGAGGGGGTTTGATAATGCGGGTAATGCGAATCGGGCGCCGCAGGCGCATCAGGGATTGGTGATGGGGGGGATGAGGTTGCCGCCGGAGAGGTTTTGTTTGACGGGGGTTGGGTGGGACATGAAGGAGGAGTGGGAGAGTGAGGGTGAGGAGGAGATCCAGGAGCCAGTGGATGGAGAGGGAGAAGGGGAGGGGGATGATGAAGGGAATGGCGATGATGATGATGATGAGGATGGGAAGATGGAGGATATTTTCGGAGAGGATACTGCTATGGGCGAGGGAGAGGGGGATGAAGATGGAGACAAGGCAATGGCGGATGTCTGATTAACAATTACACTTGATTACGGAGTTAGGCGCATAGCTGGGATTAGGAGATTCATATCTATTCTTTTCACCTTTTAACAAGTCTCACGACAGCACTGTACATAACATAAATGCCCTGAGACCGTATCAACCGAAAACACAATGCAACGCCAGATCCAACGCCAAACATACACAGACGTACAAGTAGTCCACAATAACAACGTCACAAGAAGCCAAGGCAGCCTACCCCGACGCCTTCTTCCTCTCATCATCCTCCCTCATCATCCGAATAACCTCCTCCCTCCTCCTCCTCACCCTCTCATCCTCCTCATTTCTAACCCTCCTCCTCTCCTCCGCAGTTGCAAACCACTCCTCCCTCGCCCGATCCTCCTCCTCTGGCTTCGCATGCGCAAGCATACACCCGTTCATGGTGAGTCGTTGCTGTCGACAGATCCATGTTGCGGTTACGGTGCGGTTCACGGCGCATTCGGCGAATGCTGCAGCCCCGGTTAGCAGGCTTCATTTTGATATAGTGAGATGGACACAATTTGGGGACAGGAGGATTGGGACAGTACCCTTGATCTCAGCGGCGCAATGGCTTCGCACGCGTTTGTGGAAGAGGTCTTGGACTTCTGCTTCTTGGGAGGCGGAGAGGGGGAGGGGGTTGCGGAGGTTGTATTTGATTTTGGGGCGGGGTGGTTGTTGTTGGTCTGTCATTTTGGTTGTCTGGTCTGCTTTTCGCTGGGTAGATTTCGAGATTCGACTGTTTGTAACTCTGGTGCGGTGCGGTGTTCGTGAGTGAGGTGGGGACAACAGTAGGTGAGTTGCCTGGGTTGAGTGAGGGATTGGATTGAGCCCCTTAAACTGAACCGAGTGTATCAATTCAGACAATGAATAGAGTGAGCCAAAGGGAGTAGTATCTGCGATTGTAGAGGTTCAAGAAAAGCACCGTCGAGGAAAAGAGCAGCTGACCGAGAAAGTCGACGTTGGAGCTTCCGCCGGCGGAGAACTTTTTTCAACTCTTCAACTATCCACCTCCGCCGACGTCCAACACTTTTTTCTCTTTTGACTGCAACAGCGTCATCTATAATTTATTTATACTGTGATAACAAGAAAGAAATCGCAAAATGTCGTCCATGCGCAACGCCGTCCACCGACGGCAACACCGCGAGCGAGGCCAACTCCAAGGCCGTGAAAAATGGGGTATCCTCGAAAAGCACAAGGTACCTTTCCCTTTAACCCCCAATCCATCCCTCAAAAAGAGAAGTACTAACAAATAAAAGGACTACTCCCTCCGCGCAAAAGACTACAACCAAAAGAAAGCCAAACTCGCCCGCCTCTCCGAAAAAGCCCGCGACCGCAACCCCGATGAATACGCCTTCGGCATGATGTCCTCCCACTCCGGGAAAGCAGGCAAACACGGTTCCGGATCGCGCGACTCCGCCGCCAGCCTAAGCCACGAGGCGATCAAGTTGCTGAAGACGCAGGATGCGGCGTATCTGCGGACCGTCGGGGAGAGGGTTAGGCGCGAGATGGAGAGGGTTGAGCAGGAGGTTAGGTTGCAGGAGGGGATGAGGGAAGTTCTTGGGGGGAAGGAGGATGATAATAAGAAAGGGAAGGGGGAGGAGATGAGTGAGGATGATGAGTTTGGGGGGTTTGATTTTGGGGATGAGGTTGAGGAGACCAAGCTGAAGAAGGTGGTTTTTGCGGGTGATCGGGAGGAACAGAGGAAGTTGAAGAATCGGAGGCTACGGGGGGAAGAGGAGGAGGATGAGGATGAGGATATGGACGATTCCTTCGAACAACGGCTGAAACAGAAGAAATCTCGGAAACAGCTCGAGGCGGAACGACAGAAGCTGGCTGACGAACGACGAGCACGCAAGCTGCGCAAGAGAGCTGTTGAGGCGCGAGAGAATAAGCTCAAACACCTTCAAAAGCAATTTGCTGATATCACCGCCGCGGAGCGCGAGCTGGACTGGCAACGAGGGCGGATGGATAACTCTGTTGGGGGGACGAATAAGAATGGCATCAAGTGGAAGATTCGGGAGAGGAAGAAATAATTCCTCTATTATGATTATGACGATTTGCTTTGTTATTGATTCCCTGTTGTCATTGGTCCGGAAAAGTTGTTGCTTGTTCATTCTATAGCATGCTGTAGATACCACTAATTCAGAGATAGAACCATCTACATAGATAACTTTTATTCATTATCATACTATATGTCCAACGTTAAATCATGAGAAATGAGGAAAGCGACTACGACTGATTCCGCTTGATCTCAGCCACACGAATGCTGACAGCCCTCTTGTGCGCCTCGAGTCCTTCAACACCAGCCAGTTGCTCGACTGTGCGTGACAGGCCGTAAAGACCGTCAGCAGTCAGGTTGGAGCTGGTGATATGCTTGAGGAAGGATCCCAGGTTGACACCGGAGTACTGCTTAGCGTAACCGTATGTTGCTGTAAAATGTTAGCACGAGTAAATAGATCCATAGAAACGAAAGGCCACTTACGCAAAGAGTGGTTGACACCTGCAGAGTAATCCCCCACACTCTCAGGAGTCCACTGGCCGATGAACACACTGCCTGCGTTCTGTACCAGGTCCACGACGGACTCGGCATCCTGCACTTGCAGGATCAAGTGCTCCGGAGCGTACTCGTTGCTGAGGGTCATGGCCTCGTTGATATCCTTGACCACGAACGTCACAGAGTGCGCCAGAGATCCCTTGACGATATCCATCCGGGGCAGGGCTCTTGCCTGCGCATCGACCTCATCCTCAATGGCCTTGAGCTGAGCCTCGTTAAGGTCAATCGCGATGAGGATAACCTGCGAGTCGACGCCGTGTTCAGCCTGACTCAGAAGGTCGGAAGCCACAAATGCTGGGTTGGCGTCCTTGTCAGCCACCACAAGCACCTCACTGGGTCCAGCGGGCATGTCAATGCTGACACCTGCAGAGGTGTCGTTGGCCACCAGCATCTTGGCAGCAGTCACGAACTGGTTACCGGGACCAAGGATCTTGTCGACCTTGCTGATGCTTGGGGTTCCGTAGGCCATGGCAGCCACAGCCTGAGCACCACCAGCGAGAACAATGCTCTCAGCACCGACCTTGTGGGCGACGTAGACGATCTCAGGGGAGATGCTGCCATCCGCACGCGGGGGCGAGGCGAGCACGATGGTCTTGCATCCAGCAACCATGGCGGGCACACCCAACATCATGGCTGTAGAGGGAAGCACGGCAGTACCCCCGGGGATGTAAAGACCAACCCGCTCAATGGCCCGCGAGAAACGTGAGCAGACCACACCCGGCATGGTCTCCATCTTGAGTGCATCATTGCTTCCCTTCTGGGCGGCGTGGAACTTGCTGATGTTGGAGATACTGACATCGATAGCCTCCTGCGTCTCTGGGGACATCTTCATGAGTTCCGCAGGGAACGGTGCGTGGAGGACGGGAGACGTCAAGGACGTAGCCTTTTCAAACTTGTGGGTGTACTTGAGCACACCCGCATCGCCGTTCTCGCGAACGTCCTGGATGATGGGACGCACAAGGCCGACAATTGCTTCGTTCGACTTTTGCGACGGCCGCTTGAGGTGGTCGCGGACGACGTTCTCTGGTGCCGAAGCGGTGACCACACGGGTCATCTCGAGTCGGGCGTTCACGTCAACGGCGGGCTGCTCGGGCTTCTTCTCCTCGGCGGGCTTAGATTCGGCTGCAGGTGCCAGACCAGCCTTCTCAGCCCAGGGACCCTTGGCGTCACCCTTTCTCCTCTTAACCTTGAGGCTCTTGAGGTCGAGATTCCGTTCGACATCCTCCAAATTGACACCATTGGCGACGCAGCGGGTCAAAGCAAAATAGAGCAGATCGGCGGCTTCGAACGCAATCTCCTCCTTGGTGTTGGCGCGGCACAGTTCGTCGGCTTCCTCCATGATCTTAGCCTGGGCGAGTTTGGGGTCATTGAACAGTCTCGCAGTGTAGGAACCGGCGGGGGCGTCTGCCTTGCGGGCTTGAAGGGTCTTTTGAAGGCGAGAGAGACCATTGTAGGGACCGAAGCAGCTTGCTCTACCGAGGTGGCAGAATCCTAGAGAAAACGTCAGTTCCGACAAGGCTGGATTTGTGATAGTTGATCTTACCCCGGCCAATCTGGTTAACGATGAAGACCAGACAGTCGCTGTCACAGTCGAATCCAACACGGATAAGTTCCTGCACATCACCACTAGATTGACCCTTGTACCACAGGCCGCGCTTCCGGCTCTGGTAGACACCAGTACCAGTACGGAAGGCCTCTGCGATACTCTCATCACTGCTCCAGACAAACCCCAAAGAGACACCCCGCTCATCGGTGACAAGGGTGGCATACAAGCCATTGCCCTGGTCGACCACGGCGCGGGCAGCGACAAGCGAAGCGGCGGAAATCTGGCCATCGGAGGGATTGCGCTCGAAGGTCAGGCTCTGTGCGGGAACGACGCTAACAGCACCTTCGTTGATAGTTTGTTTCAGACCTTCCTCTGTAATCGATACGTTGTCACGGTAGTTCTGGTAGAGATTCTGCGCCTCGAGGTTCATGCCCAGCTTATCAGCCAGGGCCTTGCTAGCCGATTCCGTAACGAGACCGGCATCCTTCCTCTCGGGATTCTCTGCCACCCATTTCTGGAAAGCATCGATCTGGCTATCGGACGAGGTGTAGACGATGAGACGATCGGAGGGAACAGATTGTTCTTGAGACAGGGTGGTTAATTGGTCAAGGGAGATGAAGACTTTAGCGGCACCGGTGTTGAGGATATCGACGATATCTCCGGAAGAAGGGATGTCGGTAACATCGAGGTAGACGTCGAGATTCCGGAAGTTCTGGCGCAGAAATTCCTGAGCTTGCTTGAGATTGTTGACCCTGACGAGGACACGGCCTAGGTATGCGATCTGCTGGAGAGAGAGACCAGCGGGGGCCGCGGGGTCGAAGGAGACGAGGAGGGGGGCTGCCATTCTGTCGTATGTCTAGTTAACGAGGGGAGACAAGCAAATGAGAAAGATAAATAGATCAAGAGAGTCCCCTGTGTCCTGAGGAAAATGACAGAAAGAGTTGGGAGAGGGAGAGAGGAAGAAGAGGAGAAGCTGAAGCCGGAAGAGTCATACTGTCGATTTTTCAGCCCCGCCACAGCCGGTCATTCACCCATTTTTGTCTTTTTCTGTATAAGGGGGTCAAGTTAAAGGTATAGAATTAGCAATTACAATTTACATATGCGGAATCAAAAATTCTAGAGAGGTAGAGCCAAAAGTGAGGTTGATTATACTGACCGAAGGATTGACCAATAGCAGCACGCTAATTAGAATCTGTATAGCTTCAGGACTTCCGTTTTTGGGTAGTTGACATATCACCACAACCGATCATATTCGGTGTATTACAAGTACAGTCAAGTACATGTGATTTCACATCGCAAACAAATTCGTGTATTCTGGGATCATGCAGTCAGAAGAATGTCTGACACGGAAAAATGGAAAGAGCTAACGACCCCCAATAAAGAAGGCCGATTCCTTACAGCAAACACGACTATTGGAGGCAAAATGCGGCATTCTTTCTTTGCGACGCAGGGGTGATTGTGTCACTCTTACAAATATGCGACTCGCGCCTTCCTGTTGTGCCACTTACTGTCACTTACTGTCACATCTTATAATTTTTAATACATTTTGCTGTTGAATTCTTTCTTCTAGTCGTTCGTTAATTGCCAGACATGCGCCTCTCGAGCCTTCTCTTCATCGGCCCTTCGCTGGCTGCGACCCTTCCGCCCCAGCCACTTCTGCATCAAGAGGAGGCCCTTTCTCAAGCGGACGCGGTCAAAGAAGCCTTTCAACATGCCTGGAATGGTTATACGAAATACGCTTTTCCTCATGACGAGTTGCGTTCGGTTTCCAACGGCTACGGAGATTCCAGGTATGTCACCTTTTCTCGTGCCTGTATGATATTGATGATGTACTGTATAGAAACGGATGGGGCGCTTCTGCCGTTGATGCCCTCTCGACCGCGATTCTGATGCGTAAAGCCGATGTCGTTAACCAGATTCTCGACCATATTGCCTCTGTCGATTATTCCACCACTCCATCCTTGGTCAGTCTGTTCGAGACTACCATCCGATACCTCGCGGGAATGTTATCCGGATACGACCTGCTGAAAGGCCCTATGGCAGATCTGGTTCAAGATTCGTCCAAGGTGGACATGCTTCTTACTCAGTCGAAGAAACTAGCAGACGTACTCAAGTTCGCCTTTGACACAAAATCCGGGGTGCCGATCAACGACGTCAACATCACCTCGCACGAGAACGACGGTCTGACATACAACTCACTTGCCGGAATGGGCACTTTGACGCTGGAATGGACGCGATTGAGTGACCTGACGGGTGATCCAGAGTATGCGCGATTGAGTCAAAAGGCACAAGAGTATCTACTGCACCCAAAACCGACCAGCAGTGAGCCCTTCCCCGGTCTGGTGGGCAGTAACATTGATATCGCGACGGGCAACTTCACCGACGCAGCAGTTAGCTGGAACGGTGGCGCGGATTCCTTCTACGAATACCTGATCAAGATGTACGTCTACGACCCGTATCGCTTTGGATTGTACAAGGACCGATGGGTGGCAGCCGCCCACTCGACCATTGAGCATCTGCAGTCGCACCCGTCATCGCGGCCGGACTTGACATTTCTGGCGTCATACAACAGAGGCCAGCTTGGTCTCAGTGCGCAGCACCTGACCTGCTTCGATGGAGGTAGCTTCCTGCTGGGTGGGACTGTGCTGGGTGACGACAAGTTGGTTCAGTTCGGCCGGGATCTCGTGAAAGGGTGCCATGCGACATACAACGAGACGGCGACGGGAATCGGACCGGAGACGTTTGCATGGGATGCGCAGTCGGTGCCAAATGACCAGCGGGTGTTTTTCGAGAAAGCCGGTTTCTACATCACCAATGGGGTGTACATCCTGCGGCCGGAAGTAATTGAGAGCTTCTACTATGCATATCGTGTCACCGGTGAGACACAGTACCGAGACTGGGTGTGGGATGCATTCGTGGCCATCAATGCCACATGCCGGACAGACTCTGGATTCGCAGGAATCAACAATGTAAATGTGAAGGATGGAGGTGGGAAGCAGGACAACCAGGAGAGTTTCATCTTTGCGGAAGTGCTCAAGTATGCGTATCTGGCGGTGACAGGAGACGATGAGTGGCAGGTGAAGCCGGGCAATGGGAACAAGTTTGTGTTTAACACGGAGGCGCATCCTATCCGAGTATATTCTTAACGTGTTCTATACTTACTTTAAACTGGGTTTTCTAATCATAATGTCTATCGATACGATAAGAGATACTTGCCAAAAAAGTCCAAACTTAGGCCCAGACACCCGAAAGATCGTCGTAAAGATCGAAATGGTCCCTGGAGATGGGACTCACTTAAGTATACTCCGTAAACCCTCTGTATTATAGAGTACTTCGTACTATGTAGTCGTACTATGCAGTGCTAAAATAAATATGCATACTCAAATAGGAAAGATTAGCATTCCGCCCCACTGCGCAGATTTGAGCAACCTTGAGAAAGATGAAGCAAAAACCTTGGAAGGGAGTACCTTGGGGGGACACATATAAGTATGCTCTCCTGTAGCTGTTCAATCTCATTATTGTTATCATTCTAGCATACTATACATCCTTCTACACTACTCTATCCCATACCCCAGATACTTTTATACCATACTCCACTTTAATCTATACAATGTGTGGCCCTCCTCGTCCTAGCTCCGGCGGCCGTATCGCCGTACTCTTTCCAGCTTCCTCTTCCTCTGCCAACTCCTACTCTGTCCTGTTTCATAACGACAAAGAAAACACACAAGCCACCTTTCGTGCCGACAATAACGATATAGACTCTCTCGCTGCGCTCTGGGGGTCTTCCGCAATAGATTTGCGGATAGAGTGAGTCTCTTACCGCTCCATTACCTGTATTCGGGTGGTTATTAACAAGGACAACAGGAAGTACGGAGATCTCACATCCTCATCGACATTAACATCATCACCGCTGCATGCCTTCCGCCTGAGACCTCAACCTGGGGCTTCTAAGATGGAGATGGAGTGCGAGTTGCCGGAACGGTTGGACTTGGGGATTTCAGACACGGGGATTGTAGGGAGACAGGTTACGGTTGTTGCGGATGGGAGGATGGGGACGGGAGTTGTTGGATATGATTGATTTATTCTCTCTTTGTGTGCTTGGAGTTTCGGTGAATTGTTCATAGCATTTTCGTGTTATTCTGATGCTCATACATCATAGCGTATTTACTGAGTTCTGATAATGATCTATTTTACAGCTTGAGGACAGCAGGACCCTCAATGCCATTCTGGTACCGGTCCTCAGTAGTAGACCAGTTGATGATCTTCCAGATACCATCGACGTAGGAGGCCTTGTTGTTCAGGTACTACAAGCATCATTAGCACCAACGTATAAAAAGGCCGGAACAAAGCAACAAGAACAAAGAAAAGAGACTCACCTGCAAATAATACGCATGCTCCCACATATCCACCCCAAAAAGCGGCGTATCCCCCGTAACCGGATCCTGATCCTTCGTCGTCACAATCTCCAACTCCCCCTTAGGCTTATTCGCAACCAACCAACCCCACCCACTCCCCTGGATTGCCAGCAACGTAGCCGAAAACACCTTTTGGAATCCCTCGTAGCTACCCCACTTCCTCTCAATCGCCGCCTTGACACCGGGGGCAGACTCGAGCTTCGCCTGCGGGGAGCTGGCGGGGGTCAGGTTCTTCCAGAAGAGGGAGTGGTTGATGTGGCCGCCGCCGTTGAATTTGATCTTTTGTTGCAGGGAGATGAGTTGGGGGACGTCTTGGGATTGGAGGGCGGTGGATTGGGCGGTTAGGGCAGCGTTGAGGTTGGTGATGTAGGTTTGGTGGTGCTTTTGGTGGTGGATTTCCATGATTTGCTTGGAGATGACGGGCTCAAGTGCCTGTTTTGTATTAGTATGAGAGGCTTAGCTGGGAGGAGAGATACATACATCGTAGGCGTAGGGAAGGGGAGGGAGGGTGAATTGAGACATGGTGATTATTGTAGTTTGTGTTTGACTGGCGTTTCGAATTCAGCTAATTTGCAGTAGTTGAGGGATTGAAAGAAGAGAAGTCAGAGAAAGCAAGAAAAGAAGAGAAAGAAGATATATCTCCAAGGTACTCTAGTGCGCGTGTTTGAGCGGGTTTCTCCAGGGACCTTGATGGGTCTCTGGAGCACGATTGAGCACATTACTCTGGACTTCTACGGGATTCTATCCAATGATACTCTGTATGGATGACATCTGACTGCCAATTAGTAACGAATGCTCTGTATGAATATCTCTCTGAAATGATGTTATCCTGGCTGTCGATTAGGGTTAGGATCTATTCTTATCCGTACCGCATCCCACCCCAGATTACCGATTCGCCGACGCCCGCATACTCCCACTACCACTTCTATACAGGTGTACTATCAAACCTATGTCGCAAACAGAGAACACTTTCGCCCATATAAACCACTCTAGATGTCCTTTGTAGTTCGAATAACCTCGTTTCATCCCCAAACGGATCACTAATCATGCGGGGTATCACCGAACCTCGGCTCTCGGTATGACTTCATTTAAGTACCCCGGTACGAGCACAGGGGCATGGTTTCGACTTTTCATACTTCTATCTTTACCAGATAATCGCCAGATAATACTCAATTGAAAATGTCAGAAGCACATCTCGATAACTTTTCCTCGCTCTTCTCCCTTGATGGCAAAGTCGCCGTCGTCACCGGCGGTTCAAGGGGTCTAGGTCTCCATGCCGCGTCGGGGTATGCTTCCAATTCCCTTTGCGCAACAAATTGAAACCAAACTAATAGGATAAAATAGTCTCCTCCAAGCCGGATGCTCAAAAGTGTACATCACATCGCGAAAAGCCAGCGCCTGCGAAGAAGCCGTCGCCGTGCTCAATGCGCTCCCGAACAAGCGCCCCGGCACGCAAGCCATCTCCGTCCCCGCCGATAGTTCGCGCATGGACGAATTGGATAGACTCGTTGCAGAGGTGAAAAAGACGACGGATCATGTGGATATCCTGTTTGCGAATGCGGGCGCGACATGGGGCGAGAAATTCGAGACGCACCCCGAGCATGCGTTTTCGAAGGTTATGGATTTGAATGTTAAGAGTGTGTTTTATTCGGTGCAGAAGTATGCCTTTCCCCCCGGGGTTCCAACTCTATTATCCACATATACTGATACCCCTGTCAAGGTTCGCCCCTCTCCTCTCCCAATCTGCAACCCGCGAGTCCCCCTCGCGAGTAATCATCACCGGCTCCGTCGCAGGCATCGGCGTCGGCTCTCTCGGCGAAAATGCCACATTCAGCTATTCCACTTCCAAAGCTGCCGTCCTCCATCTAACCAGGAACCTCGCTATCGAACTCGGTCCTCGGCATATCCTCTGCAATGCGCTTGCGCCCGGGTTCTTCCCGTCGAAGATGGCATCTGGGCTGATCGAGAAGCAGGGCGGGTTGAAGGCTTTGGAGGAAGAGAGTCCAAATAAGAGGTTGGGGAGGCCGGAGGATATTGCGGGGGCGGTTGTTTATTTGGCGAGTCGAGCGGGTAGTCATCTGAACGGGGCGACGATTGTGCTTGATGGGGGGAGTGTGTTGAAGAATAAGCTGTGAGGGGCTCTAATTGTATATAATCGTGTAATGGATCGGAGTTCTTCCCACTGCGTCAGGCTTACCTACCTACCGAATGATCAAAATCGAGTGTCCATATCCTGAACATTCCGATACTGAAATATGTCCGCTAAACCACTCGACGAGAGGAAACCCCGGATCCCTTATACGAGGGGTTGGCGGTTTACTATTCAACAACATGTACCCCCCTCCTCCCATACAGCGGCCTCCCTTCGCTGGCTGCAAATTCAATAGCAAAGCGGAATCCCGAAAAATGGAACAATTGCATCCCATTGAACGATGCCTTCAATACCCCCATTGCAGGGCTCATATGGCCTATTCAGCCTTGAACTGCAAGTCCATGACACAGTGCGCGTTGGCAATTGTCACAGCGCTCAAGTGGTTGAAGTCGAAGTCCTCACTGAAAACCCTCCAGTTGATGGACTATCCCAAGGCCAGCATGTGGTTGCTAAGCTATATGATCCGATGTACATCGATGACAATGAATTCTATGTCAATCCGTTTCTAGTTGCTGATAAAGGCTACACCTATGAAACAGCAGCTTATGGTGCTCTTTACGACCTCCAAGGTTCCCCAATTCCTCGATACCATGGCTCTTATTCTCTCGATATCGCCGAAAGTCAATCAAGCGAAGTGTCCGACTCATCCTGATTGAATATATACTAGGGGCTGTCAATGCAACAAGCTGGTCCCAACGGGCTCTCCCATAAGGCACGCCAAAGCATCATGAAGTCCACATTGAGTTTGAGTCATCGCTCTACGCCAGGGATGTTGTTTTTGAGGATCTCCGTCCAAGAAATATCATGCTGGTCAACCTCAAGGATGAACAAACACATACCGTCTTCATTGATTTTGCACATGTACGGTTTGAGCGGCTGGTATATGTCCCTGAGGGTCAAGAAGAGCCTGAGTACTGGCAAGGTACATACATCTTGCCTCTTTTGCGTTGGCATGAAGTTCGAGGGCAGACCTACGGATTCGAAGACTGGATTGACTGGGACTGGCAACCATGGCTTGAGGCGGACTTTGCGGAAACAGCTGCGACGATTAAGCCGGGGATGGTAGAGCTTTTTATGCCAAAGACCTTTCTCAGGAAGATGTAAGGTCAAAAGTGATGGAGGTATCTTTACTAGTCAAGAATAAACTTGAGTAAGATTTCTTGGTATCTCCTTTATATTAGTGCGATCTCAGTCCGAATTCCCACATGTGCAAGGCATATGACTCCAAGACACTGTAGTTATGCAATTCACCGGCCCAATTGGACATAAGCCTTCTAAAATCGATGTTAGATTCTCCTGACTTCGCATTTAGTTTCACATCATCCATGTCTCTACTTACAATCGAGATGATATTCTTTGTATCATATTGATTCAAGCGGTCGACTATGCCCTGGCTGCCGAATTGGAGTCATACAGCCAACGAAATCATGTGGCTTCAGCTACAGAATATGAGCTCAGTGATGAGTGCGCTCTCCCCTGCAGATCTGTACCGGTGGCCAAGACAGCGAGAAAAGAGTGACTGTGGCTTAGGAAGGTCTACGAGATCTTCCATCCGTAGTAACCACATTCAACACCCCAGCCGGCAACCCCGCCTTTTCAGCCAACGCAGCCAGCGCCAGCGCAGAGTACGGCGTCTCAGCAGCCGGCTTGATCACGACAGTACATCCTGCCACAATCGCCCCCGCGACTTTCCGCGTGATCATCGCCGACGGGAAGTTCCAGGGCGTCAATACCCCAACTACACCCACGGGCTGCTTGATAGTGACCACCCGGTTGCCCAGTGCTGTGCCTTGAGTCATGTATCCATAAGAGCGGGTTGCTTCGCCGGCGAACCAGTTGATGAAGGAGGCGGCGTATTGGATCTCTTGTTTGGCGCCGGTGATTGGGCGGCCGTTTTCGAGCATCAGAATGCGGGTAAGGGGCTCGATGTTTTTTTTTTTTGGACCAGGGTGTGCCAGCGACGGAGGAGGAGGGCGTGGTCTTGGGGTCGGGTGTGGCGGAAGGATTGGAAGGAGTGGTGGGCTATTTCGATGGCTTTGCGGGCTCCGTGTTCGTCTCTGTTGGAGTGGGTTAGCGGGTCATTTTCCTGGGGTTTTTGAAGTATCACAATCGTGAGGACTTACACGTCCGGGCAAGTCCCTAGGATACTGTTGTCGGCCAGGTCTGAGCACATGCGTCAGATATTCCTTCCTATAGATCAATACTGAGAGTTGGTTCATGTTACAGAGAATGTCTTCTTGTCCGGTGCATCCTGCCACCGGCCTCCGATATAGGCTTGTTCGCGGAATAAATCAGTGTTTTACAGCGCTGACTGGAGTCCATCATTGTTCCATTGAGAAAATTCCAAACCATTGAGAACTACTCACAGATGCCATGGCTTTTATAGGAGCCCGCGCATACAATGCAGTAGTTTGGGGACGCCTGGTGACGGCGATTGCGAATGAGCGAACATGGTTGTTTGGACTAATAATAATAATAATTATTATTTAATCAAGTTTATTGTCCATACCGAGCCCTAGAGCTATGATAGACCATGATTCATGGACTCGAGGCCAGCAGCTATTCTACGGTCTCTTGTCCCTATAAGTTCCTGAGGCAACACCTCCTTCTATAATATTTCTAATCTTTTTCCTCGCCCCAGGCCGCCTGTATGCGCAGGGCTTTCGAGCAGAGTGCTCTCCTTGTGTTTTTGGAGCAGGGTGGGTGTGGCCTAGTGTCACAACCTAGCTTCTCTTCATATCGTAACCTAAGGTTCTAGTTAGTTAAGTCTCAGTTGGGGCACTCACCTGAGTGTCCTTCGTCGTCGTCGTTATATCGATAATGACCCCCAAGGTCTAAGTCATAATGCGCCGCGTGGTATCTCGCCCCAGTAAGGCTCTGTAAAGAATGCGCTGCTTGGTATATCGCCCCAGCCAGGCTCCGTAAACAAGTAATCCAAATAAGGTGACGAAGTAGAGAAACAAGGTCAACTAAGTACGTATACTTAGTTGTTGGTTTAGTGCTGACGAGTCTGAACTAGAAAGGTAACCAATGCTTTATTGACGAAGACAATCGCGAAGAACTCAACTAAGTACAGGAATGAGTGTCCTTATATATCCTCCACGATATCAGTATAACATCCCCGAAGTATACTGGTATACCCTATACAAAACCAATAGTATAACTCCCGACTTGTATACCTGTATACCTCCCGCAGGTCACGTGAGGTATGTCGTACTTCCTTAATGCTCAGGCCAGGACCCCTGCTTAACTCACTGATCATCCCATTGAGCATACCCAATGATTCTGCCTTAACTCCCCGCATCGTCACGTGAGGCTGACAGGATAAGGTCTGTAACACCTAGGCTAATTCTCAGCTTAGGCTACCCTCCCTTTTGGACTAATAACTAGCAGTGAAGCATTGAAGTGTAATTGAAGGGATCAAAGAATATGTAGATTTAAGAATGAAAAAAAATGAACAAGAGGATATAGTCTTTATACATACAATCGGTCAGCCATGTAACCCTAATTGGTCGACGATTCTCGGATTCCAGTTTTCCGAGAGAAACCCCGCATCCGAAGCACGGAGAGCATTTGTAAATTTGTCCTACATATTCTATATAGCTCTCCCCCCATCAACCTCCAAATTAATCCCCATGATAAATCGCGACTCATCGCTAGCCAGGAACAAGCACGCGTTGGCGACATCCACGGCCTCGCATAATCGGCCCAGGGGCACGTTACTCGTGAAATTGGCCATGTTCGCTGGCGTGTCCTCGACACCTGTGAATGCTTTGAATCTTTTGACCGTTAACTCTTGTTACAGTCTAGCTCAGGATAAAATAAATACTCACAGGCCAGTCACGCCCAGAAGCGGACATACAGAGTTAACCCGAATACCGAACGGTCCATATTCAGCGGCTAGACCTTTCGTTACCTAGTCATGGTCAGAGATCGATCTATGTAGGTAGCCGGAGCATACGTACATTGCACACAGCTTTTTTGGAGGCATTATACCAAACGAGTCTCGCGCGCGGTCTGGTAGCGCCTACCGAGCCGATATTGACAATCGAGGACTCTTTAGACGGATTCTCTTTGAAAATTGGTATCAGGCTCTGCGTAGCATGAAAGATACCCTTGACGTTGACGTCGAAGCAGCGGTTGGATTCCTCTTCTGTCACGTCCAGCGTGGGCTATTCACCATTTATTCAATAAGTCAACGCTGCGGTTATAGATCGGGAGGTGGTCTTACCTTATTATGATATGTCGTCCCGGCAGTGTTAACCAAGCAATCAATCTTCCCATACTCTCTCAACAGCCGCTGCCCCAATTCATGGGGGGAGGAGTGCGAATTTTTTGGATGCGGGTGGGCAGACTACTACAGAGACTATGGTGAAGGCGTTTGAGATTGTTTTGGAGGATGAGCGGGTTAGGGTTGTTTTGGTTAATATTTATGGGGGCGTGTACTCCCCATTTCCTACTGTCCAAGATCGTCGCTAATGGCTTTTGCTGTAGGTATTATTCGGTGCGATATGGTGGCTGAGTCCATTATTCAAGCTGCTGCGAGGTTAGGCCCATTGCGGTGTCCAATGGTTGTGAGGTTACAGGGGACGAATTCGGAGGAGGGGCAACGTATGGTAAGGATTACATCAATCTGAGGCAAAGTCTCCTAATACTGACTATCTATAGATCCAGGAATCAGGTCTAAATCTGATTGCCGAGTCTGATTTTGAACGAGCAGCTCAGGTAGCTGTTAAGCAGACAAGACTAATGTGAGACGCATGGCATTATACTTGATAGTTTCATTGATCAATCTCAACAAATCATGGGCTTAATAACCCTCCCCTCCTCTAGATCAGCGATTGCCTTGTTAAAATCGTCCGGCTGAGATGCGATTGTAATCCGAGAAAGGTTGCGTCTATGCGTGTTGATCAGTGAAACCCCGCTTGAGTGTTTTTTTTTTTTTTTTTTTCTGGGTTTCCGAGAAAGACTATCTCCGTTTCGGGTGTTCGGTGGGCTTGGGATGAATCATGGATACCACCCACCTTGTTGGTGAGCAGTACGGTGAAGAATTTGTAAATCAAAATGGCCAGCTTGAAGGGGAGAAGAAAGCCACTCATTAATCAAGACTATGTATTATTTACTCCGGACACGGCACCCCCATATTAAAGAAAACCGCCTTCGTCTGCGTATAATTCTCCAACACAGCTGCTCCACACTCCCGTCCAATCCCACTCTCCTTGAACCCTCCAAACGGAATACTCCAGTGCACAAAGTTATACATGTTCACCCAAGTTGTGCCCGCCCGCAGCGCATTCGTCACTCGGATAGCTCGCTCGTAGTCCTTAGTGTGGCAGGCTGCGGCAAGACCGTATGAAGTGTCGTTGGCGTGCTTGATGACTTCGGCTTCGGAGGAGAATTTGGAGATTGCGACGACGGGGCCGAAGATTTCTTCGCGCATGATCTATACCACTTATAAGCATGAAGAAGAAGAAGAAGATATTTAGGAAAAGGGGAGCAGTACCTTCATTTCCGGCCGCACATCTGTAAAAATAGTCGGCTCGATGTAGTACCCACCAGTCTCTTTTTCAATAGCCTTTCCGCCAAGATGCAGCGTGGCACCTTCCTCGACACCGGAATCAATGTAGCCCAGGATCTTCTCGTATTGCATCTTGCTGTTCTGCGGGCCTTGTTTCGTGGTCTTGTCAAAGGGATGGCCTACGATGATCTCCTTCAGGCGAGCGGTGAATTTGGTCAGGAATGTATCGTAGATGTCTTCGTGGATGTAAATGCGTGTGCCTGCGTGGCATGTCTGGCCGTAATTCATGTTGATGCCCCATGCGGACCAGTCCACTGCTTTGTCTACATCGGCATCGGGGAAGATGATGTTCTGCGAAGCGTTAGCCCTCGCATATTGTAGAATAAGCCGGGGCCGGGTACATACCGGAGATTTACCCCCCAGCTCCAAAGTCACCTTCTTCAGATTCGACGCGGCCGAGGCACGCAGAATCGCACGTCCAGTAGTGGTCGATCCGGTGAACGCAACCTTGTCCACGTCCATGTGATGGGCAATGGCACTTCCAACTGTCTTGCCATATCCAGAGACCAGATTGAGCGTGCCAGGCGGGAAGCCAGCCTTGGAGATCAATTCACAGGCCTTGAGCGCTGACAACGGAGTGGCTTCGGCGGACTTAATGACAACTGTGTTTCCGGTAGCCAATGCTGGGGCGATTTTCCAGATGAACATCATCAAGGGGAAGCTATTGAGTCAGCATCCAACGACGGCCAGGCAGGCAATGCAGACGACCTACTTCCACGGAATAATCTGCCCACAAACCCCAATAGGTTCCCTCCTGGTATACGCAAAAGTACCAGGGATATTAAATGAAGTCTCCCCCGCAACCTTATCCGCCCAACCAGCATAATACCGCAAAGTACCGACCGAGGCTGGGAAATCAAGCGACGAGCAAAGCTTCACAGTCTTGCCGGTGTCAGCACACTCAAGCGCAATCAGGTCGTCTTTGTTCTCTTCAAACAGGTCGGCAAGTTTGTTTAGGAGAGATGCGCGGTAGGTGGGGTTAGATTGTGCCCAGTCTCCGGCGTCGAAGACTTGTCGAGCAACGCGGACTGCCTCGTCGACATCGTCCTCGCGGCCTTCTACGATGGAGATGAGGGGTTGGCCTGTGGCAGGGTCTTCAACGTCGAATTTGGCACCTTGTTTGCTGTTTGCGAATTGGCCGTTGATGAATAGGCCTGTAGGCAGGGAGATGGTTCGGCCGTTGAGATGGAGTGTTTCGGTCATGGTGTAGTGCGCAGATAAATATCAATAACGCTCTTGAATGAATTGATAAAGAGAAATATGCTGGAATACAAGCACGCTATGGAATGCAGCATTTATAACGAAGAGGGGCAAGCGGGGAAGGATGATTAAAAATGTCGCTCGGAAACAGACCATAACCTTATAACTATACACGTCAATCTCGGAAGGCCTGTAAGCAGATAGTGGGACTCTCTTGGCATCATTTACTGCAGGACTCCCCGCCGCCGTGCTTCTTCCATGGCCACGTCAGCCAAATCGGGAAAATCCGTCCGTAAACTACTCAATAGAGCCTCCGCTTTCTTTCTCTTGGCCGCTTCAACTTGCCCCTGCAGCTGTTGGATCCGGTCGAGAACTTGGGTGTGGGAGTCTGTCAGTGACAGTTCCAGAAGGCCGTTTGCATAGGTGCGGAGGGCCTCTAGGCGTTTCTCAAGGGAATGTATGTCCCCCAGTCCAGGCACCGCGCTAGTTTGGGGGCCCGCTACGGCGTGGGGGCGAGGCTTTTCGGGCCTGGTCGGAGTTACGGTGATACCACCGGACCTAGCTTCGTACCTTGGAGAGGCGTTATGTGCTGAAGAGCTTGGAGAAGTGAATGCTCGACGGTCAGCACCTTCATTTGTGGGCAGGCTCCCCTGCTGGACGAGTAAATCGCTGATGCGGACAGGCGCCTCGATCCGAGAATTGGTAGACCCCATGCCGGGCAGCTCGGAAATAGGAGGAAGTCCAAGTGGTGAGGTACTGGTTCTATTGGTCAATATCCTTGACCTGGGTCTTCTGAACCGATCTTGTTTCCAAATATCGAGGAGCATGTCGCTGCTCTCAGTGCGCGGCCGTTTCTGCCCTTGTGGACTATCCTGCGATAATGTCGAAGTATCTTCAATAGCGGCGGTCGGCCTTTTCCCTCTTTTGTGGTCGAATACATTATCCATGAATCCATAGACGGAGCCACGTGAGTCGATTGCTTTGACACGGGGACCGGCTGGTCGGTGTTTGCGCTGGTATGGCTGAGGGAAATGACAACAGCGACAATTGCAAATCCTAGAGCATTTTGGACAGGTCCATGGCCCTACATTTCGTAGCAAGGCGATGGTTTCGATATCAAAATGACGGAAAAGGCCGCGATAGCAAAAGAAAGAAGAGCACCGTTCACAGGAAATGCCTTTCCATTGTGGATGACTGTCCCTGCATAGATGACATAGCCGTTCCTACGGAGCTGTCAGTGCCTTGCTCTCCATACCGACAATGAAAGAACGCCCACCGTAGAATCTTGACGAGTGAGCACCGCTTGAGCAGCCAAGGTCCCGAGTGATTTGGAACTAGAAAGAATCAGTAGATCGATAGGTGTGAAGGCAAACTAGTAGCTTACCTGGCAGGCAAAGAATGTCTAGGAGCGAGCCCAAACATGTTCCAAACGTGCTTCACAAGGTCTTTGCATTCTGGGATTGGCACGATCTGTGCCCACGAGTATGCGGGCGTATGTTTGCAGCTGCGACCAGATATAAAACAGGTCATGCAGAGATCAAAGTCGCCGCACTCGTCGCAATGTAGATGGCGATTCCAGATCGTTGAGCCACAGAAATTGCACTCAATCACACCACTCTGTGGATCAACTGGCCGCATAGGAGTATCTATTTCGCGCTCAATGATCTGGTCATCTACGAGTTTTTGGAATATATCTGCCAAGGTAGTAAGTTCGTTTGTGCGATAGTGCTCTTTGGATTCAAAGGCACGGTGTAAGCTATTAAATGGTACTAATGGTACCCGGCCAGTATCTGCATGACATTGGTGCTGATACGCAGGCTGGACATCCTGCCGAAACGCCATGAGCGAGGAAAGATGAAGGATGTTCCAGACAACTTTCGTAACGCTCGGGGCCAGGTTGCACACCTGGTGTGCAGTAGCCGAGGGGAATATGATCAGGTCACCTGGTCTTTGATCATAGACGTAGATTGGAAAATCTGCGGGTTTCATCTGCGCTGGCAAAATGTTCACCCAGTCGGTGTGGGGAGATAGTCCTAGCTTTTCCGTGAATATATTGTATTTTTCCTGGCTATCCCGATCTGTGCCGTAGCAAACTGTACCGGGGCCTGTGCCTATTCCGGGTTCATGACCACTCAGTATCAAAGTCAGGATTGGGCAGGATAATGAGCGTACCGTCAACCTCGAGTAAGAAGTTCAAAGCAACGGTGCCGCTGAAACATCTGTGGAATCCGGAACTGTGTCAAGAGTTAGCTAGCCCTCGCAGATAAAAGGGTGCATAGTCCAAGACACACAATGAATTCCGCGTGCCCACATATGCCATAAAGACTTCTGGGGCTATATGTTTGGGTAAAACCCGAAAAAGGTCGAGGGACCCAAGACATCGAAATGGTTCTGGCAGGAGGGCATCTAGCGATTCAGCCCAACGCGGGGGACATTGTAGATCCTTCGCATAGAGCCTAGACGACTTAACATAAGAACCCTTTCAACACTTACAAGCAAGAGACACTAACGATTCTCGAATTCTACGCTTCTCCTTGCGGCCAGACCTTTCGGAACGCAGCAATTCCTGCACCGAAGCGCGGATATCGCGTCCGGTTTGGCAGTTTCTAACAAGGATTGCTAGATGACAAAGTAAGCTCCGGTTCGTCAATCACGAGATTTAGATGCATACAGTCCAAGGATAGAAGATTAAAAAGGCTCTCTCTGGTGAGTAGTGCAGCATCCCAGGTATCGAGTCTGTCGAACCCGCGTACGACAAATGGTTGGCCTGCATCCAATTTCTCTTCCACCCATTCCAATACTCCCTCGGTGGGGAGGTCTTCCAGTTGGTATTGAGGGAATGGGCAGAATGGAAATCCGGACTGCAAAAGAGTGCTGGCTGTTGCCGTCTCCTGCTCCGAAGCATTCATTTTAAGTGTTGGTATAGAATACTGCAAAGTAAAAATAAGGATGAGGCTCCGGAGCCATGGCGGAAAACGGAAAAGGCCAGCTTCCGAAGTTTCTCGGAAACGTTGGCCGTATATCAGTATGTCAGTACTGCCACTGTGAAGGCTTTTTAACAGAATCCGGTGACCCTTGAGAAAGAGATATCACTAGGCCAAGCTGTATTGAAGACAACATAGCCCGATATCGCTAGTTAAAGATCAAGTGGCCTAGGTGGCTATAGACTCTGCGCCAGTTGATAGCTGAGAGGACAAGAAGGAAAGAAAAGGAAGAGGGAAAGAAATCATGGGCTATGGTTGTCCCTTTTTATTATCCATGTATTCACTAGAGTATATTTCCATCCACTGCACAGGATGCATCATGCAACAATCTTATGATCGTGTCACGTGACCCATTTACTGCTTTAAATGTCTTCGCATCCCACCCCTCATCCCAGGATCCTAGTGTCTACTCTCATAAAAGAACACCGATTCCGGTATTGAGGCACTCTCCCGATACGAGTTGTTGGGCTATGGCTGGCATTGGATTACGAGATGCCGTCCACAATCCACGCGTATCTCAACAATCATTGCTAATTCAGCTGTACTAATACAGACAGATCTCCTCGGTACCCTTATCCGCCCGAAGTGGTGAGTTACGGAAGCCTGAACTTCCCGAACACTTTCTTTTTCCTTTCTATTTTCGTCCGAGCGATGCCGGCGTGGATCCCGTGACTGTTCATGCTCCGTACTCCGAACGGAGTCAGAGTCATAGTACGGAAGTCCTTGTTCCGATGCTCAGGAGTGCCTGTGCTCCATTGGTGATAATGTTGCTTTTACTGGGCACCGGGATCGGAGTCGATCGTTGACCGAGATATCACTTACCGCATGGGGAAACCCCAAATGAAGTCATGATGTGCTCAAGCTCCGGGAGTATGCGAAATGCATTTTATCTTCATGTGCTATTTGCAAAGATTGTCATTTATAATTCTTCGTTTCTTCCATTTACTTTCTATGGTCAATACGGCTTTGAAATGACGCTGCTGGCATTGAGTCGACCGCTGTCCCGGCGTGCGGGTTTACACCAGCTCCATATACAAAGAGCGCGCTTCTCAACGACTAAACTAGCATCAGCTGCGCAAGTCGGACACTCGACAGCAATCGCACAATCAGACATAAATCGCGAACGAGTCATTATCCTTGGGTCCGGTTGGGGAGGATACAGCTTCTCGCGCAGACTATCCTCAGACTCCTTCTCGCCGCTTATCATCTCCCCGAGATCCTACTTCGTCTTCACGCCACTCCTTACCGACGCTGCTAGCGGTGCGCTCGATTTCTCGAATATCGTTGAACCCGTGCGGGATTCCAAGGCGAAGGTCGATTTCATTCAGGCGGCTGCGCGGGCGGTCGATTTTAACAAGAAGACTGTGCTGTGTGAATCGACGGTGATTAAGAGTGGTGTTACGGAATCACCGCGGACACATGAGGATGAGCGGTTACAGGAGGAAGGCCCTGAGACTACAAGTTACCGGCCTATGACAGAGGCGCGGAGATGGGAGCAGGGAGAGATGTTCGAGGTTCCGTATGACAAACTGGTCATCGCAGTGGGCGCAGTGAGCAAGACATTCAAGACACCCGGTGTACGACACAACGCCATGTTCTTTAAAGATATCGGCGACGCACGCCGCGTCAAGCGTCGCGTACGAGAATGCTTCGAACTAGCCGTACTCCCGACAACCTCCTTAGAAATGCGCAAGCACCTACTACATTTCGCCATCGTCGGCGCCGGTCCTACAGGCACAGAGCTAGCAGCGAACCTCCGCGACTACATCTACCAAGACGTGGTCCGTCTATACCCAGCTCTCGAAGGCATCCCGCGCATCTCGCTCTACGACGTCGCCCCCAAAGTTCTCTCCATGTTCGACGAGTCCCTCTCCCGCTACGCAATGGATACAATGCAAAAAGAAGGCATCGAGATCAAAACCTCCCATCACGTCAAGGGTCTCCGCTGGGGCGCACCCGGCGATCCACCACCGTATGACATGGACCCGAAACGCTGCCTAACCCTTTCAACCGAGGAAGAAGGCGAAGTCGGCACCGGCATGTGCGTATGGGTTACAGGAAACGCAATGAACAAATTCGTTTCGCGCGCCCTACAGGATCTCAACACCCTCCCCACAGACTCCGTACTCATGAAAGACGGCTCAAAACCACCCACCGAGGTAACAAACACAACCTGGCACGTGAAAAAAGCCCCCAAAGTCGGCGCCTTACTCGTCGACGGCCAACTCCGCATGCAGCTCGAAAACGACCACGGCCAGACAGCAGTCATGCAAGATGTCTTCGCAATGGGCGACAATGCCATGCCCGAGACCGGTGCCCCACCAGCCACCGCGCAGGCAACCTTCCAAGAAGCCAAATGGCTCGCTACCCGGTTCAACAAGGGCGATATCCAGCAATCCGGGCCATTTTCGTTCCGGGATCTGGGATCGCTGGCGTATATCGGGGACGCTAATGCGTTGATGCAGATCCCGCACGAAAGGGACGGGTATGGGTATCTGCCGCAGGGGTTGACGGGGCGGACCGCGGCACTTGTGTGGAATTGGGCGTATGCGACGATGAGTATTAGCTGGAAGAACAAGATAAGAGTTGTGTTTCGGAGGTTGTTGAACAAGATGTATGGACGGGAGGTGTCGAGGTATTAGCATGTACACACTAGTAACATCTAGCCGGCCAATCAACCATATTCACCCACTAAAAGACTAAAGAGACTGTTCCGCAACGCAGCCTATTCTCCATCTTCCTGGTAGGTGAATGAGCACATGCACGGCTTTTACCCTTGCTTCAATGCTGGGTGGTATCTTTCTTCCCTCTCAGTGGCTGTGAATTGGACGCTTGCTTGCCACATGAGTAGTCTCACCAGGGCAGCCTAACACCATCATTGCACACATTTCATTCTCCATCTACATCAACGGGTACACCTCTGTCTTGCTTCCCTCTTAACGAGCATTCCGACTATCTATCGAACTTGGATCTCCCCACAACTGACATCAAATGGGGCAAAAGATGCTCGCTTGAACAGATCTTTATCTACCAGAAAGAAATGCTTCGGAAAAAAAAAAAAAAAAAAAAAAAAAAAAAAAAAAAAAAAAAACCCAAGCTCTCATAGGATATGGTATCAGTACATCTCGCATATCAGGATAGAGGTTTACAAAGATACCCGCGAGAACTCACAATACCTCGTAAGAAAAGGAGAACAGATGAAAGCGGATTGCAACCGCCAGAGATTTTTACAGCCGAATATCTATACCAGTTAACTGAATCAATTATCAATCACGGGAATTTCCAAAACCGGCCAAAACCTCCCTTACGCCGATTACCTACATTGGATGCTTGAAGCTTTCGTGCCTGTCATGTTGGTTGTTTTTTTTTTTTTTTTTTTTTTTTTTTTTTCCCTCTCAATCGATGCAACAAGGCCTAGGGTTGAACTGCCAAGTAGGGGAACACATGGCAAATTCTATTGCCCCCGGCAGCCGTGCTTCTGGTGCAAAAGCACAAATTCAATGTTGATGACCTGAAGAGGCTTTTAACAAGTAAGCTAATCTCTGCCACCTTTTCGCTTCTCTGTGGGCCTAGACCCAGAAGAATATGGAAAGGACCACGATTCCCAATTCCACGCGCGAAATTTGGTATTCTGGGAAATCATACGGGAGAGCAGAGACGCAAGCTCTCATTATAAACCTGTGATAGAGATATCAAATGAGGAAACCAGGTCCAGGTACGGTACATCTCACCGGTATGCGAACATGGCCACTGCAATTCATCCATCAACTGATAAAACTTGTATGGTTCTTTGAACGCCTCAGAGACCCTCTTGCCCCACCACTCCCCCCAGACTACTTATTGTCATATTTAACCAGTTTCAATGAAGTTGATAGCTCCATTTCTGTGCCTTCAAAGATGAACAGTCCACCTTGCCTGATGGCTGTACAGATGAGACAACTAAGCCACTAGTTATGAGGATATATACGGCATTGTATTTGAAAAGGACACGTCCAATTTTGGAGAAAGTATGATAGCAGCTTGCTCGAGATGTTTACCTCGGACGTCAACTCGGCATGAAGTGGTGGAAACTCGAAATTCCCAGTTAAGACGAGGATATTCTTGGGACCCCGGACATCAACTTACCATCAAGCAGTGAAAGCTCCTAGTTAAGACGGGGATAGTCTTGGGACACCGGTTCCGAGTTGTCACCAGAACTTTCGGGATGCATATTCGAGGTTTTGCTCAGTGATGCCACGAGACCAGGGAGAATTGAGCACAGGTTCACAATCTGCAGTGGGGTGACCATTTTGTTTTCTGAAGTCAAGCAAAGCATATGCCGCCATGATGAGAAGATTCAGCATTACAGGAAATGGATTGCTGAATCGATTGGTATGTTCAATGCTGTAAACACTCCTGTTTCTATTCCTTCGCCAATGCACATGCAAAGCATGTGCCTACATTAACCGGCAGCGGGAACTTGACCTCCCCTCCCGGTTATGGGAATTCTATCTGACGGAGTCGACACACAATTCCTCCGACACACTCAAGAGGGAGTGGGCGAGGGTCCGAAACGGTTTAAACTCGGAGGGATCAATGTGGAACCTTTACGACAATTGCAAGACGTGGTTCAGGATCTTATGAAGTGCAACAGGCAGTACTGGAACACTGTATGACCTGTGAGTATATTTCCTCAATGTTCTTAATGGAAGGCACTACTACCGCAACAATCTGAGCAATAAATCCTGCAGTTCACACATTCATCACAAAGAACATCAACTGCTTTATCACCACTGCAACTTAGAAGCTAAAGTGTGAAGACCATACCTGATCTGGACAAGTTCATGCCAAGGGTCAAGAAAACGTACTTGCTCTCAAATGAAGCTGACATAGTTCAAGCATTTGGTCAACATCTTTGTCTATCCTGTAAACGTAAGATTTTCCAGAGATCTTCCGTGATGTCATGTTATCATTTGATATTGATATGCAGTGGGCCATCTCACGTCTAGGGCAAGGGGGGGGGGCTTACCTTTGCCATACTGGAATCCAAGGCTGCAGGCTGCCCGGGTTCTAGTTTTGCACTGGGTCGGTTTCGCGATGGGACTGACTGTGCATAGATGAGAATGCGGAAAGCCAGATGGAATATTGCGGCAGAGATAAATCCACCGAGCACAGACTAGCGTAGATGACATTGGTAGATGCGTATGGTTTTGCGCAACTTCTCTTACGTGTTTTGTCAGGAGTACTAACAGATATGGCAGTGCAGGCATAATACCAAGTGCCAATTGAGACATACGGACGGATTTCCTGTTTGGTCTGACCTAGGAATTGGCCCCAAAGTGAAACTCATCTTCGATTGTATTGTCGCTTGGTTCTAGTTTGGGCGTGAAGGGAATGATATGGTTCCAGGTGCAGAAGGTTAGTTTCTTTCTTTTCTTTTCTCCTGAACAAGATCTCTTACTGACTGACTCTAGACAATCACACTTGAAGAAATGAATCTACCAGTGACAACTTTAGCTATTTAAATCAGGATTCTTCATTATTCATTATAAATTCATTATCATTAAATACACCCCCCAACCTCAAAATCGATCATAAAACCTCCTCCCAAACCCCTCAACCCTAAACGGCCCCGTTCGCCCCGTCCTCCCCGTCCGTCCAGTCCCCCTCGTCGAAACAGGTAACAAACTCCCCGCAAACTCCGTCTCCATACTCTTCCTCCTTATCCTCTCCACAGCAGCCTCATACTCCATATCCTGAATCTTCTTATGTTTCCGCATCGCCCGCGTCTTAATGTCGTCGCTACCCGTGAATTTGCAGAATTGTTCCGTGCAGTACCGCCGGACTAACCAGAATGTGTTGCCGATGTCGTCGACGGCGAGGGCTAGGGCGATTAGCGGGATGGAGATGGCGAAGCCGATGCCGAATGTGTATTGGGTGACGTAGGAGAGGTGGAGTTGTGTGTCGCCGTCGGCGTCGTGTGGGAATTCGGCGAGGTTGATCGTGAAGAACGATGTTATGAAGGATAGGGGTAGGAAGATGATGGTTACGATAGTGAAGACGAGGATGATTTTCCCCTGTCGGGTAGTCCCCGCGGCCTGGTCGCGCGCGAAACGGGCTTCGTTTGCACTGGCTTGTTTCTGTTTTAGATCCAGCAGGTCTGTTATGGAGTAGTAGACGCGTTCTGCTTGGGCGTCCATGCGTTCGATGTCTTTTAGGTGTATGTCGATAGTGCGGTGTTGTTCTCTGAAGCGTTTTTTGATGTCTGATTGCGGGCGGTTATTGTAGGTGTGGGTGTGGATGCTGCAGATGATGTCTTGGAGGTCGTCGAGGATGTCTTTTTGGTGTTGGAGGATTGTGCGGATGATGTTGAGTTCGTCGCGGATGTCTTTTGCTTCGGCGAGGAGGTCGGTTTCTTGGCCGATGTCGAGGAGTTTGTCGATGAAGAAGGGTTCTTCGGATTCGTGGTAGGCTTGTTGGTCGGTGTCGTCGAGGATCCAGGGGCGGTAGTTTTTTTGTTGGTTTTCTTGTTTTTGGGCATGGCGGGCCCAGTGGTTGAGTTTGCGGTGGTTCATGAGCCATTCTGATGCTTGTAGGGATGCTCTGTTGAATTGGCGGAAGAGTACCGTCTCTCGGTCTGTTGCTAGTCCGACTGCTGATTCGAACATGTCTAGGAACTGGTACTCCTCGTCCATGCGATGACGATCAAACACCCCAGAGCATCGATTCGTAATTGCGATCGCCAGGTCATACACCGAGGTTACCGGGTCGCGGGTTTTCGAATTGATATCCTCAATAACCCCGTCCAGCACGTTCAGCGGGTCATTCTTAGGCTGCTCCCACCGCTGAGCAAAGCTCGTCACGATCAAATTAGGGCCCAGAATCCACATCCACAGCTGGTCGACCATGAAGATTTTCGGGTCGTCGCAGCGTCCATCGTCACTCCTCGTCTGGTATCGATACACCACCTGGTCTTGGTCCCGGGTACTGGTATCGATATTCGGATAGAAGAACTGGTCCAGCGTTCGTCTTATATGCAGCGAGGCAGTAGACGAAGACGTAAGATGCGCGTTGATCAGCATCTCATCTCGCGAAACAGACCGACCGATCACCTGGTCCGGAGTAAACGAGGGCACCGGTGGAGGCGGGGGTAAACGCCGTCGTCTAATAAACTCAGCCCGCTGAATAACCTCCTGCATTCTCTGCCGTCGCTCCGCAGTTTCAAAATGAAGATACGGCATGAAAACACAGACATTGGAAGCTGTCGAGTCCCTGCATGTTGACAGATGTCGCTCACGACCGAACGGGGATTTGCTCTTCTCCCCCTTGGGAGTTCCGGGGTGCTTGGATCCTTTCTTCTTGCTGTGGACACTTGCGTTGTCTGCAATGTAATCCGTTTTACCGGTGTTCTTCTTCTTGCTTTTGTTGCTGCTATGTCGACGGTGGTGGCCGTGGCCGTTGTTCTCGGGATGGCTGTGGTTTTGCTTTTCTCTAGGATCCCGAGGCCGTCCGTTCACAATTGTCTGCCCGTTGACTGTTATACTAGGTGAAAGGGGCGAGAGAGTATCTTCCGAACTTGACTCCTCGTCACGAGACTTTGTAGCCGTAGCCCTTGGTGTACTCTGACACAATGGCCGCATGAAATGTGAATGCGTCCATTGCCCGCGATGCTGATAGTTGAATGACTTTTCAAGGCCTTTGAACCCGTCAACATCGTGTAGACCCTCTTCGATAAACGCTTTGGTGAGCAAGGCCTCTACCCATGCCATGTTATTAGCGGGTAGATGAATCCAGCGGAAATCCGTCACTCCGCTGTCAGTAGGAAGTGTCTTGAAGGCTTGCTTGCGTGGATTCTCCTTGTCACGGCCGTACAGCAGGTTGTAGACTGAGGTTTTCTGCACGCGGTTCTCGTTGTGATAGTTACCAAAGTCGACAATTGTCGCTTCGAAACTCTCACAAGCACCCTTCGCATTAGGCGAAAGCGCCTCAACATTATTAAACGGCGCCAGAAGAAACACAATATCCTTGCGATGAAACTGCGCCGCCCGCAAAAACGGTGTACTCCCAAAGTTATCCCTAATGCGCCGTTTCAAATCCGGCCGTTCAAGAAGACACTCCACAATCGCACTATGTCCAGCCTGCGCAGCCAAATGCAACGGCGTCACCCCATTCAACAACTGACTATTAACCTTGGCCCCAGCCCGCAACAGCATACAAACCGTCGGCACAGAACCCTTATCACTCGCATTATGCAACGCTGTCCACCCACCATCACTGCGCGCCTCCAAATCAGCCCCATACCTCAACAACAACCCCACAACATCCTCCCTCCCATGCGCAGCCGCAATATGCAACGCCGTCTTATTCCGAAACTCCACGGCATCAATATCAACTACAAACGGCCCAGCGCGCATAAGCAACAACTCCGCCAGTCGGATCTTACCAGTCGCACACGCCCAATGCAACGGCGTCCGACCCAACGAATCCCGTCCTTTTTCACCATCAACAGCACACGCAGTACCTAGCAACAACCGCACAACGTCATCCCCCCAATCACACACCTTATCCGCAGCAAGATTATGCAGCGCATTCCGCCCCCTCTTATCCTTCGCATTCGCATTCGCCCCCCGCGCAATCAGCAAATCAAGCATATGCCAATGATTCCGCCACGCAGCCGTCATCAGCGCCGTCCGCCCCTTCTTATCCACCGTCTCCAGCGACGCCCCGTAATCCAACAGCAACTGCGCAATACGCACATGGTTCCGCTCGACGGCCCGGAATAACGGCGAGGGACGGTTCCCTGTATGGTCGAGGTTGGGGATGTCTGCTTTCGCGCCCTGGCGGAGGAGGTAGTGTGTTGCTTCGATGCAGTCGCGCTCCGTGGCGCGCATGAGGCCGATGCGGAGGAAGGGGTCGCTGAATTGGCCATTTTCGCGGGATAAGTTCACGATGATGGTCAGGGCTTCGAGATCGTTGTGTTCGGCTGCTTTTTGGAGGCGTGGTTCGAGGCGGTCGTGGGCGTCGCTGCCCACGGTGGAGCGAGAGCGTGAGCGGGACATTGTAGATTAGAGAATTATAGCTTCCTCATCACGTAGTTTGCGCAATGGTTCGTCAGGGTCACGGCTTTCGAAAAAAAAAAAAAAAAAAAAAATTGAGACGCGGAATATAAAACGTCTTAAACGCCGACTGCCAGTTAGCGGACGATCACCGTATTTTGCACAAAGCGCAAAGAAATCTCAGGGGTATTCGTACTCAGCGTAAGAGAATCGCCCATGACCTCAGGAGGCACAGAGCCTTATATATGTCGCAAAACACGATCTGCTGTGCGAATTTCCTGATAGCGTGGTGACATGGCCGTCGCCCACTAAGAGGGTCGGAATTGCGGCGTCGCTGCATGACGGAGGGAAGATCCGTATTGTAGACCAATGGCAGTGCAATCTGTGGATTTCACGCTGTGTGAAGGATCAAAATTAGAAACAAGGAGCGAAGGTGTTCTCGAACTGGGAGGTTGGGTTCACTATTCAGTGACGTTGACCAGACAGAGCCGTGGAATGGAAGATGCGGCTCAACAGGTACGGAACCAGAACCAGTACAAATACACCCGTGGATAACTACACTCAATTACTGTACTGTGGAATGTCTCAAGTATTACCGTCCTCTATGGACGTATTATTTCTATCCATGTCATGGTACATTGTATCAGATCTCATCGCAGTCTAAAGTATGTGGTTGAGAGATCTGACATGGTTGACCACGATTCACAAAATGTAAACACAGTATTCCTTCCCTTGGCAGAGAATATATGTGCCTGTGTGCATCAACAAACAATCCCAAAACGCAAGTCCAAAGTACAAAAAGATAAAAAGATAGATGCAAAGAGCCAGACACAGTAACAAAACACGAAATGGGAATTATAAGGTAAATGCAAGGAAAGGATATGACTGTTCGTGTGGAGTGTGCGCACACCACAGTAGAACAGGTAATGCATGAAAAGAAAACAGAATGAGAAGTGAACCCCTTCAAAACACAAATTATAAACACAAATGGTCCCTCCCTAGTACTCCTTTTTTTATGTTGTCAAAATTATTTCTTTTTCTGGGGAACCTGCTTCAAGATATCATCAAAGCTCATGTTGGGATTGAACCGGCTCATCGGTCGCGCGGGCGGTTCAATGGGTGCCACACCGGCCGGCAGTGGCAGGGCCTCCAGACCAGGGTAAATGGAATGACGGTGTTCGGCCCGGCTCCGCAAGGCAGGCGAGTTGGTTCGAGGAATGGCCGCTGGCGGCGGCGTGAGGGCATTCGGGGGTGCCATGTACGGGCCGGGCTGGGGTTCAGAGGACGACCCGGCAGACGATTGTTGGGCCGGGTACGGCGAGGACACGGACGACTCGTTGTCGTAGGCGTCCTCAACAATCGGGGGTTCGAGAATGGCATCTGTATCGGCCCATTGCTCGGCCATCTGCCAGCAGTGACTGCGACGATAGATACCCTCAACACCGTTGACGACAACATCTGACGGGAGACTGACAACACCAGCACCACCGGCGACTCCGAACCAACTCCGGGCGGTCTTGGAGTCGTTCTGGATCCATGGCGCACCACCACGCGGGGCAATGCACAGGAAGTACTCGACGGCATCGTTGTACCTGACGTTGGGCACGTCGACCACGAGAAGCGGCAGGGCCTGGATGACACAGTAGAGGAAGATCCACTGGCCGCAGCGGAAGTCAATCAGGTCGTTGACCGACTTGCCGTGGCCGCAGCGGCGCTCGAACTGCATGAAGCTCTCGATGAAGGGGGTGGCCCGCAGGCCCTCGCGAGTGTAGGAACCCATCAGGACAGCGTTGACATCGGTATCCTTGAGCTTCTTGGTCTTACGCTTGGCCTCCTTCTTCGCGTCCATGGGCTTGCTGTGCAGAGACTTCAAGGACGGCATCTGGGGAGTGTCGAATGGAATCGGCGGCTGCACGGGCGGCGTCGCGCGGTCATACTCGCTCATGACCTGGCGCAGGGCTCGGGTCTGGAGTTCGTCCGGATCTGAGGTCTGAGGTGCTTCGCCCGAATGGTCGATAGTGCGGTCAGTCAGCGCACCGCGATCGACCATCATGTCGTAGAGATCGCAGAAATCGCGATACAGGTCATTGAGGACCTGGCGGTTGAGCCCACTCTCTTCGAAATGGTTCTTCTTGGAACGGGCCTTGGGCGGCCACGAGCCATACTTCTGGCGGTAGTACTGCATGGTGAAGCGGCGGAACTCCGAAAAGGCTTGCTTCCAGGCCTTGAAGCGAACAACCTTGCTTTCCACGGACGTAGTGGAGTTGGCTGCTCCAGAGAAGACGGAGGGGAAGTCGAACTCATTCAGCTTACTGTAAAGCACGCGAAGCCTGGTATCGAGGTCGATGAAACCACGTTCCAGACGCTTCTGGGTGATGGGATGGATCAAGCCAAACTTGGGACTACGCAGCTGCTTGAGCTCGTCCAGTTTGCCCACTCCGTGCACGAAACCTTCGAGGTAGAGCGGGTAGAAACGAAGCCGCTCGCCAAGAACGATGGCTTCAATCGTCTTTTCACGACTGCGGCGCACGTCACCCAGATGGAGCTCGTCGCAGTAATTGCCAAAGCTAGTGGTCGCAGTTTCACCAAAGTTGGTACCGTCCAAGTTGCTAAACTCGAAGCGGGATAAGAGCGAGGCGACATCCATGAAGATAGAGAAGAGCGACGGAGAGCGGGGGGTAGCGATGAGGGACTGGCCTAACAAGAAAGCAAAGAGATTACGGAAGAGCAGAAGGGTTTCAGTGTCCTCTTGCGAGATGCGGGTGCCGGGGCTAGAGACGTCGCAGTTGAGGGGGATGGGCAAGAAGAGATGCAGCTCCTGGGGCTCATCGGCCACGTCGTCAACGAAAGCCATGCGGTTGCTACCGGAGCTATCATTGTCATTGTCAGGCAGATTTGTCGGGCTACTGATCGACATGTGTCGTGCTTGCTGCTCCAGAGCCTGCGCTTTGGGATCGGTACCACGGGCCAAGAAGGTCAACGAGGGCGATTCAGCAAAGACAGTCGAATGCACCTTGAACGACGGTGGTCTGCCGGTATTTTGAGGGAAAAGGTAGACGTAGGTATCGCCATTCTCGTTCCAGATTTCGGAAGTCTATCATCTTAGTTTCTCTCTCTCTCTCTCTCTTTCTCTCTTTTCTTTTCTCGGTGTCAAATACATACCTGATCACCCCGCGCCAACGGTTCCAAATCGTAGGCAATCTTCTGATCTAGACCCGCAATCCAAGCACCGGGCTGGTTGGGAGTCAGACCTGGACTGGCAGGGCCTCTGGTATCAACGGAGCTCGCGCGGGCGCGGCCAGGAATCCAACTGCGTCGCTTGGAGGGGGTGCTAGGACGCGAGTCGGAGCCACCACCACCAGGGACAAACAAGCCAGCCGCGCTGGCGGGTCTGCTGCTACTCCTCCGACGACCCCGGCTCTGTGGTCTGCCATCGGGGCCGGTGCTGGCGCTGTTGGCGAGATCCTGGTTGACAGCGAGGAGCGATGGCGGTGGAGGGAGGGGGTCGTCGTAATTGAAATCTGTCGAGGTATCGAGGTTGGGCTGTGAGACGATGCGAGAGGGTCGGGAAGCGCTGCGAGGTCGGGTCGCGTCCTGGGGTTGCTGTTCGGGGGAGGACCTGAAGCCGGGTGACACGGGAGATGAAGCGACGGAGCCATCCTTGTGAGAGCCCAGTGAGAATAGCGAGGAGATGCGCTTGGCGGATTTGACAGGAGCCGACAGCATCTTCTCTTGCGTGGTAAAGGGCGATGGGCTTAGGTAGAGAAGTAACCGTGGTAGTCGTGCGGGTGGAGAGTTTCAGGAAGAAGAGAACAGACCGACAGACAACGAGTGGATGAAAAGGTCAAGAGACCGGTTTGAAAAGGACCATGCAGATAACGCGTCAAATCCAAAAAAGGTAAGAACCGCAAACAGAGCGAGAAAGAGAGAGAGAGAGTGTGTGTGTGTGTGTGTGTGTGTGAAGTGAAGGCGAGAGAGAGGGATGGAATGATGGGTGTTCGTGATTGGAGTGGGTTGGAAGAGGTGAGAGAACGAGAGAGAAAGAATGGATCGGCAGGAGGGATAATACCGATTATATAAGACAATCAGTACAGAATACTAGGACTAGTAAGTATTCAGAGGAAATAATAGAAAGAAAAGAGAAAAGAAAAAGAAAAATTACAGAAGTCCAAAAGAAAGGCAGAAAACGGTGGGCAGTGGGGAATAGGCTTCTCGGAGCGAAGAGAATAGGGGATGAACCTGTCGACAGCCCATGTTATATCATATTACAGAGTACAAGTACAGAATACAGAGTAGAAAGAAGCCTCACTAAGGATACATTCTTCTGTATTCAGCTCGTTTGATCTCCATCTGGGTATTCATACTGAATCGCTAAATGACGTGAATGATCTTCTTGTATAGTCCTATGTAGAGCACTACTACTAATCTGTACAGACTATACTACTACTTGTATCTACGATCATTGATATCTTTCCTCCTCTTGTCTATTTTATTCTATTCTCCTCTGTATCTACTCCGTACTCCGTACTCATCTATTCCATTCTCCTCTCGTGTTGTACTAAGAATAGAACAACCGCGCAGTGCACGGAGAATACACCCTCATACGTACCCATGTCAACGTATTCCACCATTCAGCCTCGTATATAATAATAGAACGATAGACATGGACGATAGCTGTCATATTCCATACACCAGCCACGCTGTACAAGTACTCTGTACTCACAAACACCTGTACACACAACGACAGCCTCAAACACATTCTCGTATTCCGGTACGGAAGACTACAAGTATGGTAGCATGGTCAACCATATCAACGTGAATGGCTGACTGTCGGTGGTTGGTCCACTCCGAACCCCCGACTCCGACACTATTTTCACTATTTCTTTTTATTTTTTGACTGCGCCGCCTTCCACCGGTATGCTGGATCGCAGTAATAATGTGCAGTGTGGGATTGATTATTATTATGGCGCAAATGACGCGATTCCTACCATGATTCTCTGGTTCGAATTGAATTTGTCCCCTCTATTTCCGAAACCTTTCCTCCGCTGGTGTTCAATAGAATTGCTCGGTGACTAGGCTTGGCGTGAACTGTTCCATTGTGCCTTCTGCCCAATCTTACATGCTAGTTATGTCCATACATATTTGTCCCCGGAACGATGAGAGCTTATACCATCTTTTCTTTTTTTTTCTTTCTATGGGCCCAGGAAAAGATGCTATTGGTGTCATTCAAATTCAAGGTTTCTGCTAGATCATGCCGTGTTACCGTCAACCATCCCTGCGCCCTATTATGCTAGGCATCGTTCTATCGCAGAAGACTATTCCTAATGAGGGAATGTTTGCGTTCGGTGGGCAGTGATCCTAAGGTCCACAGTATAGGGCATATTAAAAGAGTAACCTAGGTTGGCGTGATCGGAACGGAGGGACGATTGCACGACCGGTTGATTTTCGCGGTATGTACTTTCAAAGCATCTGTCAATTATATATAGTATTATTTAAGCGATTTCGAAGGAATTCTTGTTTGGTCAATGAGGAGTTCGAAAATAGGTCCTCGACGCCTGTAAGTGACGCTGACACAATCCAGCTTTCGTGGTGTAGGTGGTGCTCACCATAATCCGAGTGGCTTGCCATAGGGTGGGTACATCTGTCGCAAAATACTGAGTTGCAGACATCAGATGACATTGAACTTCCCAGCGTCACAATGGCACTTCAAACTAGTATCTTTGGCGTTAACTAATACACAAGCTCCTAGTCCCAGTCGAACTCCAGAGAATAACCATGGGTCGTCCTCTTCACGATCCCTTTCTAGGACCCGTGAAAGTTCCTCTGTCATCAAGTCCTCGTTGGAAAGGTGTCTTCTGAAATGTGCCAGGCCGTCTACCAATTGTTGTTACCCGTATTGCATTCCAGGATTCGGGCTCGCTGATTGGCCCCTTGCCTCGTCTACCCGGGTCGTCGATTCTCTTCGAATTAATGACCGTGGAAAACCAAAATCCCAGGATAGTTAATGCCATCTATCATTAGCATATGATCAAAATGAAAGTGAAAAACGGCAAATTGATCGTCATCGTATTCTTTGGAGCTTGTCTCTTTTCCAGGTATGCTCCAGGCGACTACAGGAGTTTAGCTTCTCATCTCAAGGGTGCTTCATAACTGGAATGGCTCACTTTCAACGATGTTCTCAGAGGTAGCCGAGAAACTGGCTGAGCTGACGGGTGCTCATGAAGTAAATTCAATCGCCCATGCATAATTCTGTCGATCAAAAATGCTGCAATCCAGATTAATATCGAATCGGATGATAAGCAAGGGAGGCGACACGAACGTGAGCGGTTCGTGGCCTGCCAGTCTGGCGTGTGTAATCGGCTGCTGAAGGGCTTTGCGCCAGGGGTTTTTTCGCCGTTGGGATCTGAGGTCCTTGACATTGGACGACAGCACTACCCAGTAGTCCCAGATTGGAATAATCAGGCCTAAGCGGTGCCCAAGGTCCAACTCTGTCCACAGTCCTCTGCTCACTTCGATTGGATCTCAACAAGTATGTCATTCGAGATCGAAGCGTTGTGGATTAGGTCGTCAGGACCTGTGACTGTTCTGATACCTAATCCGATTTAGCGCAGAAGTAGATAATAAAGAGCAAATACCAACCATTACCCGTGTCTCGGATCATTGATAGACATTTCGGAAGCATGACTCTATCGGGCGGTTATGGGCATCGGGGCCTTGGTTTGCTGAGTGACTGGCGGAGCAAGTCGGGACCTATGAGAGCAAACTCGAGTCAATCTTTGTCGGTCATGCCGTAGGGTAGAGTAAGGCACATACACTTTGGTGTGCTTCCGAGTTTAGAGCAGATAATCGTTTTAGTCGAAGGCGCCTATTCCAACATGTCCGCTATGGTTGTGTTTCGATAGGACATTGAGGCATTGCAAGGCTCGGTTCTTAAGACGAAGGCATTTTGACGACAGGTTATCGTGGATGAAGGAAACATTGACGAAGGATGTTTGGTCGATGATTGGAAAGAGGTAAAGAAGGGAGAAAGAGAGTACATAATAGACCCGGGAAGGCTAATACCCTTTCGAGCAGAAGCGACTACTCTCCACGGGAGAGGGGATCGAGTACACACTTGATCTTCTTACTGTTCAGCATACACCTCGCGCAATAGCTATATATTAGCGGTCAATAAGTATAGACGGTTCTTTTGATTTTTACCTTTGGTACAATATGTAGTCTGGCTATAGCACAGTAGTGGCATGCCGATATATATATCCGACATGCGACTAGCAACAATACTCGATCTCTGGCTTCATCGTAGCGCTGCATTGTACCATATAAACTTACTGACTTCTAATCTCTTATTCAAGAGATACTAACTTCATAAGAGCAGCTAACAGCCTGGAAATATCATTAATGCGGTTCAACTGTGCTCCCTATTCCGGTTATACTTCAGGTGCACAAGTAGTTAACTACTGCATAACTATTACATAAGCATACATTAATCATCAATACATAATTCTGCACAACCAACACGCGACCCGTATTCAGTGGATAGTCGCTTGGGCCACCACCACCGTGAATAATATTACAGAGGACCATCTGCTTCTTAGCTCTTCCCCTCGTTTGCCATGACCATATTCGTCCAGGCCTGTTAACTGGCTAGACCACGTCCAAGATCTCACCGCGACCATTCGGTGCCGCGCGCGGAATGTGAATCAGCTTGGCAGTGTATCAAGGGCACACCGCGAGTGTTTACAGGATATCTAGGCGCCCAGAAACGGTGGATGAAGTTGAAATGAGAATCCGCTCGGCAAATATGATGGGTCCGGAGTCGAAGCGCTTAGGCGAAGGCTGCTCTATTCTGAGCTGGTCTGGAGGAGTGCGAGCGAGGGACCCCGGATAATGCGGGATGTGCAGAGGCTACAGAATTTCGGAAATCATCTACGGATATGAACAGCATTGTGACGACAGACTCGTCCCGGGTATTAATAGAGAGTTCACGATGAAGCAGGTCAGAGTTTATGTGGACGCGCTATTCGGGCTCTCGGATGTGTCTAATCAGGGGCAGGCGCTGTGGACGAGTCAGAGAGATCACGGCCAGACTTTCTTCGGGTTTAATTAAGGAGGCTGATCCGTGCAAAGCTTGTCTATCCACTGATGCTCCATCCAGAAGGGAAATCCTCTACAGCATCCCTGGATACCGTCACTGAACGCCGCGCTTGATGTTTACTTGCCGGGAATGTTGACCGGAGTATAGCATTCTTCAGGGCTCTATATAACGAGTGTTGCTGGCTCTCTTTCCACCTGGACTGGCCTTTCCACCATACTGCCGCTCTTTCTAGTCGTTCCTTAATTCCCCCGGCTTGGACGTTTCATCGCGCGTTTCAACTCGGCCAGGCTGTGCGCGTTGATTGGTCTATGTGGGCCGCCTCCTGAGATCTCTCGTCGCGTTGGTTTATATAAAAGTCCCCGGTAATTGCCCAATCGGGCGTTGTTGAAGCTCTCTTTTATCCTTTCTTTTTCTTCATTCTTTTCCCTTTTTCTTCCCTTGTTTTCCTTGTCTTTCCCTCTTTATCCCCATTCACTCTTTGTTTTCATTCTTTTCTGTTTCTCATTGTTCCTTCTTTTCACGGCCCCTTGATTCCTTCCCTTTATAACCCCCCCCCATTACGAGCACTGGTTGCTATTCTCTCTTTTCCCTTTTGATTACACCGTTCGTTCGTCATTCGGGTCTGCTGGTCAGAATCGCAAAAAAGAAAAATCAAACAAAATGCAACTTCTATATACACTGTTCTTGTTCGTGCAGCTGCTGGGTGTCGCCCTAGCGTCGCCCATCCAGGACTCTTCGATCGTTTCGCGAGACTCGGCATACTGGGTTGAGGGTGTGAAGCACCAGGGTCTCGTGGCTTTTGGAAACAGCTCGGATTACCAGGTTTTCCGTAATGTGAAGGACTTTGGCGCCAAGGGTAAGTCTGCTTCAGAGAGATTAATTGAGATTTACATACTGACCGAATAGGTGATGGATCGACCGACGACACGGACGCCATCAACGAGGCCATCTCGTCCGGTAACCGCTGTGGTAAAGGCTGCGACTCGTCCACCACGACCCCGGCTTTGGTTTACTTCCCCGCCGGTACCTACGTCGTCTCCAAGCCCGTTGTTCAGTACTACTACACCCAGATGGTCGGTGATGCACTGAACCTGCCTGTGATCAAGGCCAGCGCCGACTTCTCCGGTATGGCCGTGATCGACGCCGATCCCTATGATGACGAGGGGACCAGCTGGTACACCAACCAGAACAACTTTTTCCGGTCGATTCGTAACTTTGTCGTCGACTTGACCGAGATGCCCAAGGGCTCCGGTGCTGGTATTCACTGGCAGGTTGGCCAGGCCACCAGCTTGCAGAATATCCGCTTCGAGTTGGTCCGCGGCGGTGGTGACGCCAACAAGCAGCAGGGTATCTTCATGGACAACGGTTCTGGTGGTTTCATGACCGATCTTACCTTCAACGGTGGTAACTACGGTATGTTCCTGGGTAACCAGCAGTTCACCACCCGCAACCTCACCTTCAACGACTGCAACACCGCCATCTTCGTCAACTGGAACTGGGCCTGGACTTTCAAGTCGTTGTCGATCAACAACTGCCAGGCCGGTCTCAACATGTCGAACTCGCCCTCCAACCAGACTGTTGGCTCCGTCTTGATCCTCGACAGTGCACTGACCAACACTCCCACCGGTGTTGTGACTGCCTTCTCCGATGACAGCATTCCCAATGGTGGCGGTGTCCTTGTGTTGGACAACGTTGACTTTTCTGGTTCTGAGGTGGCTGTTGCCAGCATTGACGGCAGCACCATGCTTGAGGGTGGTTCCGTCATCGCCAGCTATGTGCAGGGTAACGCCTACACTCCTGGTAACGCCATCGTAAAGCGTGATGAGCCTGAAGTCGTTACGGAGACTGTTGTGGAAACAGTAGAGTACTGCCCGACCAACCACGTCGAGACCACGCTCTCCGCGTCGCGCGTGCTTCCCACCGGGTTTGGCAGCGACATGTCGATACCGTCCGTGGACGTCTCGAGCATCGTCGGCTCTTTCTTCTCGGGCATTGACACCTCGGCGTCTATTCCCGCCGCGACTTCTGCTCCTGAGGCCCAGTCTTCGGCTGAGTCCACGCCTGTGGCTACTTCGGTCGCTCACGGCACTGTCCCTGCCCAGAAGCCCACCTCGGCCACCCCCGTGTCCGCACACACCACTGCGCCTGTCTCCGGTGGCGTCGGTATTTCTCTCGGTCTCGGTGGTTCTGGCGGTCACAGCCACGGCCACGGCGCCTGCTCTAGCCAGACCGTCACCAAGACCCGCCTGCAAACTGTCATGCCTTCCCAGGCCAAGGCCACCGGCCTCTTGGACAGCAACGGCAAGATCTTCGAACGCTCCAAGCCCCTGTACGAGAGCTACTCTGCTTCTTCGTTTGTTAGCGTTCGCTCCTCCGGCGCCAAGGGTGACGGCCAGACCGACGACACCCAGGCCATCCAGAAGATCCTGAACAGCGCCACCGAAGACCAGATCATCTACTTCGACCACGGCTCGTACATCATCACCGACACCATCCTCGTTCCCAGCGGCGTCAAGATTGTCGGTGAAGTCTGGCCTGTCCTCATGGCCCACGGCGACAAGTTCGGCGACGAGAAGAACCCCATCCCCATGCTGCAGGTAGGAAAGGAAGGCGAAAAGGGCACCGTCGAGATCAGCGACATCACCCTGCAAACAAAGGGCCCCGCCCCCGGCGCCATCCTGATGCAATGGAACCTCGTCGAGCAGGAACAAGGCGGCGCAGCCATGTGGGACACCCACTTCCGCATCGGTGGCTCTGCCGGCACCGAGCTGCAAAGCGACAAGTGCGCCAAGACCCCCAAGGAGACCACCAAGGCCAACTCCGAGTGCGTCGGTGCCTTCCTCCTCTTCCACATCAGCGGAAAGGCCAGCGGATACCTCGAGAACGCTTGGTTCTGGACCGCAGACCACGAACTGGACCTGTCCGACCACAACCAGATCAATGTGTACAACGGCCGTGGTGTGCTCATCGAGTCCACGGGCGCCGTCTGGATGTACGGCACCGCCTCCGAACACAACCAACTCTACAACTACCAGATCTCCAACGCCGAAAACGTCTTCCTTGGCCTCATCCAGACCGAAACACCCTACTACCAATCCAACCCGGACTCGCTCACCCCCTTCACACCGCAATCCTCCTGGAACGACCCAGACTTCTCGAACTGCGACTCCGCCTCCTGCCGCAAGGCATGGGGTCTGCGCGTGGTCAACTCTGCCGAGACATACGTGTACGGCGCCGGGTTGTACAGTTTCTTCGAGAACTACGCGCAGACGTGTCTGAACACGGAGGATTGTCAGGAGAATATGGTGGAGGTTGATTGCTCTGATGTCAAGATTTATGGTCTGAGCACGAAGGCGAGTGTTAATATGATTACCTCGTCGAGTGGGGAGTCGTTGGTTCCCGAGGATGAGAATACGAGTACGTATTGTTCGACGATTGCGTTTTTTGAGCAGACGGAGGCATAGTCTTGTTTTCTTTTCTTTTGCATAGCTATTAATTGCGAGGTTTTTTGTTTTGGATTACCTTGATAGTTGTCTAGACTAGTTGCAGCCTGCAGGGTTGGAATTGTGATACCACTGTTCAATGCATATTGTTAATTAAGCACTTTCATCTATCTAATCGTATTTAACCGTAAGTCAGACTCAAATAAACATGCCAGTTACAGCTCCTTCTTGAGGAAATGTTCCGGCTTGTGCGTCGTCTCGTAGTCCACATGCACATACGCCCTCTCCACATCCGGCAACGACTCCAGCTTCATCTGCAACTCCTCCGCAACATCATGCGTAGCACGCAGCGACTCACTCGGCTCCATAACAATATCAACCTCAACCAACAGTCTCGGCCCAGACGTATATGCGCGAACCGTATCAATCGCCGTGATCATGGGCGAGTGCGTCATCGAGATATACGTAATCAGCTGTTGCATCTTGGTATCTGCGGTAACGCCGATGAGCAGCTGGAACTCGTGGTATGCGGTGTACAGCCACAGACAGCCGACCAGGCAAGACAGGATAATAGCGCCCATGGGATCGATCCACCAGCGGAGTTTGCTGCCGCCGACGGAGGTGAGGATACCGAAGCCGTTGATGACGAGGTCGTTGCGGTGGTCTTCCCAGAGGATGCGGATTTGGGAGACTTGGTTGCGCATGGCCCAGCAGTAGAAGAAGAGGGCGAGTTTTGTGACGAAGGCGACGACGACGGCGATGACGGAGGGGAGGTGGAATTCGCCGGTTGGCGAGGTGGAGCCTTCGGCTAGTTCGCGGCAGGAGAAGGCGATTAGGATGAGGGAGACGGAGGTCATGAGGAAGCAGAAGCAGATGTTGCCTGCTGTTTCGATGCGGGCTTTGCCGGCGGGGAATTTGCGTGGGTTTACGCGGTTGACGGCTTTGTTGCAGAGGAGGAGGGTGAGGTTGGACATGGGGTCGAAGACGGCGTCTGCCATGGTTGTGAAGAGGGAGAGCGAGCCGGATGCGATGGCACCGTAGAGCTGGAGGATGGCTAGCGCGACGTTGGCTGCGAAACTACCGTACACGGCGATTTTGTAGCGCAGCTGGTTGTTGCTGTTTGTTTCACGCGCGGCACGGACGTGTTCCTCGACGGGTTTCAGCATCCGCTCGATGTTCTCGTTCTGCGTCTTGTAGAATCCCCAAAGCCGGCTCGACCCGGTCAATATCGCCTTGGGGTTCTTCAGCGCTGTAGCTGCCACCGCGGCCGTGCCGCCATTTCCCGCCATCTTCCGCTTGCGGGACGTGTTGGCTTGGATCTGGATCTGGCGGATCTCTTCCTCCGACTTGATCTTCAAGGCTAGTTGGAAGGGATCATTGTCGGGGGTGTAGCGCGGCGGCGGCTGGTTCTCTTCATCGCTGTCGCTGGTCGAGCGATGGTATTGCTGATGGTGGTTCTGTTCAATTGGTTCCAAGGCCGTGCTCGTGGCTTCATTGTAGGAGAGGGGGGTGTGGTGTTCGCGAGGGGATTGGTGGTGGTGATGATGGAAGGGAGTTGGGTGGTTGGACATGCTCTGTCGAACGTGATCCTCCATTGTGACTGAATAGCTAGGCAATAAGATGATGATAGAATCTGTAATGGAAGAGGAGGCAGAAAAGAAAAAAGGAGAAAAAAAGAGATGATACATAAAGGCGGTATGCCAAGAGTGGCAGTGCCTATCTTATCAATCTGATCAGGGTTCAACCGTTTCCTTCTCGGAGGCCTCCTCATCCTCCCCGAAAATATGTGTTGTTCTCTGTCCCTGCAAATCTGTTGCAAAATCTGATATCTGCTTCACCAACAGCAATGCCACGGACCGAATCCACTGAAATGATGGTGAGCACCGGTTAGCGTTCCCAGTAGAACCATAGTATTGACTGTATTCTTAGACATTTCTGAAAGTATATGCCCCCAATAAAGTCTTGTGAATTGACTTGACCGAAAAGTACCGCCTGGTTACGCTCTTTGGACAACCTGTGAGTGTGGATATTTGTCTTCACTTAGTGTATATGCTACATCGATGCTATATAGAATGATCTATCTAACGGCTCATAAGCATGATGGCAGGTGCTAAGGTCCTTGCTGCACAATGGACTGCTCGGATGTTGGAGAATGCCTTCTCTTGTCTAGCCTCTCGCTCAATGATGTTTATTATCATCCCCATGTAGTGTTGGACCGAGTTGAGACTTAGCCTCTCATTTATCCGGCCAACACGCGAGCGGACGAGATAGCATACTCCTTGAATAGAGGCACGGCGGGGAAAGGTGCCTCATCGAAGAAAAAAGTGGCTTCGGCGTCAATATCTGGGCGTCGATCCTATAAGAACTCAACAAACCATCTCTTCGTCATCTCCAATATTCTGTGTAATTTGGACGATTGGCCGTCTAGACACCGCCGAGTTTTGCTGATTGAAGTCGGCTGTCAGAGCCAGACAGTACTCACCTCGATGCACGAGGGTGGCTCGAAAGCAGGTTTTTTCTTGATTGAAGACGCTTTGAACCCTATATTAGAGTGGATGTCTCAATGTTTCTCTTCTTTGTATCCACTGACATACTCACCAGAGTGGTGTGATTAGCTATTCCATTACAATGCCACTGGCTCTGACAGCCCGACTTCAGCCACTATACCTAGGTTAGGGCACGGAAAGCTATAGACTCTTTTGACCACAGTTGAGTATTTCCACGGTGAGAATGCTGTAATTGTAGGACAGGGACTCACTAATTTCTGTTCGAGTGATTCAAATCCTTAGTAGATGGGAAGGAGATTGTCGAGGAGGAGGTAGGTTGAGAAAATGGCAATGAAGCAAGGCTAAAAGAGTCAGGAATATATTGGACGATAGAGTGAATAATGACTGTATATCTAGCTTGCACCAGAGGCAGTGGATGTATTCTAAGCATAGTTCTGCATTCTGATTTACAAACTAATGACAAGCTTCCCAACCTGTCTACCCTGCCAGATATACTCGATCACCTCGTCAGCCATATCGAACGGACACACCAAGTCTATAATATCGTCAGACTGCATCTGTATAGCTGATAGGGCCGCACAAAGACCGTCCACATCATGCTTTGATCCGGCATTGATGCCGCTAATGTTGTTAGTCTTCCGTTGTTAATCTGCTGCCACGATGATCCCTCACCGTAAAACTAATCTTTTGTCAAAAATGAGGGGAAGCAGCTCTTCCAATTGGCTGGGGTCCTGTTTATCGAGATATCTAACCTGGCTGATCGTCCCGCCGCGTCGTGTACATTTCATGCTCTTTACCAATGATCCGGTACCCCCGACTTCAATAACCAGATCGACTCCGACGCCCTGGGCGTGTTCAAGGACGTCTTCATGCCATTCGGTGTTTGTAGCATAGTTGACGGTTAGGGGTGGTGGATTAGGGAACTGCTTCTTCATTCTACTGAGTTTCTCATCACTGGAAGAGCTCAAGATCACCTTGAGGCCTGCAGCTCGAGCGAGTTTGAGAGCGAACATACTAACACCGCCGGTACCTTTTCCAGTGTTAGTGACTGTCTCCGTAGTAGTAAGGTGCACATATTTTGAATCAACACGCTTTTGCCAACCCCGACATCTTTCAACGCAGTCCATGCCGTGACTCCAGTGCAAGGTACCAAACTAGCACTAACCTAACCCAGATAATCCGGAAGCTTGCACACCTTCTCCTTATCAAACACTAGATAGTCAGCCAGCATCCATTTATAGATCAAGGGTGCAGGGTGCTTATCAATCAAATCTTGGATGCTTGATGACGGTGTCTTCTTTTATCACTTAACTGGTACTTTAGGTCAATTTGTCACATCCACAGTCGGCATTGGATGCCAGCAAAATGGGTGCTTCGAGTTCCTGTGTTGCGCAGGACGAGCGTGATGCAATATGAAGAAGAAAGAATGGACATAGATCTGGATTTGCTTATGGCTTGAATATCTGTATGAATAATTATGAACTTTTGAAATGCCTTTTTGTATATTCCAACAAATTATATACAACATACAAGCAAATATACCCTATATACCGATATTTCCTCTCCGCCCACCTCTCTTCTGCCTGTCCTGGTGGGCCTTGAGAACATTCCTCGTCTCCACCAGACTCCGCTTGTTCTTACTCTTCGCCTTACCCAGCGTCATCATAAAGTTCTTCCGACGAGCCTTCTCCTTGTTCGTCGTACTCTTGCCCTCAGACACCTTGCGCTCCTGGCGTTTCGCAGTAGAACTCTTGAACTCGGACCGATCGGTCTTTCCTTCCTTGGCGTGGGCGATCTTCTCCTCGCGCGTGAGCTTGCCGGCAGAGAGGGCATTGAGACCCTCGATTTCTGCGGCTGTCAAGGGGTCGTCTGCGTGGCGGGAGGCGAGGTTGTTGTTCTGGCCTCGTTTTGTAGGGAGTTGGGCGTTGATGGCGGCTTCGGTGCGCAGTTCTTGGAGTTTGGCAAGGTCTGCGGGGGTCAGGATGCGGGTTGTTGCGAGGTTGAGCATCTTCTTCTCGGTATCAATTCTCTCCTGCTCGGCGTCGTTTTCGTCTTGCTTGGGCTTCTTGTTGGGGGGACCGTCTTTCTTGTCGTTCTCGCCGTCGGAATCGCTCAGGTTGATATCATCATCATCCTGTACGTTGATCCAGCCACCGGAGTCATCGCTGTCCTCATCATCGTCCACGTTCCAATTGGCCCAGTTTTCCTCTTCATTCTCCTCTCCGTCGTCTTCTGCATCTGAAGGTAGACCCTTCTCGACGTTCTTTCTCCTGCGCTCTTCATCCTTATACTTCTCCAGAAGCTCCAGACCTTCAATTGCGCCGACTTCTTGTTCACCGAATCGTCTCTCTTTCCGGTCTCCAGACCGCAAGTTCATCGATGCCTCCTTGCCCCGGTCTCTCCTCTTGAGCATATCTGCACCTACGTCTCTGTAGAGACTGAGCAATCCTCTTGCTGCCATCACGACACCCTTGTCTTTACTCTTCCGGTACATGACGAGGTCTTGCAACAAGGTCTCATTCATCGCAAGTGGTTGACGCACGCAGACTTCACGGATAGCATTGAGACCGGCAGTGGCGACCTCTGATGCAGAGGCTTCAGAAACGAACTCGTTTGCGATCTTCTGGATTAGAGGCTCAAGCACATCCGGAGGAACCAATTCGTGCGATGCCTGCGCGAGCGAGGCCAAGAACGAGGTGACGGAGGGTTGTCGAGGTGTGAGATACTTCTGGAAGTAAGAGTAGAGCGGCATAATGTGCAACTGGTGCAATCCGACCAGACGAGTCACGAGCTGCAGCACTTGCAGCTTCTGCTCCAGTTTCAAATTGGACTTGGTGTTCTGCAGGTGTTTCTGGAATAGACACTCCGCAAACCCTTGGGGGTCGTGCAAGAGATGCAGGGCAGAGAAGTTCAGAGGATGGGGTTGGTTCTTCTTGCGCTCCTTTCTCTTAACATTGTCTTTGGCCTTTTCGATGGCGCGCGACTTCTTTTTGGTCTTCTTGTTGATACCGACTTGGTGCTTGACCCGTCCGACATCAACGGCCTCTTCGTCGCTGCTTTCATCCTCAATCTCTTCTCGCTCTTTGTCTCCACCCAGGAAGAAGCGAACTCCACCGGTGACGACTTTCTCGTGCTCTGAAAGACATGTCTCCTTCATAACCTCGACTGTCTTAGAATCGGTCCAGATTTGGCGTTTCCATAGCTCGCGGGTGAGCTTGACGGCCCAGACACCCTTGGAGGAAGTGCGGTCTGATGTAACCAAGTTGAAAAGGACAGTTTGCATAGTCTTGTTGAGCTTATGGTTCGTTGTCTTCGAGTTCGATGTACGAAGATCCATGAGAATCTTTTGGAAGAGAAGTGCTCGCAGCGTCTTGCTCGGGGTAGAGATGAGGATCGGGAACAGTGTCTGAAGGAGTCTGCAGAGGAAAGTCAGCATTGCTTCTCCCCATGGCATCGCAAAGGATCAACATACGTCGCCGAATCCATAATATCCTTCTTCCGTAGAAGCACCAGACTGCCCACAATCTTCTCGCGCAGTTCCGGCTCCAGAACCAGGTGATGTTGTGTCAGCATGTCGATAAGCTGCTGCGGGAAGTCCTTGGTGATATCCGGATAGCAGTCGGCCACATGAGATATGAAATCGATCAATTCCCTCAGAGAAATAACTCCAGTATCGGTGGCAGCCGTGGGCGCTGCCATGAAAATCTCGCGGTGACTCTCATATTGGTAGTGCTGGGCGCGGAAATCTTCGACGTAGGACCTGGAAAGAGCGCAATTGTGAGTAACTGCACTAGACATCGAATGCAGGAAGATAGTGCGAGCGACTTACTTAGGATCCCGCCGGACTTTGTGCTGCAGGTTAGGCCTGAAGAGTAGATGTTAGTGATGGTCGAAATCTTCTCCGAACGCAAGAATCGTCGCGCCCTGGAGACAAAAAGAATAGTTGCTCACAAATCTGCCTCGACCTTTTCCAAGGCCCCAAGCTTTCTTTTCACCATCTTTTTGAATATCCTCGATATTGCAGTGCGTGAGGATTGGAGTGGTGGTTGTTGGTTGCGGTGTTGATAACCTGCTCCGAATTTTTTTTTTTTTTTTTTTTGGCGCTTGGCATCTTATCGATAAGCGATCAATACTGCCACTACGATAATGGAATCAATTCGAATTGAAGGTCTCGAACGACTTGAATTGTAGATTTACAGTTAGGTATAAAGTATAGATCGTTCACTGCAGCAATGCCATTAATCGTGGTTTAAGATTTAAACAGAAAAAAAGCCGACTTCATGATCGCATCTCGACTACTAGAAGAAAACCGTCCGAATTTCTTCTTTTTTTTTTTTGTAAGAAAAAGGATCTCTCCCTCTCGTGACTGTTTTTTTATCTGGTATTTACAGTCGCGCAGATGTATGCCAATCGACTGAATCCTAATGAAACCCCGTCCACTCCAGTAAACATAATAAATAGGACCAAACGGAGACACCCAACAACATCTCTTTACCGGTTGCTCTTGGCAACACGCTCGAGCTCGTCCTTCTTCTTGATGGCGTAGGAGTTGGAGCTTCCCTTGGCGGCGTTGATAAGCTCTTCAGCCAAGCACTCAGCAATGCTCTTGATGTTACGGAAAGAAGCCTCACGGGCACCGATGGTCAAGAGAGCAATGGACTGGTTGACACGGCGGAGAGGGGAGACATCAACGGCCTGGCGACGGACGGTACCAGCGGAACCGATACGGGTGGAGTCTTCACGGGGACCGCAGTTGACGACGGCATCGACGGCGACCTGGAGGGGGTTCTGGTCGGTCATGATGTGGATCTATTCGAAAGTTGAAATATCAGCAAACTGCATCCTTCAAATGGTGCCGCACTCGTTGTGCGCAACACATAGTCCGTAGATTCTCAGGTTCAGCGGTCACGTACGATCTCGAAAGCGTGGGCAACAATGCGGACGGCCATGAGCTTCTTGCCGCTGTTGCGGCCGTTCATCATGAGCGAGTTGGTGAGACGCTCGATGATGGGGCACTGCGCCTTGCGGAAACGCTTGGCGGCGTAACGGCCAGCGGTGTGAGGGAGGTAGACAGGAGAACGGATCTGGACGTAGTCGCTGTTCGTAGACCCAAGTCAGCAATTCCATCCTTGCATTCGATTAAACTCGTCCTCCTCTTGTTTCCTCCGTGTTGTGTCGCGCATTTCCACCACTGTAATCCGCCTCTTTTCGTCGTTCGCTTTCGCATTGACAGAATTTGACCACCCCAAAACATCCCTCGACACGCAGAACTTGCAAACAACTGGGAAGCACCTACGTCAAGGAGATGTCCCTGATCTCAACATCCTCGTAGCTCCACTTGTTGAAGAGCTTCACAGAGCCCATCTCCGCAAGAGCATCCTTGGGCAGCATGGTGTAGGCCGCAGTAGGGTTCTCGACCTCGACTTCCCCGTGGTCAGACATTTTGCCGTATGCACCTGTTGTCGGGGGGAGGGTTTCGTGAAAGGTGACGGACGGTGTCGTTGGGTGATCCTTCAAATGTCGACGATAGCAGTCGGTCGGCTGAAATGTGTCGCTGGGCACAAAAGGAAATTCGAGGGTGCGCCTCGCTTAGTTCTGTGGGTGGGCTTAGGGCAGAGCCGGGTCCAATCATCAGGTAGGTATCACGTGGGCGGTACGCTAGTTGACCTGACGGAACTAAACTGTATTTGGTTAGCAGGAACTATGAGCATCAAATGGTCACGTGCACTTAAAGATATCAACATTGAAGTTATGCAATGCGATGACAATGCGATAGACAAAAAACAAATTGATCTCATCTCGATAACTATGTGTATTAAGATATCGATTCATTCACAGTTATCCCGTGTACTTGAAACGTCTCCGTAGAGGTGCGGATCAGGATACTCCGTCCTCCATACTCTATAGTACGTCTAGTAGAGCTATGCCCCTGTACGAACAAAGCTATTGTCTCTTCATACTTCGTAATAGCGTAAATAAGTAGCTAATAATAATGTATACAAAAAAGTGTACTACTGCAAATCAGATAATAACGGTTCTTGAATGCATGAAGGTCCAATTTCCCTTTTGAGCTTTAGCCGCCCTGTGGCGGTGCAACCCCTTAACAACCCCTGATTGGTGTCAATTTGCACATCCGGTCTCTATAGACCGTCGTAGCACCGCCTAACTGTAGGTGACGTTGTGGCTCTTCGGCGCGGAGTAACCAGAGTGAGACATAACATATCACCCATTTTGCGAGGGGCCGCTGGTTGAAATAGGGGACTTGATTCGTTTCCCTTGGGTGTCTTTAAACCGCTTGCTCAAGAACCTTGCGATGAAGATATCCCTCACCTCTATACGCCGACTCGCATGTGCGTTCGAATGAAAGACCCCCCTCCGATCTGTGACGACCCAGCGCTTCTGTGAACATGGCGGAAGACAACCCCGACATTCAGGCCGCTTTGCGCGACCTCGATAGGGAATATGAGGTACGTGGGTGACAAGTAATGGGTTCCTGTTGTGGAACATCCGAGTGTACGTCTCTGGCTAACCTTGGGTCTCATTTTCCAGGAGGGTGATATTACGGAGAAAGGGTAAGGCAGATCCTTATTGCATGTCGACAATATACCTGACGAAAGCATTTGCGAATCGCTCATATATGTGATGTCAATACCATAAGACCGTCCGGCTAATCCCTGTAAAGATACCAGAAACGACGCACCGTCCTTCTGTCGTCATTCTTCGGACCAAACAATGGCTTGGATGTCCATGCCCCTAGCCCAGTGGGCCAAGCTTCTTCGATGACTAGCTCTTCGAATACTCCGCCAGCGATCCTGAACGTTCGTCCGCCAACGGCCGAGTCTACGGCTTATGGTGCACACACCCCGTCTTTTTCAGGTGGATACGAGGGCATGCAGGGCAGCGGAAGCTTCGGGTATGAGCAAAGATACAGTGGGGAGATGCAAGAACCAGTGGACGGCAATGGAGTAGCTTATTATCACGGAGATAACTCGATGCTGCAACCAATGGAGCGCATGCAACCCACCGGCTCATACGATTCCCTTTTCCTTCCGAGACCCCAGCCTACCCCGATGATTCCAGAGGATTCAAGGGCAGCGACTTTGATGAGCCAGAATTATGCGTTCAACCCCGGCGTCCACCCAGAATATATAGATGAGCATGCAGGAGCGTATGATGTGGGTGGGTATGAAATGCCAATGGCTACGCCCAGGCGACAGTCGATGATGCTTGATGCGCAGCAAGGGTACTTTTCCGATTTTGCTGGACAGCAGCACGATGACTACAGAGACAGCTATGGAGGCGGCTTCCATCGGTATTCCCAATCAGACGCCTTCTCTCCGACTGCAAATATGGCCCCGCCGCTTATCCCGGCGTCTGACCTACCCCACGGCGCGGCAGTCGATCATCTGATTCCCTTGGAACCTCGAGATATCCCGTTTGCAGTCAATGACCCGCACGATAAGAACATCCCAATGTCCAACTTTGATAATATCCCTACGGTACTGCGGCATCGGGCTCGAGCACATGCCAAACAGCCCGCTTACTGGGTTCTGGATCAAAAGGGCAAGGAAATCTCATCAATCACCTGGGATAAGCTGGCTAGCCGTGCAGAGAAGGTGGCACAGGTTATTCGCGACAAGAGTAACCTCTACCGGGGCGACCGTGTGGCCTTGATATACCGTGATTCTGAGGTCATTGAGTTCGCAGTTGCACTTATGGGATGCTTTATTGCTGGCGTCGTCGCCGTTCCGATAAACAGCCTCGAGGACTATCAGAGTCTTAACTTGGTTCTCACCTCGACTCAGGCGCATCTTGCATTGACGACAGAGAACAACCTCAAGAGCTTCCAGAGAGATATCACAACCCAGAAACTGAACTGGCCTCGAGGCGTAGAATGGTGGAAAACCAATGAATTCGGGAGCTACCATCCAAAGAAGAAGGACGACAATCCCCCGTTAGTGGTTCCAGATTTGGCTTACATTGAATTCTCGCGTGCTCCTACGGGCGATTTGCGCGGTGTCGTCATGAGCCACCGTACAATTATGCACCAGATGGCATGTCTCAGTGCGATGGTTTCCACCGTCCCCGGAAACAAGAACGCGCGCCCTCAGGGCGAAACGATTATGAGCTACTTGGACCCTAGACAGGGTATTGGCATGATCTTGGGCGTGCTTCTCGCCGTTTACGGTGGCCACACCACTGTCTGGCTTGAAGACCGAGTAGTCGAGACTCCCGGTCTTTACGCTCACTTGATCACCAAGTACAAAGCATCTCTCATGGTGGCGGATTACCCTGGTTTGAAGATAGCTGCCTATAACTACCAACAGGACCCAATGGCGACACGGCACTACAAAAAAAACGCAGAGCCCAACTTTGGAAGCGTCAAGCTGTGTCTGATTGACACGCTCACAGTCGACTCTGAATTCCACGAAATTCTCGCGGATCGATGGCTAAGGCCAATGAGGAACCCAAGAGCCAGAGAAATTGTCGCTCCGATGCTGTGTCTACCTGAGCATGGTGGCATGGCGATCAGTGTGCGCGATTGGCTTGGTGGTGAAGAACGAATGGGATGCCCACTTACCCACGAGATGGACCCAGCAGAACGCCCAGAAGCGAAGAGAGAAGCGGAAGAAGAAAAGAAGGCACAACAGAAACAGGGAAGTAAAAGTGGATTTGGGAGTAGTCTGCTGGGTGGTGGATCGCGGGCCCCGGCTCCAAAGGAGCAAGGAAAGACCGAGCTTGGAGAGGTGCTCCTCGACAAAGAAGCACTTAAGAGCAACGAAATTGTGGTGCTGGCCATGGGCGATGACGCTAGAAAGTATGCTGGGTCAATGCCACATGCCGTTCGTGTCGGCTCGTTTGGCTACCCTATTCCTGATGCCACACTTGCTGTCGTCGACCCTGAAACCAACTTACTATGTACCCCGAATGTCATTGGTGAAATCTGGGTTGACTCGCCATCTCTTTCTGGCGGTTTCTGGGCACTACCAAAACACACCGAGGCAATCTTCCATGCGCGGCCATACAAGTTTGAGGAGGCTAACCCGACGCCTATCTTGGTGGAGCCTGAATTTCTGCGCACGGGTCTACTTGGCTGTGTGATAGAAGGCAAGGTCTTTGTTCTCGGCCTGTACGAAGATCGTCTTCGCCAGAAGGTAGAATGGGTTGAGCACGGACAGGAGGTTGTCGAGCATCGTTATTTTTTCGTCCAGCACATGATTGTCAGCATCTTGAAGACCCTCCCGAAGATCCATGATTGCACAGCATTTGATATCTTTGTCAACGAAGAGCATCTTCCGATCGTTGTGCTAGAATCGTATGCTGCCTCAACTGCACCAACGACGTCAGGCGGTCCTCCACGGCAGTTGGACTCGGTTCTGCTAGAGTCCTTGGCGGAACGATGCATGGAGGTCCTGTACCATGAACATCACCTGCGGGTCTACTGTGTCCTTCTCACAGCTCCCAATACCCTTCCTCGCGTTACCAAAAACGGAAGGCGGGAGATTGGCAACATGCTCTGTCGCAAGGAATTCGACGCTGGCACGCTGCCTTGCGTGCATGTCAAATTTGGAGTCGAGAGATCCGTCATGAACCTTCCAGTTGGTATCGATCCGGTTGGAGGCATCTGGTCGCCTACTGCATTGATGGCTAGACAGGAGATGCTGGCCATGCAAGAGAAGCAGTACTCCGGCGTGGACTATCGTGACGTGGTTATGGACGATCGTACCTCTACACCCCTGAACAATTTCTCGAATATCGTGGATCTTTTCCAATGGCGTGTTTCCCGCCAGTCGGAAGAATTGGCATATTGCTCAATTGATGGCCGTGGGAAAGAAAGCAAGGGCATCACCTGGAGGAAATTCGATTTGAAGGTTGCCGCTGTGGCAACCTACCTGCGCAACAAAGTCAAGGTTCGGCCTGGTGACCATCTGGTGCTGATGTACACGCACTCGGAAGAATACATCTATGCCGTTCATGCGTGCTTCTGCTTGGGTGTGGTTGTCATCCCTCTGGCGCCTATTGACCAGAACCGTCTCTCAGAAGACGCGCCTGCGTTCCTTCATGTCATCAACGACTTCAGTGTCAAAGCCATCATTGTCAACAGTGATGTCGACCACGTTATGAAACAGAAGATTGTCGCTCAGCACATCAAGCAATCGGCGCAAGTTCTTCGGTTGGGCGTGCCGGCTATCTACAACACCACGAAGCCCTCGAAGCAATCGCACGGCTGCAAAGAACTTGGCTACACCGTGAGAGACACATGGCTCCAGGCAAACCAGCCGGCAATGATCTGGACCTACTGGACGCCGGATCAGAGAAGAATCTCAGTCCAGATTGGTCATGATACTGTCATGGACATGTGCAAGGTGCAGAAGGAGACATGTCAGATGACTAGCTCGAGACCGGTATTGGGTAGTGTGCGCAGTACCTTGGGTCTCGGTTTCCTTCACACCTGCTTGATGGGTATCTATGTCGGAGCGCCAACATACCTTGTGTCGCCGGTCGACTTTGCGCAAAACCCCATGTCGCTGTTCGTTAGTCTTGCAAGGTACAAGATCAAGGATACTTATGCTACCGCGCAGATGTTGGATTATGCTATGAGTGCAATGGCTGGAAAGGGCTTCCAACTGCAGGAACTGAAGAACTTGATGATCTCTACCGATACCCGTCCACGACCTGATATCTACCAGAAGTTGCGCCTTCACTTCGCCTCCGCTGGCTTAGATCGGACTGCAATCAACATGGTGTACTCGCACGTGCTCAACCCCATGGTCGTAACAAGATCATACATGTGCATTGAACCGGTCGAAGTGTGGCTCGATCTTCGGGCTTTGCGTCGCGGGCTTGTCATTCCGGTTGATCCGGATTCAGACCCGACTGCCCTGCTCCTTCAAGACTCTGGAATGGTGCCTGTGAACACTCAAATAGCGATTGTCAACCCTGAGACCTCTACGCTGTCTCATGTTGGGGAATATGGTGAGATCTGGGTCCAGTCCGACGCCTGTGCCAAGTCCTTCTACGGTTCGAAGCAAGATTTCGACTCGGAACGGTTCAATGGCCGGATCATTGACGGAGACCCCAATGTACCTTACGTCCGTATGGGAGATCTGGGATTCCTTCACACGGTGACCAGACCTATTGGTCCCGGCGGCCAGCCTGTCGAGATGCAAGTCCTGTTCGTGCTTGGAGGAATCGGTGAAACCTTCGAGGTGAACGGTCTCAATCATTTCCCCATGGATATTGAGAACTCGGTCGAGAAATGCCACCGTAACATTATGCCAGGTGGAAGCGCTGTATTCCAAGCAGGCGGCTTGATCGTCGTCGTCGTCGAAGTGACAAGGAAGGCCTATCTGGCATCTCTCGTTCCTGTGATTGTCGATGCCGTCCTGAACGAGCACCAAGTGATCGCAGACATTGTAGCATTCGTCTCCCAGGGCGATTTCCCTCGCTCTCGTCTGGGCGAGAAGCAACGCGGTAAGGTTCTTGCGTCGTGGGTGACCCGCAAGCTCCGGACAATCGCTCAATTCAGCATCCGTGACGTGGAAGGTCCTGAAGACCCTCTTACAGAAGCACCACAGCATCGGATGAGCCGGAGTTCCAAACCCCCAAGCATTATGGGTAGCTTGCGGCGGTCTGTGATGGTACCAGAGAACGAGGCTGTTGGGGCCATTCGCTCGCCAGCACCTGTGCCGGAGGAATATCCCGTTTATACTGGCTATGAGGAGGAGCAGCAATACCAACCACAGCCACATATGGAACCCTCTATTGCCTCTAGCGTTCCCGCCATCTCCGAAGCACCTACCTTAGTCCCACAAATCGCAGAACCAACAGCACCACCGCCAAAACCACCAAAGATCGCCACGGATGAAACCCACCAGCCAGAAAACGCCGGCACCCCCACAACAATCGAGCAACCCGATCTCGGATTCAACTTCGGTGACTTTGCAAACACCACAGGGGGCACCCATGGCCACGGCCCTGATCCAGAACACTACAATCAACCCCAAGGTCAACCGCAATCCCTGCCCATCCGCACCGCCTCCCTTTCCAACCTCTCCAACCAGCAGAGACGCTTCAGCAGCATCCCGGGCGGTGCAGAACAGCACTTCAACAATTCCCGACCAGGATCGCGGGACGTCAGGTCCCAGCCTGAGACTGTGGAAGAAAATTTCGAGGACTGGCCCCAGGAAGCTCTCATGTACCAATCCGCCATGGGCCACGATGATGGCCAGGGCGACTTCTACAGACGCCCAAGCCACGGTAGTGGAATTGCGCGGACGACGGCGTACGATGGGAGTGGGTATGGGTATTAAGAGTTAACAGGGTAAGCCGAGCTTCTACGTTTGCTGAGTAGAGCTCATCGTACATATTGCGATTCTGTCTAATTTCTGTTTGTTTCTGTTCCGTCATATCTCCCCCATTGTTCTTCGATATACTATTTCCTAATGTATCTCTCCATTTTGCGTTCCGTGCTCTCCATACATTTGAATTTGGTCCATCAAGTTCATCAAGACTCTCGTTCTATACCCATGATGATGAAATAGCATGTCGATTTCTTCGTACATACTTTCTACCACTTTTTGCGAAAGAAAACAGAAGAGACTTGTTTCATTATTTTCGCGTATCTATCATGTTGCATATAGCTGTTGGTTATATACTTGCATATACATTTTTTAGACATGTTAAAAGACTTCTATTCCATTTCATTGCTCGCCTCTGATATCTGTCCCCAATTAGGAGTAGCCTCACAGAGTAGTACATAATTCGGTCATTTGATTGGCCAACAGTAGTATGTCTCAGTTTTGTGTATTCAGAGATGGCACAATTGAGCCTAATCAGGATGTACCATTTCGGCAAAACCCCGTGGATACAATGTTTCTTAGCCGTTTAAGACGTGCACAAAGGAAAAGACCAAGCAGTATACGCTGGTCTCATTTTGAGCCGCCAGTGATCAAGGTATGTATCAATTTAGTACTCACCAACATTGATGTTCTCTTAACGAAAAGCCTAAAAAAGTGCGTGCTTTTTATGAGTCATCTGCAGCTGGCCACAGGGATTGCGATTCTAATCAGTGGGTACTCCCAGCTTCACTGTGGCCTCTCCTGCTATCATTGGAATATTGTAGGGCGGTTGGCCTGGTTTTCGAGTCTGACGCATCTTTCCTGCCTGACCTTGCTGCGAAACCATCTCTATAATCACCCTGCTGAGCGCCAATGGAGATTGCTATTTATGTTCATTCTGATTGTCATGCTTATTACATCGATGGCTCCCACCGGCAACTACAATTGGGATCATAACGAGATCGTGAATCGTCCTTCTCAACCCGACTACGCCATCTGCTACTACTCAAAACCACCAGCAAGGAGTTCAGCGGCGTACCTATCAATAATTGCCTTGGTTTTGCTATTCGTGTGGTCAAACTTCATAAATCGTCGTCGGTTTCTCTCGTTGGAAGGCGAAGACGGAGTCTTAGCAACGCCATACGGAAGTTCCTATGGATGTTATATGACTGGAGAGAAGCCTCAGAATTGCCGCAAAGACTAGCTGGAAGCATATTGTACTTTCTTGCGCTTGCTTTGTTTCTAGTCCTGCGCGTTATCCTGGATCATTGGTCTTCTATGTTCGAGGTATGGAAAATGCAACCATCACTTGACCTTGAGATTGGCTTATATTTTTAGATGTTCTGGCTTCTAATAAGCTTTATATTCGGCATGGTCACCCTAATTCATGATGTCAGCAACATAACGTCTAGAGGGTACTCTGACTTTCACATTTCCAGTTCTCAGGGTAATAGCTGGAGCTTCGGACAAACCATGCCAGTCATTCTATTTGCTGTACCTTTCGTTACTATGGCTGAGCTCTTATATCCCGGTAGAGCTGCCATTCACCTGTTGAGGGCCTATTCTGCTAACTGTTTTACACGTACAGAAGCAAGAAAAACTGTTTTATCTTCAACACCCTGCTTAGAAAACAATACGCACGACCAATCAGCACGACATCATGACACGGAAATAGCACAACCACAAGTCCCTTTAACGTTTGATCCAGATCGGAACTATTACCATGCTTCAAGTTCCTTGAAAGCCGGTACTGCAGCTATTATCATCGCAGAAGTTGTCTTGGGAATCGTTCCGCCTATTTGGATAATGAGTATAGCACCATCCTTCGCAGGATTAGCAAGATTTATTCTAGAGACGCCACTGCCTCTTGCATTATTGTCACTATGGTGTATGATCCTTGTCTCCTTTGGAATTGATTGGATAATGTCTCAGAGGTAGTGAGAAGATATCTTCCAAAGTGGCTGTTATTCGTTTCTCTGCAAATTGTTAATGTTGCTAGTTTTATTGCCTTTGCTATACTTTCGACATTCACCATTTTCCGTGGTCCTGTTAAATACAGTGGCACTGAGACGAAGCTGTGAGACCCCCTATTTGGAATTGTCCACACCCCGATTGATGACTTCGACCTGAACAGAACATATGCTATAGCAGGCGCTAATAAGCTCAGGGAGCCACTTGAATACCGGCAAACCACCGAGCACGCTCACTACACCTACACTGCACCCAGAAGAGGAAGGCTATGGTTGTTCTAGAGACTCCTACGTATAGGGAATACATGTTTAGTGTTGCTGGTTAAATTCAATTATTACCGTTTATAAGTGGAAGATTCTATTTCTATCCTGCTTCTATCCCCCTCTAAACAAATCCCTCCAAAACTCCTCTACCCTTTTAATATCCACACCCCCCCGCCTCCCTCCTAAGCCTCTCAGACCTACCCTCCAACTCACCACGTAAACCCAGCCAATCCACACCAACAAGCCTCCCATCAATCAACACCGTATCGATCTGTTTCACAGACGCATGGAACACCACTGTTCCCACGGGATCCACAATAAGCGTGGTATCAATATCATCGCACCGGAATATCACAAGATCGGCTTTTTTCCCGGGGGTAATAGAACCGGTTAACTGGTCTAGTTGTAGGACTTGTGCTCCGCCAAGCGTGGCTATTCGTAGGATATCCATGGTTTTGCGGGTAAGTTTTATAGGAGGGCCGGACTCTTTCTCCTCGTTTGAATTTGGATTCGGTTTCGCATTTTCCAGCGCCCTCTGCATCTGCAACACAAGCCTCATCTGCGCCAAAACATCACACCCCTGATTCGACGCGATATCCAACCCCAGCCCAACCCTACACCCCCCATCCCCAGCCCTCCAAACAACAGGTCCCGGATTCCCCATCCCCATCTGCATCTCCGTATCAGGTGTGCTCACAATTCCAGCTCCGGATGCTTGTATCGCGCCCAACTCACTATCTGTCATCGAAGCGCTGACTAAATACCAGATCTGGTGCGAGGAGGTTCGCATCGGCGAGTTGTTGGACTGTGCGTTGGTGGAATATGTCATAGTGGCCTAGGGCGATGTGGAGGGTTATTAGTCGGGCTCCTATCGCTCTTGATTTTTGAAGTTCACGGATTGTCTTATCGATTGGCTGGGCATCTGGTTCATTTGGTGCGATGCCAAACGTAAGAAGAGCGCTTCTCGGATCATTATCCCGAAAATACTCATCCCGCACACGAACAGCATCCTCCTCTCTAGCCCTCTGATCAAACCCACCCCCAGCACCGCCACCAAAACTAACACTACTCCCCATCACCCCCGGAACAACCGGATTCCCAAAAACCCCATAACAAAACGCCCCCCCCCCCGAATCCCCGCATCTTTCAACCCCCTAACCGCGTTATCAGCATGCGCCGGCGAATTGATAACATGGCAATGGTCAAGCACGCTCGTGACGCCATTATTTATCAAGCTCAAGGCAGCGGCGTAATTGGAAAAGTAGACGTCGTCGGGGGTGTACAGGCTGCCGTAGGTGCTGCGGAGGTGCACGCAGTAGTCGTAGAGGGAGAAGTCGGTTGCTAGGGCGCGGAGGGGGTGTTGCCAGAGGTGGTGGTGGTGGTGGGAGTTTGTGAAACCGGGGGTTATGATGTGGTTTTGGGCGTTGATTGTTGTGATGTTGGTGGTGTCTGGGGGGCGAGAAGTTAGGGCCGATTGCTTTGATGAGATCGTTTTCGATTAGGATGTCGTGGTTGAGTAAGGGTTTGGTGTCGGATGGATCGACTGGTATGATGATTGCTCCTTTGATCAGTATGTAGGATGGTGACATGATATCTGGAGTTAGTGGATGCCACAATTCAGCGCCTGTCTACTGAAATAGCCCCAGTACGGATATCAGACCCTATGATGAGCCGGACATACGTCACTGCGTCTCACCGACACAATTCCAAAAGTGTGCAACAACCAATGCCCTTCTATGGTATTTTATAAGTCAATCTAACAAAAGCTCTAATTTACACAAATCTGCAAGCCACCACTGCATACCGGCAACAATGGCAAACAAAACAGCATGGCGCGTGTCGCAATTGCGCCGGGAATAAACGCTACCTCCGTTCACGTTCTCCTCGACACAAACTAACTGCACTCACTGACGATATCGACTTATATTCGCTTATTTGGCAATCTCCACGCCCCCTGTGACTCCAAGGATACGCTTGACGTCGCCGTAGATAGCGAACTGACCAGCAGTAATAGTACCAACCATGAAGAGACTGTGCGTATGTTAGCTACGGACCATCTTGGACCAGGGGGCAGGGGAGAAAACGTACCGAGCACCAATACCAGCGTAGCTACCGCGGAGGCCAAGCTCCTTACCAATCTTGGCGAGACGGGAGATGGTACCCTCACCAGGAGCGCCAGGGGTCTTGTTGATCTTGGAAAGCATAGTGTCGGCGGGTTGAGAGACAATGGCGGCGGCGAAACCGGCGATCAGACCGGAGCCAAGGTTGATGGTGGTCTTGGAGCCGTCGGAGAGAGTGTTCTTGTCGAATTTGCCGTAGATAGCCTCAGAGACCTTCTCGAAGACGACGAACTTGGCCATGGTGTAGGGGACCCTGGGGTTGTTAGGTTTGATATTATGCCACGGTAATTTCAGGCAACTTACTGCTTGAAGAGCATGGGACCGAAACCAGAGTAGAAAGAACCAAGACCCTCCTGGCTCAGGATCTTGGAGAAACCAGAGGCGAGACCGGAAGCGAAGGTGGGCTGAGAGACGAGACGGATACGGGTAGCCTCAAGAGGGCAGAGAGCAATGTCGGCGAAGAATTCGGCAGCGGCGGAGGAAGCGAGGTAGATGGGGGTTCTGTACTGCGAGGCATTCTCGGCGCCAACCTGGTTGACACACTGCTGCTTGAAGAATTCGTAACCACCGAACTTGAAGGCACCCTGGAGGAAGTAACCGGCGGCGGTGGGACCGAAACCAGTGAGAAGAGCGCCAGCACCCTCGTTGGAGACGACCTGGCGGAAACCACCGATCATACCCTTGTTGTAGGTGACGGGGTCAAGCTGGATACGGGTCTTGACGCTGATTTCATTAGCATTCCTCTATTTAATTTCTTATATCTTTGTATGGAATGGGCGTACACATCGACCGGAGTGAGCGCACCGTGGGTGACGGAGCAGCAGACGGCACCGGCAAAGGCGAACTTGCCGTAGAGGCCAAGGGCCGAGGGCTTTTCAGCGGTAGCGGCCATTGTGTTTTTTTATTTTATTTGAGGTGAAAGGGCAAAGAGTGGGGAGGATGAAGAAGAAGCCTTAAGAGAGAGAAGAGAGAAAGAGGAAAAAGAAAAAGAGAAAGGGATATGTTAAGGCTACGGGCACCTGGGAAAACCGCTCCCGAAAACTTTTCGCCCGCCACTCCACTTCCGATCGGCCCGTCAACAGTACTTAGCATTACAAATGTATACAATAGTTCTCTATATACAAGTATCTAGATATATAACAAATACTTTGTACTCTGTATATATTCAATTCTATACTTTAAGACAATAACAATATTGTATACTCATACTGAATACCCCGCCATCCGTCCACCCGGTTGCGCTGGTGGTCTCTAGCGTCCGCTGTACCAACCTGACCGCTGGACCAGTTCATCATCAGTAGTTACTCTGTAGTGCGTAGTGCACAGTGTAGAAGTGCACAGTTCATAATAATATTTCATGTTGCCAGTGAATTCTAAGCAGACCAAACATTGGCAGCTATAATCTGATTGGCTCTGTTTCAGTGACGTCCATATCTATTATTAACTCCATCAGAGATTTACCGGTCGAGTCCACTAGATATATCTCGGTATAGATACAGCACTAAGGCATCAGTCAACCAAATTTCATGTGCAAGAACATTTCACCTGTATAATACTGGACTAATTGCCATTGCCCTGTCGAAGTTTCAGTCTATCAAGGGATCGAGTAATTCCATAAGATAACAACCAGGTTATAATAGTATAACCAGAATCAGATTATCATTGCGCAAGGCAACGTTTGTTTGAAACTGTGTTAGTCAATTGTATGCCCTTGCGGTGTCTCAAATATCGCTAAATCTGACTGTGGCTGCCAGATCGTCATCCATTGTTTGCTTATATACATCGTGCTCTGCACGCACTATGTCCGAGTTCTTGGCTTCTGACTCGTCTCTTGTGTACGTGCTTGTTTGATTGATTTTTACTTTTTTTCTTTCTGGCAAGAAAAAATATATCGCTATCTCTGCCCCCTTCTTCGCTCCTACCAACATCAAAATGCTGTCCTACTTACTCGGCTGTTTCACGTGCAGGAAAAAAGAAGAGCAGAAATGGAAGGAGATTGAGGGTTAGTACACCATCTCCTCTCTGAAAATAACGCAACTCACCCACCGCAGAAGCAGCAGAACACCTCGACCAAATGCCATCATGGGACTCCGCCGACAATACCCTCATGATGCAAGCCTTCGAATGGCACGTCCCCGATGACCAAGCCCACTGGCGCCGTCTGCACAACCTCCTACCAAGTCTTAAGGAAATCGGGGTAGATAATATCTGGATTCCTCCCGGGTGCAAAGCCATGAGTCCGTCTGGTAATGGTTACGACATTTATGATTTGTATGACTTGGGAGAATTCGACCAGAAGGGATCAAGGCCGACGAAATGGGGGACCAAAGAGGAGCTTTTGGATCTGTTATGGTTGGCTCAGGATTTGGGGGTTGGAGTTTATTGGGATGCTGTATTAAATCACAAGGCTGCAGCGGATTATACAGAGCGGTTTCCTGCGGTTAGAGTTGATCCTAAGGGTTGGTCCCTAGCACCCTGAATACAGAAAGCTGGCTAACATGGAATAGAACGCAATACCGACATCTCACAACCAGAAGAAGTCGAAGGCTGGGTAGGCTTCAACTTCTCCGGCCGCGGCGAAACATACAGCTCCATGAAATACCACTGGTACCATTTCAGCGGCATCGACTGGGACGACTCCCGAAAAACAAATGCCATCTACAAAATCGTCGGTCCAGATAAAGGCTGGGCGCAAGATGTCAGCGACGAGAACGGTAATTACGACTTTTTAATGTTTGGTGACCTGGACTATTCCAACGCAGAAGTCCGAGATGATGTCCTCAGATGGGGCGAGTGGATCGGGACAGAGCTTCCTCTTAGTGGTATGAGGTTGGATGCTGTTAAGCATTATTCTGCTGCTTTCCAGAGGGAGTTTATCGATCATATTCGGAGTACTGTTGGGCCTGAGTGGTTTATTATTGGGGAGTATTGGAAGGGTGAGGTGGATGTGCTGCTTGAGTACCTGGAGGAGATGAGATATCGACTTTCGTTGTTCGATGCGCCGCTGGTTGGCCGGTTTTCGAGTATTTCGCGTACGAAGGGCGGTGATCTGAGGACAGTGCTTGATGGTACGCTTGTACAAAGCAAGCCGGACCATGCAGTGGTGAGTTTTGTTTTCTTGTTTACTGGTTGATGACCGTAGCTAACTTGGATTATAGACCTTTGTCACGAACCACGACACACAACCAGGACAATCCCTAGAGGTAAACAAAACCCAGGTCTAAATACAATCGAAACTAACCCCACCAGGCCCCAGTATCATCCTTCTTCAAACCCCTCGCCTACGCCCTAATTCTCCTCCGAAGCCAAGGCCAACCATGCATCTTCTACGGCGACCTCTACGGCATGAAAGAACACGTCGAATCCCCCCTAACCCCGGCCTGCAACGGCAAACTCCCCGTCCTCACCAAAGCCCGCAAACTCTACGCCTATGGCGAGCAACGAGACTACTTTGATAGCCAAAACTGCATAGGTTAACGCCCCCTTCACGCTTACATACAAGACCATTCATTGACAAGTCTAGGCTTCGTCCGCTACGGCAACCTCCACCACCCCTCCGGCCTCGCCTGCGTCATGAGCAACACCGAAGCCTTCGAGAAACGCATGTACGTTGGCCGGAACCATGCCGGCGAGGTATGGTCTGATATCCTGGAGTGGTTCCCGGGGACTGTGACTATTGATAGGCATGGGTATGGGGATTTCCCAGTGGCTGGGATGAATGTTAGTGTGTGGGTGAATGTGGAGGCAGAGGGGAGGGAGGGGTTGAATGCGTGTTTGTATGTTGCTTTTCCCCATATACCGCGTGCTTTGGGGTTTGGGTGATTTTGGTTGGTTGTTGGCTAATGAGGGTTGGGCAGTGATGCGGATATCTATGGACAGTCGAAGATGGAATGATGGAACCATGGATTGGCGTTTCGAGAAGGGCGGGATATTATTCCTTGGGGTTGTACCGTGGGCATGGTTACTGGTCTAGATGACAGCATTATGACCGAGGTATAGACACGGAGGAGAGCTTATATTGAGGATTGCATGTCTATATTCGGGCCACTTTATTGTATAATGTCTATCTAGGACGAAAACGGTCATGCATAGTATACACACATCTTCTGACTGCAACATCTCTCCAGATAATCGGGCACGATATAAGGAGGCGTACACACAACTAGGTCAGCGTGATATCATCCCATATGCCCTATTTGCCATACGTCCCCTTGGTATATAAGGTGCTACTTTCCCTTGCCACCATGATTAGATTGGTACTCCACCTAATACCATCGCACTTGTACAGGCCTTGTTTTGTATAGACTGAACAACATCACCAAAATGCCATTCCACACGGTTCGCATCATCTAATGTTTTAACATCCAGGACATCGGCACTGATCAACAGCGAACAGGTTATCCTCCGAGACCTCGCCAGTGATTCCGACAAAGACCAGTCAGTCACTCCCGATCCACATCAATATCCCTTCTGACTATATACAGGATGAGAAACCTAATCACAATGGCTGGTGGAAAGATCTCGAGGGAGACTGGTTCGAGGTTCAGGTTCGTTTTCACGTTAAGAGTGTATTGGCCATGCTGACGATAGTAGCTTTGAAGTCCCGGACCAATTCGATCTTCGACTGATCACGAGAAACCTCAACGCGGAGACATTATCTGATCATCCATAACTGGAGCTGCCTGTATATAGATAGTCAATTCAATAACATAAACAGAAAATTGCATTTGTACCTGCGTGCTATCACTCACATAGAAATCACGTGCAATCGGGTAAATCTTGTAATAGACTGTCGCCGCAATTTGCCGAACTTTTTCCGCTGGTAGTGCTTTTTCGGGCTGCGTATTTCTGAGAATGAGTATCTTTGCTGGGTTGTTTATAATGCACCATGCTAGCTTTTAGTCTGGTAGGCTTGGGAGTATACATGCTTTACCATGGAGTATCGTTGTTGATATAGGATAAGCGACAGTTTTCTGCTTATCCCAAGAGTTCCGGAAGTCATGGGAGTGTCTTCTGTGGCCGAGAATACAAACGACTGTTATTCGGCCAGGTTGGTTTAATACGAAGTGACATTTGAATATTGACAGGGTTTGGAGTACAGAGGATCAATTTTGGCTTCCGGCTTCCGTATACTGGAGTGGCCATGACCAACTCCCATGGATATGGACATGGACATGGCAAATTGCGATTTCAATGCAGACTGCCGTCTTGGCCAGGAGGACGGGGGATATAAACCTCACGGCGGCTATTGAGGATTGAGGTCTTGAACTCCAGACTCAACCGTTCAGTCGAACACCATCTCTCTGGCTTCTGTCTTCTCTACCAAGCTCAATTCAACTCACTCACCATGAAACCCACCACTCCCCTCCTCACCCTCCTCTCCATCCCCGGCGCCCTCAGCACCTACACAGTCCGCTTTTATGAAAACGCCTCCTGCACCCAAACCCCCGGCTGGCCAGCATACGAATGCGGCACGGGAGAGCACGCCTTCCCTGATGCTCAATATGCGCAGGTCGAGAATAATTGCGGCGACGGGAAGAAGGTCTATTTGACGCTTACTAGGGAGAATGGGGATGGGACGGCGATGAGTACGGGGGATGTTTGGGATAGTGGGTGTCAGCGGATTGAGGTTAGTATTGAGGCTGAGTATTTTACGTTGGTGTGCGCTTGAATGCTCAGCATGACAGTGTGAGTTGGGGGGTTTGGAGATGGTGAGAATGATTCGTTGGTTGGTGGTTGATTGTTTGGGTGGTTGTTGGGTGTGGCTGGCTGGTTTGGATTGGGTCCGGAATGTGTTGTGGTGTAGCAGAAGATGCATTGTCAATTGGACCGGCATAATTAACTCGCTGTTAACTTGAAAGTTGGATAAACAACGGATTTTATAGTATTGACGGAGCACTACGGTCACAGTATAAACACCCTATCTACATGCAGATAAGCGCTGTGCTGTAATCTACCCAACGCTAAATGACTCTGTAGAGCCTCATTAGCCACGGCCAGAACAGGAAAGGTACAAGCCCAGCTGCTTATTAGGTGCATTTCTCACCTGCATTCAGCTCAGCTCGTCTTGTCCTCGTAACCGCCAGCGGCTGACAGATCATATTCCATATAACCATAATGAATTAACTCTCTTTACTGTTACGAACCTATCAAAATAAACGCATGACTTAGCGACGCTCAGACGGGATGTTTTCGCCGCAGTATCAGGAGATCGCTGCGGCGCCACAGGAGCAGCAGCTTGCTTATTTCACACCTTACCAGCAACAACAGCATTATTCTCCTACGATAACAAAACAAGAACCGAAAGTGCGAGTGAGGCCATTATGGAAGTTTCTTGCTGTTCTGCCACCGAATTTACTGCTCGTGGGGTATGTTAGTGTATCGAGAGAAATGGCTTGGTCATCGCTAACATTGGATAGATATCTCATTCTTCCCGTGGCTTTTAAAGAACCCGGACCTGGTTCTGAGCCCGACTCGAATGTGCACATTAATAAGGCCGCGATTGTCATTGTGGCATCGGTTCTGATCGCAGTCGCATATGTATCATCATTGGTATTAGTCCTGGCCCAGAGCCATAACGGCTCATTCGCAATCCAATCCGTATACATGTACGCCCCCTCCCTCAATTTCTCAACCCAGTCCATTAACGAAAACAGCCCGTGTCTTTGCTCCAGCCTCCTCGGCCTCTTCAACGTGGTCTTCAACATCGTCGCCCGCAACATCTTCCCCCTCAACAGCCTCGAAAAAGTAGGCATGGGCCTCCCCAGCGCATTCGGCCTCGTCTACGCCCTCGCCGCGCTCTGGACGTACGGGAAAGACACCATCTACTCAACCGAAACGCAAACGCAGTCCGTTCCTGAAGCCACGGTTCTGCTTACTGAGGAGGAGATGCAGAGACGGCAGCTTGTTGCGCTGTTGGAGCAAGGGTGGAAGAATGGCGGGAAGTCGCCCAGTCCGAGGGATTTGCAGAAGACGTTTAAGGTGGATGGGCCGGAGAGACTGAATGTTGGGAATAATGAGTGGGATCGGTATAAGGCGGTGGTGAGGGAGGGTTGATGTTGGATTTTTTTTTGGGTTGTGTTAAGCGAGCTGTGTGTGTATGTTCTAGATGACGGGGGCTTCCGTTATCATTTCTTGCCTCCATGATCGTCCGATGAAGCATTTATGGAGACATAGCCAGGCCTGGTTAATTGAGTTCTCCTGGACCCCTTCAGTCCGATACAGCTCTGGCACCAGTACTCCGTACTAAGAAGTGGAAATCTCTCCCGACAGAGGTGATATCGGATCAACCGGCTGAGATTCGGTGGTATTCGGCATCACGACCACTACCGAGAAGCGAGGCAGGTGCATAGATGATAATGTATACCTAAGCAAGCACAGTTCTCATATGAAGCACAGGTTGTAAGATGTTTTTTTGCAAACATAACTTACATAGGAGTATGCTTATAGAAAGTGCCTCGGCTATTTCCTTATCGAGCGGATCCGCCACGGCATCACCCTATTTCGGCCGTGACGTCCGCGGCTTTCGGTCCTTTTATTCGCGTCATCTCTACAGATTTATCCTCTTCATATCTATTCCCATTAAATTCATATAATACCAGCAACATGGGTAAGAACGTCACATTGTTCGATGGCCCAGGAGTCGATTCCACCAAAGCGCCGATCGAAAATGTCTTGGAACTAACGCCCGTTGTTGACATCGGCCCGGTACGATACGCCTATCTCCTTACAAAGTACATCAAGCAAAACACAACTAACAACCCACTAATAGGATGTTTTCACTAATACCCGCCCCCTCTGGCACCCCCCAGGAGCCCGCGGTATCTACGGCGGCGCCGCGATAGCCCAGTCCCTCTCCGCAGCCATGCGAACCGTCCCCTCCGATTTCGCCGTCCACAGCATGCACTGCTACTTCGTGCTAGCCGGCGACTCGCAAATCCCCATCCTCTACCATGTCGAACGAGTGCGCGACGGACGAAGCTTCATCACGCGGACGGTGCAGGCGAGACAGCGGGGCCGGCCCATCTTCACCACGACACTGAGTTTCAGTCGGGCTAATAGTGGTGGGAAGAAGAAGTTGGAGCATGCGGCGCTGAAGCCGGATATTGCGATGCCGGATGAGACGTCTTCGTTGAGTGCGAGGAAGAGGTTGGAGAATGAGGGTGGTGGGGGGCCGTTTGAGAGCCATAGGGCGGGGATTGTGAATCGTATGTGTTCGCTTTTCGCGGGTATCTCGCTTTTTAATTATAATAGGGGCTGACAGTGATAGGTGCTTCAAACCCCGAGGATAAGAGGATGCGTCGGTTTGTCCGCGCAAGGGGGCATATTTCGGATGATGGGGGCCATCAGGCGCATCTTTCGGCCCTAGCCTACATTACGGATAGTTACTTTATCGGGACTGTGTCCAGGGTCCACGATGTCCCTCGGTTTTCCTCTCCCGAAGAGCTGCAGAAGGTTCTGAACGCTCTCAAGAACCCATCAGACCTGGACGATGAGGACATCGCGCGGGCCCTGAAGGAGCTGAAGGAAGAGGAAACCACGGAACTTCGCCGTCGTCTGGAAGGCGCGCTAAGCAAAGCCATGGGTAAGCCAGAGGAGCACAAGGAAGTGGGTATGATGGTCAGCCTGGACCACTCAATCTACTTCCACAACCCTTGGGCGTTTCGGGCAGATGAGTGGATGCTCATCGAAATGGAGAGCCCGTGGGCCGGAGAGGGTCGGGGCTTAGCCATCCAGAAGATTTGGTCTAAGGATGGGGTCTTGGTTGCCACTTGTACGCAGGAGGTGAGTGTCTCATTTGCTGATTATTCTTGCCCTCCCCATTCCCACCCCCATTTCCTCTCATCCGATTGGGACGTAGGAACGGTAACTAACTTTGAACTACAGGGAGTCGTGCGGTTAAAACAGGACGAGCCGCCCCGTTCGAAGATCTAGTGGGCGCGAATATTGGCATGGCCCAATCTTATTGCTTCGTTTAAGTGTATACCCTTCATTTCAGTGCGTTACTTGTTGTAATTAGACGGCCGGACGGAGTATATAGACTGGCCCGGCCTGCTTTGGTTTTCTTCTGTTTCTACTCTTTGTATCCCATTCTTTTCATTTTATAGATCTTTCCTATTCAATTATCGTCTAAAGTTTTTTTTTTTTTTTTTTGCTTTCTCAAGATCAATTCATTCGCTATAAGTACACACAAAACAATATGACCACCCAATGCAATGATGATGCGTTGCAAACAAGAAATAAAGAGACAAAACCGCCCTGATAGTAAGTATGCATGGTTATCAAAAATAACGAAAATCAAATCAAAAGACCACCCATCCGTTTTCCCAAAACAAAAGGAAATCATTAATACAAAACGAGTCAAAAAGGAGAAATCAAAATCAAACCTCCACCTTCTCAGCCTCCCGACTCTTCCTCTCAGCGAACTCCAACGCCGTCGCGCCCCAAATCTCCGTCCCCTTATACTCGCCCACATAATCAGGCCAGCTCCTGATTTCCTTTGCTAAGTTTTGCAACTCCTGCATCGGCAGCTCATCCAGCGTGGTGAGAACAGTCTTGACGCCGAAAACGAGAGCCCCTGATCGCGGTAGCTTGATGAAAGTCTGGCGCTCGCGGCGGATGACGATGTCCTCGGGGGCGGGGTTGTGGTTTGCTTCGGAAAGGGTGGTGGGACGGTAGAGGATCTCGAAGAGGTTTTCGTCGGGGCGCTTGACTTCGACGAAATAGTTGGAGCGTTCCATGGGGTTGGAGGGGGTGAGGCGGTTGAGGAATCTGGTCCTGTTAGTATGAGAGTCACAGGGTATGGTTTTTGGTGATGGATGAATGGGTGACTGACTTGCTGACGGTGCTGGCGACTTGTTGATGCCAGAGGGGGACTGGGTTGTGCAGTTTGGAGATTGTCCAGCCGATGCGTTCTGCGACTGTCCAGCCCACGGGGAAGAGAGTTGCGCTTGCGGCACTGGCATTACAGAGTCAGTCAATGCGCTTATTGAATTGAAAAGGTGCAACTCACAGATAATACTCATCATCCTCATTCTTCAACAAAACACTCAAATCCTCCATCGTGAGTCTAACCGCAATCTCCAACGGATCAACATGCGCATTCTGCGGCCCCCCAAACACAAACGTCTCCCCCGTCGTCTTATTAACAACAGTCGTCTCCTCGCCAACCGACTTCTTCGCAAACATATTCGGAAACCGCATGCACAGGAACTCAACCACCTCCTCCAATGTCTCCAGACACGCATCGTACGACTCCGGCAGCGCCTGCAGCACCTTGCTCTTCTCGTGATCCAGCAATTGGCCCCGGATTTGGTGCTCGTCCATGTAATTCTTGTCGACGGTGAGCCAGTTTTGCTCGTCGAGTTTGCGCACGTCCATCATTACGCGGTATCGTTCTCGGCCTTTGATGGGTTGTGCTGGGTAGGGTGCTATGCGCTTGAGGTCATTGCCGGATGGGGGTGCATGTTGTTTGTTGTATGTTGTCCATGAGAGCAGGTGTTTGCGGAAACTGAGGATTAACGAAAAGATGAGAATTGAGAGAATCGCCAAGGAGAAGTTATTCATCGCTTAAAGAGAGTCGAGAAGGGCCAAAAAGAGAGAGAAAAGAGGAAAAAAGAGAAGAAAGTCGTCCTTTGCGCTAACTATTCCCGATTATTTTCTATCGATTGAAAAGGTATGCAATTCTTCTAAAAGTCTTCCAAAGAACCAGGAAAGTCAACTCTATATCATTTATACCCATCCATGAGGGCCCAGGGGGGCAAAAAAAGCAGGGCAAAGATCACCCACGCGGCCACTCATACATAACACGACACGGACACGGACACGGGGGCGGCACTACTGATCAGACGATGAGCTACGACAAGCATCGAGTCGTTACCTCTTACATTCCGGATCCAAGGTCCAAGGGCGCGCGAAAGAAGTTAGATTATGCCGTCTCTGATACGTCCATCCTTTTCCCCGCAAAAAGTCGCTATGCGCCGCCGCCTAAAAAAGTAACAGTACATAGTACTTTGACTACTAAGTACCGTTACTATTACTATTATAGTAGTGGCGTACTATGTATGAGGTATGATCCACATGATCCAGCGGCCTTTTTATTTTTATTTTATTATATTTATTATTTTTGATTTTGATTTTTTCTTTTTTTTTTTTTTCTTTTTTCTTTTTTTTTTTTTTTGCGTTATTGATCCACTGACTTTTTGCTTTGTTGAACTGCTCGAAGATCCCGTCACGGAAATGAATTCGAGATGGATAAGGACTGAGATCCCGTCTACCGAACCGACACCTATGGTATGAGGTTATGAATCTGGGACTATAGTTTGCCGCGACAAGCAGAATTATATCGACAGAACTGCTATGTGCAAGTACAGATACTTGCACAGTACTCACACAGGAGTAGCGGAGTGTCTGTGCGCGTCATCGAGACCTCGTGAGCTGAACAGGCCAATTTCAGCACCGAGATCCCATCATTGATTGACTGATTTCCCTTGCTTTGTTTTTGCCCGGCAGGAGTACGGATGGAGTACGAGTACGTGCTATCGATGTGGTTCCATAATGGTGGGATTTTACTCCATTCGCCATGTCAATAACAAAGAGCGGAGCGTACCCTGATACAGGGGCAAACTGTTTGTTAGTTATATGTTTATATCGATAATCATAAAATGTACTTTTTTTTTCTTCTATTTTTTCTCTTCGTTTTGTGAAAACCTCCCATTCATCCCATTTCCTTTTAGGGCGGGGAGGGAGATGAACGGATTACCCGTGCGTGGGATGCGTGGTTGGTCTGACCCATTCATTCATGAATTCATCCATTGCCGCAATCCGTGCTGTGCTCATCAATAATTATACAGCTATTCTGGTGCCTGCGACTGGTCCGTTCGTTCTTCTCGGCGTCGGCTGAGTCTATCCAATTATCCCAGCTGGACCCGGGCTGAGTTAAATGTACCGGTACCTGTACATGTATGTACCTAGCTGTACTCTATACTTCGTACGGAGTACATATCCATGCGCATACAAATACAGGGGGGAGAACAATGGTGTCGCCGGATCGCTCAGTATCTTCCCCGCGACTGACTCCGTACCATGGCTATAACTCAACTCAAGTCAACGCCGTACAGATACAAACAACATGGCTGGCAGGGACCGGCATGATCCGGCTCCACCGGCACCCCAATTAGTAATACGAGGGATCTGGGGTTTTGCGCAGTAACCGCTGCCGGACTTGCATAATAACTTGGACTTTGGCTGGAAGCCGCGCTTGCCGCTGTTTTTTGCACCTCCGGCGAATCATCGGCACTGGGGCGAGGCTCGGTCATCATCTTCGGGGCATGCTTTATTCGCTAGTGCTCGTGCAACTTTGGTTTTTCTTTTTTTTTTTTTTCGGTTCCATTAACTCAATAATCCCATTCCCATCCGTTGCCCGGCTCAATCGCCCCGTGTCAGTGGGATTATCTTGCTTCAGAATGCTATATCGGGAAGGAAAAAAGAGAGAAGAAAAAAAAAAAAAAAAAAAAAAAAAAAAAAAAAAAAAAAAAAAAGTAACGAATGTTCTATTCTGTGTCATTGCCGGGACTCAACATCTCATTGTCTTTTCACCTTTTATTTTTATTATTATTTTCTTTTTACGGGCCAGCCTGTCCAGAAGATCAATCACTTACGAACTGGAACTCTCCGACAAACCCGACTGGCCGACGACGACCATCACATCGTAACTATCTCATCAGCACGAACTAGCTCAGCTCGACCCGAACTCGCTCTGGACTTTTGCACGTAAATCTAATCTACGCGATACTTTCGTACCGGCTTTCCCACTCCAGCTCTCCATCCGGAGCTACTACTAGTTACTGCCTGTACTAATGACCAAGCTAGCTCGAGCCCCAATGGTATCCGTTCCTCTGCACGGAGCAATTCCTACCTATTTCGGTTTAGTTCTGGTCTGGTCGCCTCACGCTTTCGATTTCCCAGGCACCAGTAGACACTAACGTGATCAGCAGTGGGATTTACCCTGTGCTCAGCAACTATGTCGAGTCCTGTGCACGAGATCGACCATGAAGTCATCCCACATAGTTTTAGTTACGAACCAGCCAGTAGTGCGCGATATGATTAGTTTTAGGCGTAGTTGCACTGCCCCAGAACTGCAGGAGAGCAGGCTCTCGGGGATTCCGGACTCTAATGGTTTTACATTGTACATTGCATGTAGAGCATCTGTATGTATGTCGCTCTGTGAGGCTTTCATATTGCTTTGTTCTGAGTGGCTCTCATTATTGAGACCATTACGAATACGCCGCTGCACGGAGAATGCACAGAGATATCCCAACGAATTATAGCTGTCATGTTGAACTCTCCGTATGTTTGGGTCGGGAGTCGTGGCTTTCCTTCCTCATGGGTTTGCTAGTGATGGTAATAGGGGATTTTTCTTCGTAGCCACGTGGAGTCTGTCATGATGCCATGTCAGGCTGTCTTCTTGAGATGATTTCTGCGATCTTTCTATCATTCTCGACCTGTTTCCAAGACTATGCACACGTGATACACATGCAGGGGGACGATCGAGTGCTTCCCTTGAATCACAGACAGGGATAGACAAAAGGTCTATACGGAATAGCCTTATCAAAAATAGCTCGACAGGGCAGTGCGTGAATCTTTACAGGGATACCGACAACAGGAATGATAGATCTATTGACGGCCAACTCCGGCGTCTTGGTGCTAATGGCATGATGGTCACAGTGACTCGACGATGGTCTCCTACCATAAAGAACACGGAGTATGTACAGGAATGCTACTCGATCGCCATACTAGCTAGGCAGATCTATGCGGCCCGAACAGAAAGGCAATCGAACCTTTAGGGACGTTACATTTACCTCGTGGTCATCCTTCGTTTCTTTCTTTCATTTACCGACCGCGAAGCGAAACGTTGCACCACAAAAAAAAAAAAAAATAAATAAATAAAAAATAAAAGGGACGAACCCTAACATGCGAGGATCTCGCAGCTGCAAACATCCCTGTTTTTCTTTTTATGCACCTAGCCTAGTTAAAAGCCATGCACCTAGTCCAAACAGGACAACGCCCTAAAAAGCCACAGTAGTCACATCACTGGCACCAACCAAACCGAGTTACTCCGGAGTAGAATATGGATGTTCTGCACGTTCGCGAAAAGGGTCTCTTGGCAGATGTCAGTGGTTGACCCGGGAGCCGGGTTTGTGTCCAGTGGTATCGAGGCCTTTGTTTGCTGTTGGTTGTTTTGCTTTTTTTTTTTTTTTTTTTTTTTCTTCTGGGTTTCTTTGAAACGGTGTGTTGGGTAGAAGGATGGTAAGCGTGTGTAGGTTTGCTTTTTTTTTTGGGGGGAGGTTGTTTTTTCTGGAACCTTGCCGGAATTAGACCAGGCTACACCGGGAGACTGTAGTTCTTTGGTGTTGCGTGTTGCCACGATCACCGCCACCGGAGTACGATGCATGACTAGAAAGGAGCAACCTAACTGGGCCGAGTGCATAGGTTGAGGTTTAAACTAATCGACAGATATGGAAAATGATGATATCCTGTAAGTGAAAGAGTAAGTACAATGACGAGTCTTCGTCAAGGTCTTGGCTATGGAGGATAGGGCCGATTCCAAATACGTACGGAGTATATCACTTCACCGGCTTTTTGATAGTTAAAAGAAAGCAAGGAACAGGGAGAGATACTTCTGATCGGGGCAATATGATATTCTAATGGACCTGTACAGGTAATCCGAGTCGCATTCCAAGAGCTAGTATCAATCCATCCCATGAACGAAACGGAACTAGTAGATACCTTAGACACAGGAAAGCCGCTCCAAGGACATGAATAATGTCCCGATAACCACGTAACCGGCGACGGCGAAACTCTCTCAGCTACTTAGCCCACCAACGTTAGCTATAGCCTGGAGGTAAAGCGAGGATGATGTAATAACCTCGTTTGATTGAATATAATAACTTTGTCTCTTCGCCTTCTCCTTCATCAATCATCAGACCGTTCTTCCATCCTGATGAATAAGCGACCTCGTCTGCTGCATCAAGAACAAAGAACTGGAAGTTGGTACCATTGCACAGAATAGCGAGGATTGGCGTCCAATGTCCAGTTCTTCGGTTTGCATAGTCGCGTACTATCGTATGTTAGTAGGATGCGCAGATTAAGGGCTTAGTAGCAACAGCAGCACATACCAACACATTCAGCAAGAAGCTGCCCTATGACATTTTCCTGTGATCTACCCATAGCCATGAGAGGTTCGACTTCCATGAACACAATGCTGACAAACTTATTCATCATCATAAAATAATTCTGGATTCTTCCCTTCTGGGATGATCGCCCTTCGAAAAACGCTCCAGGTTTATTTAGAATTGCGCTGTGAAAGACGCGCACAATACTGCACACCAACTGCTCCTTATTAGCTCATATGCCCTACTGAAATGTAGAAAGAATGCTCTTACAGAAGATACAACCCCCGAACGTCCCTTTTTACTATCATGACTGAGGAGAGGACCATATTGCTCAACGGCCATATCCCAATCGCCAACGATCTCCATGAACAGATCGTTGGGAATTCGCGAGCGAGAAACGCGAAGGTCTTTTCGCATTTCTCTCAGTTTATAAACCGGATCTTGGTAGATATACGGCCTTACTTGTCGACATGGGATTTTGGAGAATGGGGCTTGAGTTCTTGTCCTATCATTCTTATTGTTAGCCCATGTCTTCTTTTTTTTTTTTTTTTTTTTTTGTCATGATATATGAGTTAAGATGCTTACTAGAGAGGTTGGACAAATCTGATGAATAAATATCAGAGTGCCTAAGAAGTTCGAGAAACGCTTCTTCATCAGGGCCCTGTTCGCCTTCTTGCCGCGTTTCTTCTTTTAGTTTTCTATATGCGTCCAGGATTTCTGATTCATAGTGGAGGATCGCGCGTGTAGTCTCTGGGCGTGTTTTGAAGACACCCGGACAGGCTGGACAAGGCGCGACTTTTTCATCGAGGGCTGTAGAGGATGAGGTGGGTGGAGTTGTTTTGCGTCTTTTTGGTGCTGGGGACTTTGAGGGCGGAGCAATCTGCTGGCCCATTCTTACGAGGGGGTGGTAAAGGAGGATACATTGTAGAACTCTGTAGGATTCCAAGGTGATAATGACGAAGCTGCGATGAGGTAAAATAACGTGCATCACAACTATTCACTCTGGACAAGCTGAGCCAGGTGGGACCGTTCCTTCTAGTTCGTTGTCCATAGAGGCTGGAGGAGATCGGGCTGTTCTAGGTATTTTTGGTGGCTCGTCTGAATCTGAAGATAGCGGTCGAACTATTTCAAATAAAGGGGAGGAGCTTTTTGTGGTTATTTGAAGAGGATGAGGTTGGAGGAGTGAGAGGAACTGTGAATTGATGATAATTACAAAGTCACGTGCAGGCACCGCAATGAATGGCTATACAGAATTAGCTTGATTGACCGGCGTATAGAGAAGCAGGAAAGTGTACGGGTGAATTTGACTATGCAGATACAATCGCCAGTACATACATAGTATACATACATGAACCGCATTTCCCAGAGCAATCAATCACAGCGCCTTGAAGGCTCTTCTAGGGCTGCGATAAATACTTACTACTGGGTAATCACTTGCACCGCATAGTGATTCCTCTCTATTCTTGTTCATCAGCGTGCCTGTCTGCTTCTCTTAGTAGGTAATTCGCGCGCTCAACATTCATCATGGCACTCGAGAGATTTTCCATGGGAATGCACGCCTTGGGCTTGAGAAAATAAGAGAGCGAATCAGTACGATGAGACAGAAACCGAAGGCCGTTGATATATGCTATCAATAACCAGTCGAAAAGGAGCTCCGTCACTGCTCACAGAAACGGTCATCAGTGTTGACCTTTTAAAGCAGCACTTACCAGACACTCCCTCCAACTCCCAAACCGGAATATCGTAAGTCGCAAGAAGCTCAAGAAACGCCTCTTCCTCTGAGAAAGGGTACTCTTTTCTCAACTTCGTGAATTAATCCAAAACACTTGATCCACGCGGCAACCTCGCGCGTGATATTATGCAGCGTTGTTTGACTTCCCCTGGACAAGATGGACTGGGTGCGACCTTCTCCTCGGGCTCTGTAGAGGGTGTTCTGGGTGTTTCTGGTGTTGGAAGAGTTGGACCTGGTATTTTGGAGGACATTGTCATGAGGAAGTAAGTGTTTCTTTGGTTAGTGGTTGACTGCCCCTAATGCAAGTGAAAATAAATGGTGTATTATATTGAAACTTGAAACTATCTTGGTAAAAGATCATCCCCTGCTTGATTCGCTCAATGATATAGATCAACTAAAAAAAAAGAAAAATGTATACAAAAATTCGGGGTATATAAACTCGTTCCATCCTCCCATCTTCGTTCAATGTCATGACTTTTTTGCCCTTTCCTTTTCAACAATCATGCGAAGCATCTACTTGAACTTGGCCCTGCAGCGGCCCATAATCTCTCCTTGGCAGACAAGCTCCGCACTGAACTCACTGCCGTCGAGGGTGAGGTAGATGTCAAAGTACACGCGGTAGAAGGTACCCTGGGGGGTATCCATGCGTTCGAAATCGGTTTCGAGGTTCTTCCGCGAGAGGTCGGATGTAAGGGTGACGACTTCCTTGATGCCTGTTTCGTGTTAGCTACGCGGTCGGGTGTACAAAGAGAGGAGGTTGACTTACGAGGATCCTTTGTGTATTCAGGACAGACATCCTCGTCACACGCGTACAAGATGTCCTCGTACATAAGAGTCGCTCCAGGCGCCACCTGGCGGAAGAAGCTGACCTTGACCGGCTCGCCGATCTTGACACGTTCGCCCTTTTGCACAAAGATCTGTCGGGTGTACTTGCACCGATCCCGACCGTCCAAGCTGGGCACACGGTACTGTTCGGGGTGGTATCCTTCCTTGAATGGTTGGAGAGTGGCCATGAGGTAGTGCCGACGTGCGACACGGTGGGTGATGACTCGTTCCGTGATTCCTGCGGTGACGGCTCCCTTGACGATCGCTGCGACGGAGTCCATGGGTCTGACAACCTTCGATTGGTATTGAGGCGGGACATGGAGTTTAATTTGCTGGAATAGATACTCGGAGGCACCGAATCCACCGACCACAAGGACGTTCTACACAAGTTAGCACAGTCAGCAAGGGAGAGGGGAAAAGAAATTTACCTGAAGCGACTTGTTCTGTGCCTGGATGGCGATGATCTGGTTGCGGACCAATTCGAGGATACGGTTGACGACAGGCTCAAAACATTGAAGGATTTCCTCATTGGTAAAGGTCATGTATCCATCCTCAATGCCAGCCTCAGCAAAATCGGCCTCGATACCCACATCCACGGCCCACTTTTGACCATTGTTGCGGAAGTCTGCCTTGATACGATTCTCAAAGTCCATGATACACTTGGCATACACCTTTCCGGCCGTGCGTGAACCGTCGGGCAACTTCATCTTCCGGATCTTTGCCCGCAGGATGTTACTGAAGTTTCGGTTGAGAGCTGTTGAACCGCAGGAGTCTCCAGAACCGGCTGTACACTCGGCCACGCTGAACGGCTGCTCCTCTTCAACTTCGTATGCGATCAAATCCACGGTACCTCCACCACAGTCGACGATTAGGATGGCATCGCCAACCTTTAGATTGAGTAGACCCGTTTTGGCACAGAAGAGAGCCGCCGCCTCAGGCTCTGAGATCAATGTCAATCGGGGGTCGTTCTCGTCACGCAGGAATCCCGCTTGGATGGCTGCAGCACGGGTCGCAGCCTTGCCTGCATCATTCCAGATGGCAGGCACCGTGAGATAATACCGGATATTGCGTTCCTCACGGGTGAACACCTCTCCCAGCGTCTTTTGGAGTTGGTTCCGCATCGCTTGTCGCAGCTTGTATAGATAGTCGGCCGCCACATCGATTTCCGACTTGCCCGGAGGCAAGGGGGGCAGGTTAATGGGATCGATGTAGGTGTTGCCGGAGAGCATAAGTTGAAGCTTGAACCATTCGACTTTTTGTACCCCCGGCTTCGGATAGCCAGTTGGAGCGAGAGCGTCTGCGATGTCCGGTCCCCATCCTACCACTTTCTGGTATTGATCGTAGTATAGTACTGTTGGGATCTGTATAAGGCACGCAACGTCAGCCTCGATTATAAACCAATTTATCATATTGAAGGATATAAACCACCTTTTGTTTAGTATGGGTACCGGCGCCAGGCCATTCGGTTATGATATCCTCTCGCGCTTCATTGTTGGTCGCAAAGGCAAAGGCCACACCGGAAAACGTGGTACCAAAGTCAATACCCACGATGAGCTGTGCCTTGCTGCGACCCGATCCTTCGACTTCCACGGCAGGGTTTCTCAGGTATTGAGGCTGATGCATTGGAGGCACTGGCGGCGCAACAGTTTGTTGTAACCCGTAACCCGGCGGGGCGCCCATGTGCTGCATTGCGGGCTGGGTATATTGAACGTTGGTATTGAGCGGCGGAGGGTGGTGCGGCATCTGCTGAGGCGGCATGGGGCTGGCGGATCGGTTGTAGCTATAACTCGGGGGCCGCCCCAGAGCGTTTGGGTTCGGGTTCATAGGAAGACTAGTCGAGGACGAGCTGGTGTGAGAGGGCGCAGAACCGGGTGAGGTCGCACCGTTGGAAGGAGGGGCGATGAGAGTTTGAGTCGACTGGTTGGGGATTGGAGGAATCTGAGGAGCAGCGCTTGTGGTGGGCGTGGTATTATTGGAGGATGATGAGGACGGATTCTTGCGTCTGAAGCCGAACCTGCTGAACTTGAAGTCCATGTAGGTGGGATGGAGGGAGGAGAAGGGAGAGGAAGAGAGAAAAGTAAGAGGAGGAGAAAGGTGATGCCTGAAGAGGACAGAAAACAAGAAAATAAAGCGAAGAGGCAGTGCCCGGCGTGGAAGCGTTCCTGGTGAGAGAATCCGGGTATTGGGCGCGGGGGAGGAAGAAAGGCACTTGGTCCAGTAAGACGACGACAATACAACGTATTCGATGCCTGATAATAAGAGATTCTATCGCAGGGAATTAGAGGGGGAATATAAATAAAACAGGGAGATTGAACGAAAATCAAAGAAAAGAGGATGAAAAAGGGACAGGATGCGAGGAGAAAGCCTTACTAGCTGTCTATCGCAACATTCGGAGATTCCACAACACACACACACTAGCCACGAGGAATGATGGCTGGAGACAACGAGGGAGAGAGGGAAATACTATGTATGTATACTCTTCTCAGATCAACTGCCTTTAATAATCCTGCGCCATTGGCTCTTTTATTATTGCTTTTCTGGGCTTTTTTTTGGTCACTCTTATTGTTGTTGTCATTCGAGTCCTGTCCAGAAGGGATTGGACATGGCTGGTATTAATGTAATACGGTATGGTATGGTATATTACAATACAGTACCCGCGCGGACCGTGGGGCTCGCTGTCACTTCTCAGAAAGATCTCAAAAGAACTGTCCTATAAATGCAACCATGGTTGAGACTGAATATTGCCAGGGTTGGCAATTCCAGTATAATTTTCCCAATCAGTCTATAAGTAGCACTCCTGATGCGATCCATGGAAAAGAAACTGCACCACGCGATCTCTTTGTCGTTTTGCGGCTCAAAGATGGGCGATAGCCTCGTGTTGATCCGGTATATATGTATCGTATAGTACAATACTGTATCACAAGGCAGATTTGGATTCACAGCCTCAGATTCGATGTGGATTACTGTACTTCAAATATAGGTGTCTATGCCCCAAGCCTTGTCGTTAGACAGCTTTCAGATACACAATTTGACGAGACGCAAATCATCCAAGTACGCAACAGCCCTCAGAGAATTCCCCCAGATAGATCCGGAGTACATCGTCCTCCCTTGCCCTAGATCGAGTTCTTCTTTACACCATATGGGCTGTATCTAGTATACCCAACCAGTCGTCAAGTGAAGTGATTTCACTATGCACAACGATATCCGGCAGCTCTACTTCTTGCAGCTCTTCCAATGTGATGTCGTCAGGTACCATGAAACTGGAGGTTTCTGTCAGTATTTCAATGGAAAAGGAGAAAGAAGTGCCATACGTGGCAATCACAAAATCATCGTCCAACTTGAGATCGAAGTCTTCAGGTTGATGCTCACTAAACGCTTCCTCCAACCTGAGACTCGATTAGATATGTGCAATAGCAGAGGACCCAAGGAGAGGAGCAGTACATTTCTTGTAGAGAGCCATCTGCCACCATTTTGTACCTTTGGCTGGTTGTGATGACAAGTTTGAGTTTCTAGAAGTTGGTAAGTATATAATAGTGTTTGATTTCTTTTCTTAAACTGACAATTGCGCCCATTTTGCTTAAAGGCTATTTTCTGGGAGTATGAAAAAAGACGGAACTAAACCTGGTGACTACCGAGCTCACAAAAGACATCGTTCTTTATATCTTGAGCATAATCCCACCCCTTGTAGATATGTATGCCTACGACATCAAGGGCTACCTCACTTTACCACATTCTCCCTGGTCCTCGATCATGCTTTCAAAGAAACGCAAGGCGAGTGAAGATGCTGGTCAGGCAGCAAAGCCACTCGTTTAAGCCGTGGTCCGGCAAAGAACTTACGAATTAACGGCTCGTTAAGTAACTTGAACCAATTATCCAGACTCGAAAATTCACTGAGATGACAATCATTCACCTTATGCTGGAGTATTCCTTCGATCCATCTCACCTGAAACAGGTTCTCCTAGGTAAAGCTGATGATAGTCATACATCTTGCTTTGCTTGAATCATACTTGTGACAACAAACTTGACGTGAACCCATTTCCTTAGTTCATGCAAAAGCCTACAGGTAAGCTGACGCTTCTCATGGATTTTACTTTGATTGACTGACTATACTTGTAGTTGATTGAATCAATTGGGTGCCGGTTTTCCAAAGGTCAAATACGCTGATATTTGCAGGCGTGAGGGCTTGGAGCCGTGGGTGTGACGGCTCAACGGCTCAACGCCAGACAAACAGCGCCAACATATCAAACGATGCCATACAAGCAATATGGGCAAACAAGGGCTTAAGCCGCACCACACAAATGTCTATAAAGACCGTTCATCGCTGTCACGGGCTCGGAATAGCAGATAATGATGAATCGATGTTCCTATCTAAACTATTGTAGCCATCGACGAGAATATCGAATCTGGAGAGAAAAGAAGAAAAGGAATTATCTATAGGAAAAGGGGTTTTTTATCCATGACTCCTGTGACCGCGCTAATCGCTTTCTTTGTATGCTTGCATGATGGCGTTTGTCGATATAAGCCACTGAGGCGGCGTTGAAGCGTTGAGCCGTCACATTCTCGTTAATTGGTCTACCTAGTTTAGATAGGGATTTCATCCATCATTATCTACTAGATTGAGACTGTGATAGCTATGTCTGTCACGGCCACCTACATGGGCGTATTCATATAGGATAACCGCTGCGCTAAATGGCAAAAGACTAGGATTCCAAGCCGAAGGGTTGGAACTGCGCTCACATATATAAGCTTAACTAGACTGTCATAATGTCCTCCTTAGGAATTGCGTTGGACCAGGAGTCTATCCAGGTCATGTGGTCAGGGTATTATTGATATACGCAGATTAACATAAATTCACTCGACTGTCACGGAGTTCAGCTGGGATAATGGAACATCAACTCATGTGTTCTACCTAGGTAGCTATCGACGAGAATAATCAACATGAGGAAGGAAGAAGAGGAAGGATGTGCCATCAGCGTTGACGAGACTTATATCCCTTGCTTCCAGCACGTGAGAGATATACACGTGACCAGGCCGTCACAATCGACTGAATAGACAGCTATAGAAGGGTAGTTAGTGGAAACTTGATCTTGTTCTAACTCCATATAACGATGTGACGGTTAGCAGGCGGCCAAAAAGGGCTACTTCGGCGGCCGTTCTAACTAGGAGTCCTGCTAACCAACTCCCGTCTTGGCATCAGGCGAGCGTATCCCCACGGCCACGGCCTTTCCCTCCACGTCATGCCACCCTACCACTCTTGGTTTGGTGGCCGGTTGGCCTCCTGGCTGACTACCTATCGGGCCTATGCGAGGGCGGCGAGGAGTCACGTGCCAGACCTGGTACTAACTGATAAGGAATAATGTCGGACCGATTAGGCAAGTTCCGCCGGTCCGATGATATAGGCCAGCGTGAGCGCACGTTTAGATAGACAAGCACTCAATCAGCTGCGTACACGCACATACTTTCGTTAGGCAATATACCTCTTTCGTCCAGCTAGTCCTCTCCATATAGACCTCGCTAGTCGCGGATAATCGACTCCTCCGGACCTCCGGCCCCCGATCCTCATTTCACTAACAGGCTAGCGTCATCACATGACGCTCAGTCTGCTGCTGCCTCACCCATATGCACGATCGTTAGTTAACTAGCTTAGTCTCTTTAGTAATAGACACCAATCTATCATCCATATCATCAGTATAATCTCTTCACACATTAGATCCGGTTCCATGGCATCATGTCTTTAGGATCACCGCTACAGTGGCAAGCGGCTCTGTTGACCATTGTCCCATTCGTTGACACTGCGCCGCCGGATCTGCCGAAAGGTGTAATAATCACAACAATCATAGGCGTAATTTTATTCTGCCAGGCAAGCCATCACAACCTGTACGGCCTTTGTTTGATGCGAAACTAACCACCAATGCTGCTTGCAGTATGATTACACGGAAGGAACTGTTATAGCGTCGCTCGCTGCTATAGAAGAGCCGCCAGACTTTGTGGAAGCCGAACCTTTGAAAGATGGCGATGCCACTGCACCCAGTGCCTGTGAAAAGGGCCTCGCCGTCGGAACTAGCATTTCACCACAGAGTCAACCAGCAGGTATAAACAAATACCTTCGGCATATAAGGCATGTTGTTACAAATAATCTTATCGTCTTCGTGTCGTTCTACCTTCTTTCATTCATGGGCATCATTAGCGAAAACTTTGTGGCTTCTCTTCGTGTTTATTGCCTGGTAAGCACGGCTGTCACTATGCTATCTTCCATACCGAAAGAAGGGCTTTTATTCAAAATCCCCTCCAATGCTATCACCAAGGAGAGAAGCCGTGTTCGCCGACACTTACGAGATGAAGGAGGACGATGGTCTTTATTTCGCGGATTCGACATTTTCCTAGCCTACATGCTACTGACCATCCTGGGCTTAATTCTCGTGAACCCACTTTTTGCCCAGGAGAGCCTGCCATTTCCTGCGTATGTCTTGGTGAGATTATGCTTGGGACTTCCTTTGACAAACCTACATATGGCTTGCGTTCATGCCGCAATATCCAAACAAAACAGGAAGCCTTTCTGGCAGAGAATTCCTGGCTGGCATGACTGGATCACAATTGCACCAGTTGCGTCGCTCGACATCGTCTTACCAGCTTCCGCCCACTTTGTGGCTAGCCAGATCCTGGCATTCCTTCACCAAAGCTTTCCTAGTATGATTGGAGCTCAAGCATGCCATGGCTCCGATTCTCCGGCAAACTCCTACGGACTTATGGTTCTCTCTGCCACACCCTATGTCTTAAGCTTTCTGGCCTCGGCCGTAACTCGGGTTATTTACATTCGCGTTTCCGCGTCCCTGTTACCAGACGATGATGAGCCGGTCATTCCGTACGACCGCGGTGGAAGCCGAATTAATAACGGCAGCGTTTCTCCTCTTATCATCCTCAATGCTTGCCGGACTATAAGCTTGGATAACTACTTGCGGTATCTAAGAACTGTTACAGATGTTGCGTTCTACGAGATGGGTTGGCTTGTTTTTCTCCTCTGTATTGTCTCTGTAGAAGTCGCGCTTTTTGCGCCATGTGTTTTTTTGGATTACGCTCTGCTGTTTGCAAATGCTGTCCTTGGATGCTCAGATGCTTGAGGGCTTTGTTCACGCACATCCACACGAGCGATTGATCAGAAGCTGTGGGCCCGTTTTACAGCAATGTATGCCCTGGTGGTACTATTTTCTACCAAAGAGATACGTGGAAATACCATTATAGCCGGAATTTTGCTATACCATTCAATACGCATCAGGCAGTTTACACGTGATTTGGTTTTACATATTTATGACGCATTGGCGCAACAAGCTTGCTTACAAGGCAAAGTATGGGGTGGATGGAAATCCTAGTCGGCTTGAGAACCTTCTGGATCTTTTTCCGTGCCGCAGTAGCCCTAACCAAACATCAAAAAGGGGGTTTCATTGGTCTATTATCCATCACCTGAGGAAATAGACTACCGCTGCGGGATCGCCGGAACCCCAACCTTCAGTATTAGAGCTGGTAGGTCGTTGAGCTTAACACAATTGTTAGGACGGGATGTGTAGGGGCGTGATCGATTGGAACGATTGAACAAATGGCATATAAAAACGCTACACTTGTCATCCCATGTTCCATAACAAAGTGAATTCTTCAACAAAGCAAGAATCAGCTACTTGACCCCTCCTGGAGCCTGGAGACCTTTCAGTTCGTTTAACATCGCTTGCCAAAATGCTGCTCGAGTATCATGCGTAAGGTCCCATTTACAGAAGGATAGCTCTTACAGTTGACGACTATCCAGAATCTTATAATCCGGGATTGTTGAGTTCGTTGTTGGCAAAGGCCAAAGGCGGTTCTCAATCCACGCGGTGTTAGCCAGCTCTTTCACGAAGGGGATACTCCAACTTCCTATAAATAGTGAAATTGATGAGTTTGTCTTTGGCCGTTGCTGCGAGTTTGTATATTTGGGTGCTTACTCCGTTCCGTTGCCGACTTCCAATCCCTTGGGTTTGGGCCATTGCGGGCCGACAAGACTCCCTGCGGATAAAACTGGAACTGAGCCAATTAACCAATAAAATCACACTTTTGACCGCAGAAAGAGCGACTGCGGCGCTCGAACCACAGGCCTTGATGTCATGGTTCAGAGCAACCCATTCCTACTAGAGAATGTATGTGAAAGCAGTTACTTACCGTGGCCAAGGCAGCAGCCTAACAGACATCAAGCAAATTTCCTCGACGTATTTGTCAAAATGACGTGGTTATTTTTGTTGACTAGAGAAGGCAGCGTTCTGAGATAATAATATCTTGGATAATAGCTTTGTTCATGTCTAGAGGACTAGCTAATGAATGGACACCTCGCTGAGGCTATATAGAGGGTATAAAGAGTGTCGATAAGACAACCCCGAGATACTAGGGAATTGTAGGCTATATCCTCAAGACGAGGTCCCCGAGACAGATCCCGAGATAGTAGATAGGCATATTATCAGCATTTGTCTTACAGGAGCCAATCGTGTTATGGAGTATTTCTAGCTCCCTTACAGAGACCTAAGAAACAATCACTAGCTGCTAAAACGACACCTGATCATGCCAATGCGAAATAAAAGCGCGTTCGGCCTGCATAAGGATTTCCACATTCCACGCTACATAATCTCGCAAAATCACTTGCAGGTAGGTTCCCCATGTATTCGCTTTCCTCAAATACAAACTTCAGCAATTTCACAATATCCCCAGTCCGTTCTTTAAAAAGCTTGAAGCGGGCGAGAGAACGTATAAGCCAATAGAGCGACTGATCACATAGCGGACCCCAGTTCATTATATAACCGAAGCAATAGACTTCCACATGGCTTAGAAACAGACTTGCATAATTATCCGCAGGATCCACGTTCAAAGCTTGTCCGTCTTCGTACTAGGGCACCAGGTCAAGTCGCTCAACGAAGGGAGCATGGGCACCAGAAAGATTTGTTGGATGGAAAACATTTTCGGTCAGGTTCACAGGATTCCATCATGTTTCAAATTTTTGAGATACTGTATTGCTGTTGCTGGGTTGGTCAACAGCGCTCCAAGGACCACTGAATGGGAGGCCACTGCGGTGCCGCAGTAGTGACCCGTTCCCTGAGACGGTGGCTATAACGGGCCAATGATACCCTCATTTCTTGATACTTGGCGGAGCCAGCCCAGAATATTAGGAAACTACCTGACTCTATTAAGCCAATCATGTATTTCTGCAGGCGAGCCCAATCAGCACCTTCTGTTCCAGAACCTATCTCTCGCAAAACAATACAGCGTCGACTTCAGATGATCTCTCAAAATCGGCAGAAAAGCATGTTTCAGGGCTTACCTCCACAGGCAGCAGCAGCAGCAGCAGCAGCAGCAGCAGTAGTAGTAGTAGTAGTAGTAGTAGTAGTAGTAGTCCTCATTAACCTGTCATAGCTAGCTTTAAATACATGCAGCCATGCAGGGTTGAGTGACTGCAGGACCCTGGCTGCAAAGGCCAGGCAGACAGCTGCTGGTATCAGATCACTAGCCAATACAGTTAGAGGGACTAGGGCACACCTACTGCGGCAGGCTACAATTGCCTGCGTCATCTCAGTCCTTTGCTATGGGGCTGAGGCCTGGTGGCCGGGCTGAAGCAGGCCCAAGCCCAGGAACCAGGGCTCTGTATGAAATCGAGTTGATTCCTCCCTTTCTTGCCTTGACCGGGCTCTCAGAGAAGCCCTTTGGGGAACCCTTCCAGTATATCAGACTACCCCTATTGCAGCCCTCCATCGGGAAACTGCTATTCCTCCCATGGAGATCATCCTCGACCAGACGCACTGCGGCCAGATTGCATGCCTCTGTCACGGGCTCGGAATAGCAGATATTAATGAATCGACGCTCCTATCTAAACTATTGTAGCCATCGACGAGAATAATCCGTCGATGGCTACAATAGTTTAGATAGGAACATTAATTCAATATTATCGACTATTCCGAGCCCGTGACATCAGGGAGAAATCGGAAGCGCTCAAGACATGGGGATGATGATTTTGTACATTATTAGCTGTATATCATAAAGGAATTCAATTGATTTCAGGTAGAATCTTTCCAAAAACCTGCTTACCCATCTCTTGACTTTGCATGTAAGCAAATACCCAAAATTACCGATAAAAACAGTGTAAATAATGCATGTCACAGGCTCCCCTATGTTTGCACTGTTTGACAGCCTGCCGGGCGCCCGTTGTAGCCCGCCGGGCATGCCCAGGGCTATGCCGAGGTCTATACAATACTTAATAGAGTAATTTATATCAAATAGAAAAGAAAAGAATAATGAGTTCTCACGGACTCACAATGAATCATAAGTATTTGAATAGTATGAGACAACAGACAAAGCACGGTTGCAGGGAAGGAATATGATGTTATGTTTGGCTGATGGGCAAGAACACTTTGATAACACTTTGCCAGTAGGGATCATTTACTGTTGTATTTTTCGCACGGCCTTGCTTGCTCCTGGGATTTTTCAGACTCCTAGGAGCGCTGGCCTGGATTCTAAGATGGCTGCTCCTGTTCTTGAGAGCTAGGAGCACACTCCCCAGACATAGGGTAATCTCTGGAGCGAATTGAATCTCCATGGGAGCTTAGTTTACCCCACTATCTCTGGGGAGAAGTTGGCATGGTAAGAAGCGGAGCAGAAGGAATGATGACCTCAATTCCCTGTTCCATTGATGATGCCATCGCTTTGTTGAGATTATTGAGGCTACCTTAGTCAGGCTACTCACCCCTCTGCTCAGTCCCCTACACAGTGATCAGCTCAGGCTGCTCAGGGCATGCTCAGGTCTATGCAGTGAGCAAAAAGTGGCGAGGGGTGAGCACTAAAACGGAAAGGGAAAGCCTTCGAGCTGTCTAGAAAAACAAGTACGTATGCAGATTTATCGCTCATGGACTCACAACATCGTTTCCAGTTACAGGTAATGGGTATACTCACCGATGGCGAAAGGTTCCAGGTTTTCAAATTTGAAGCAGGGGAAGGACAATTGCCGTCGATCTTGCAAGTGAGACTTTGGTTCAAGCCAAGACCGCGTTTACCCTGCATGAAGCAGGTGCATCTGAAGAGTCTCAGGCTATGGCATGGGCAGCGGTGGATCATTTGAATGAAAGGTATGGTCTCGCCCACTCTCTCATACACAATTACCCAGCAGTACTAACAGACGGGCTCTATAGCAGTTCCGACATGGTTCCTTTTTCAAAGCACTATTTTCTCCCTGGGATTACTAGAGAGATGGCATCAAAATGAATGCGAAGGGATTCTTAGAACGTTTGAGGAACTCTGTGTAATTCATAGGATGGTAGCCACCAGAGATTAAATTGGTTCGGCTGCATTGCTGCTAGTTAGTCCTGATTCAATCCCAGATATCAAGCATTTCTAGGATCTTAGTTTTATCCCCCATGATCTCCATATAATAACCCTTTAAATCCAAAACTCAAAATCAAACAAGCGTCCCACCCCCATTACTCGAAATAACCGCCCCCGTCACCCCCCCGATCCTTCATACAATAAACATACGCCTCCACCACACCCTCCGGCTTCGGAATCTCCCTCACCGGCAACCTCACCGGCAACCTCTCCCTCAAACTCGCAAACACAGCATCTTTCTCCGGATTCCCATCCCACACCTCTGTAGCCACAGCCCCAGGGCTAACAAGGTTAACCCTCACCGGCGCAACATCCAAGCAAAGATTGCCAGTAAACCCATACAGCCCAGTCGAGAATATTGTATGGATACCCATCCCCTGACCCATGGGTCTTTCACCAGTTGCCCCACTGGTAAGCGTAAGTGGACAGGCAGATGAGTTACTGCTCAGATACGGCTGCATATATTTAGCGATAAGGAACGGTACTAGATAAGGAACGGTACTAGAACACGGACATTACTGCGGTTTCGGCTGCAAATAGGCATATGCCTCTGAGTCGTTCAGAAGTACTCAGTAGGGATTGCTTGACATCAGAGACAGGAGTCACGCTTGCTATGGATAATGCGATTCGTATAATACCTATGTATGCTCCATATATAAAATGCTACTTCTTCCGCGCAACCCAATGCGACGGCCTATACAGGTTCTGCAACATACTCTCCGGGTCCTGGATGTACCCACACATCTCCCTTTCATCCGGTGCCGTTCTCTTCTCCAACTTGAATCCCATTTTCTCCACCAAACAAAACACCTCCTCTTCCGTCAACTCCACATTACCTGGCTCCGCAATGCCCTCCGGCTGCTGTTCATCATGATTCTTTCCCTCCTCGAAATGCCAGAGTAGTGGGCCAACGTTGATCCAGACACCGTTCGGCTTCAGGCAGTTGCGGATGGCCTCGATATAGCGGATGAGATTGGGAGCTGTGTCGATGAAGAACACTGTCGCGACGGCGTCGAAAGACTCCCGGTTTGATACGCCTTTGTAGAGAACCACAAAGTCGGCGGCGGACATGCTCATGGTGCCGAACTGAGCGTTCGGGTCCGGGTTGTTTGCGATCTCCAACATCGACATTCCCGGATGCACGTCGGGGATTTGGACCTGGCGAAGCTGCTGCTCGCGTGACTGCAGGTTCGAGAAATGTAAAGCGAACGGGTGGAGAGTGTGCTGCTGAGGTCCGGCCGTGTGGTTCAGGATCCAGTTGCTGGCAATGAGCTGGTGATAGGAGATCTCGTTGCCCTCTGCAGCGTACCCTCCCTGACAGAGGTCAAAGACTAGCCGACCCAGGCCTGCCCCGGGGACCAGCACCTTAACCTCGTCTTCCTCATTCCGCTGTGGTTTATCCCCAAATTCCTCGCGCAATGCCTTGAGAACCGGCCCATAGCACACATATCGTTCCCGCTTCCCTTCCGTACTCCAATCCCGATAAAACTGCCTGATTGTAGAATGCGCCTTGTTCACGTCCGAGGAATTCGCCGTACCGTGCCAATTCGTCCGAGGTTCGCCAGCGGAAGGAGACGCGGGAAGACCAAACGAAGCCAGTCCAACGCTCAGAATCGCATCTGCAATATCCGCATTCGTGTCAATGGCGTCGTCAACGTGCGAAAAGTGGTCGAGTATGGAGAATGGGGGCTCCGCGAGCATCTGCCAGTGGGCGGAAGGGAGGGCGTAGAAGGCTTGTCGGCGACGGTGAGTGGTATTCTGGTGGGCGGTTCTGCGATATTGTCTTGAATGGTTTTAGTGGGAGGAATAATCGAAATAACTGAAGACAAGATAGACTCCTCTTGCAAAAGGCCATTGAGGAATACCTGTATGTGTGCGATGCTATACGCACCTGAACGAATCCAGCGTCGCAAAAAGCACCCTGCGCTCCTCGGGGTCGGCGAGGGGGTCAAAGCCGCCTTCCCAGGTTTCCTCTGGTTCTGCCATTTTGTATATATAGAGCGCAATGCCCTGTTTTGCCAATTTGTGTGGTTTTGTTGAGGAGTTAGCGTGGACAAAATCGAGGGATTGCGGAACGGCGGGGAAGAAACACCGACATCATCGTCTACTGCCCGCAACATTCTTTACCACTACTTTTAGCAAAGAAAATATTTCAAAATGGCAACACAAGTTGAACCAGTTCCCTCTCAAATTCAGCCAAAAGAACTTTCATTCCTTTTACCTAAAGCTCTCCACACAACAGCCCATATCCACCTTACAGCGCTAGAGACCTGCGCAATGGTCTTCATAACAACATCAACACCCGGAGATAACACGGGGTCAGCAAAACCAATGGGCAGTTTCGTCTATGCTATGCCAGACGTAAGCTCTTTTTACTCCATACAGTTTTGTTCTAAAGTCTAATTGCTTAGCGCATCAACCCGAAATCCGTTCTAAGCACTACGCTCTACACCTCGTCCAGCATCGAGTTTACTACTCGACTCGCCAAGATCCTGGCGCGACGCATGGCACGTCCGGTCTATGTGGGATGTAGTCTGGATCCGGGGGCGTTGGGGTTGATGGTGGAAGAGGAGATGGAGGGGTTAGGGAGGATTGTGGACGTGGTGATGGAGCAATCGAAGTGATGAATTTTCATATTTCAATGGAGTTAAGGGTACATTACTTAAAGTCGACAACGTCGAAGATTTTCGTTTAGCCATTATCTGGATCTGAAAGCAACATTGGTGAATTGGAAGCTAACATACCAGTGCCGTAATCATCACAGTGGGTTTTCAGTGAGATGCGTCAACAATGTTGACATTTCTGAACTCATTCGAGAGCACCTGTAATCAGAGCTGGCGTGGTGTTCCTGTTAGACAAAAGCTGAACCAAGTAAAGCATGTAACATGCGTCTTCATTTATCCCCTCTTGCACAAATCTGCCCTGCGTAACTGAGCTTTGCTGGGTTTATTGCCCTCCGTCATCTTCTTTCAGACGATTTTTATACCTGACCTCTGTTTGGTTCAGGTACAAGGTCAAGGAAAGCAGCTTGTCAGCGCGCAGAGCAAACCAGGGCCAGTCGTTGGCTGGTTTTAGATTCTCCATAGGGGATGAGCCTATAGAGAGAGGCAGGTGTTCGAGAAGCACAACTCGAAGAGCATGGAGGTGCTCCTTATCCCACTGGAATCCCGACGCATTCAATATTTCATGGTTGAGGTTGGAAGGCGTTGGATCCAGATACGAACGACCCGGTTTGATTTCAGAGAGCTGCCTCCTAAGACTGAGCTTCCGTCAAAAAGATCATCCCCCAATTTGCAGATCTTTTGCTTTCTGTATTTGTCGCCTTCTTTTCCACATCCAAATTTGTCGCTCAAGTCACTAGTCACCTCGTCGTGTTTGGTCCATGCCTTGGCGATTGAGTATATCTGATACCTGGAAACGCAATTTGCCATTTACCTTTCCAGCCTCTTATGTCCGAACAGACGCTGTTATGTTTCCAATAGCTTTCTGTCCTAGCCAAACTATCTTAAAACTGAAAGGGTCTGAAGTGCCCGGATCGATGCTTGCCTATTAGGGCAGAGATGCACATCTCCGGCCCCCTGGTATACACATACTGGTAACAGTACGCGATATCCGGGACTTCAATGTTTCTTGAGAAAAGTGGGCAGCGAGGCGAATTTTAAGCGACATCGGTACGACAGCATAGCCAAAGTAAGTGGTCAGTTTTTCTCTCAGATGTTGGATTGACTGGGGGGCGAGGATTCCTCCATACTCTGGCGCCGTTGACCCGGTACAAGGCATGAGACACTTCCACTTTCATTGGAGTCCCGCATGAGGACGACTGATTTTAGTACCTCGAAACATCCCCTAAGCAGAGTACTCCTACCACTGTTTTATGCTGCAGGGCGTGTAAAAAATTGCGCCATCTGTCTTCTGCACATGTAGCCAGCCATTTCCCCAACCGTCAGTGCTTAGATTTCGGTAGCATCGAAGCTATCTCTGAATATAGAAAATAGTGGCTATATCTGGGCACTGTAAATGGTCCAGGCTCGGGATTAATGCCACGAAGGATATTCTTCCAAGTAGCCAAATAATTTACCTGGGTTATTGAAGAGGCCCTTCTGGAAATATTTGAGCTCGATTCAGCGATGTGACGTCCATAATTGTCAAATCCTAGACCAAGTGAAATTAGTCTTCACGCACATATTAGTAGTAGCTTGCAAGTTAATCAGAGTAGTTGCTGGCCAGCGTTCTAAAAATCCCAAAAGGGCAGTAAGATGGCGAACAGCTCATTTATCAAGTCTTTTTATGAAGAAGGACATCCGGCAGTGCGTATGCTTCTCTGAATAAAATCAATATTAGACTCAATTCATGCCAAATTGACATCGCATAATCTCTCTGGCATCGGCCGCCTCTTTCGTATTGAGCAAAAGGCCTAGACCACTTTCATGCAGTCTCGCATATCTTCACTGGAGAGACGAAAAGAGACAGTTGGGCCCAAATGATAGTGGTATTCCGAGGTTTTTCTATTCGCAGAATCTCGAATTGTTCCCGCCAGGTAGGTCATGATGCGAAAAGGATAACACGGCGTGAAGTACTAATGGACGGATCTCTTGCTTTGAAGAAAGCATATCACACGGGTATCCCAGCAAGACTCCTGTGCTTCAACTGTAAGAAGAAAGACACTAGTGAATGGCCAAATACGCCCTCAATCCCCCTTTTTTGAGTAAGGTAGCTATTCTACCCTTTTGCATTCACTTCCAACATATCCCGGGATGGTGTGATGTGCAACAAATTCATCAATCGTCATTCCACAAGCTGGTGTACCTCCCGCATAGATCAGCGGTATTGTTCGGCTCAGATTATGCCATCCATTAGTCGTTCTCGGGGGTATAGTCCAGCTAGAACCAGTCAACATCATCCTTTTTGCGCTTGGATAGTGCCTCTTACCATATGGTTTTGTTACTATGGTTTCCTAGAGCTTGAGTCTTTGGAATTGACTTGATCGTGCATCCCTAACGGATGTCTACAGTTACCATCATCGCATAGAGTCGGACCAAAAGGCTCGTATGGAGACATGAGGCGGTAACCGGCCTCGCATTTGCATCTGCGGCCATCTTGTTTCCGAATGGATTGGCAAGGTCCCACTCTGATACTCAACTTGCGAGAAGGGTCGGGCTCAAGTGTTGGTAGATGGTATGGTTCCATGGTAGATAGTAGTGAGACCCCAAAACTTTTCGTATAGAATGTGTATACCTGAGCAAGTCCGTTCTAATTCATGTAGGAACGTAGATTAGTTATGGGAAAAGAAGAACTTGCAATGCATTTATCATGGTGAAGAGCTGTCCAAATGTTTGCTATGGGAAGTAAGCTGACATTGGAGGCCGGCATTACTACGAGAAGCATGGAGAATGAATGGTCCAAAATGCACGGATCCGGCAGATAAGCGCTACAGGGTTCTCTTGAAAATCAAATAATACTGCCAACTCACATCCTGTCTGACAACAATGCGCGTTGTCATGCATTGTGTGGTGACGATGTCGCATGTGCTCATTAAGATGCCGGAGAGTGGGTTCGCAACGCTGGAAAACGGACAACTCCCACCACTTGACAGACAAATCGGAACAGCCGGGTCGAGTGGATTTCTGCTGGGTTTAAGATCCACGATTAGGTGGGAGTCGGAGCAATCCGAATCCAATAAGTGTGCCTCTGCTGATACGGACAGCCCGGAGAGTAAGCGACATCCCTCGTACATCGGGGGGACCACCACTCTACATGATACGACGAAGGAACGTGCAGATTCCGGATGTGATGAGATCACGGTACATCTGTTTCCTTACTGTACAGAGAATCAATTTCCTTAAGAAAGAGGTATTTTGAACCGAATAAGAAAAAGAGAATCATGCCGAAAGTCGGTACACGGCCGCAGCTCGGGACAAAAACGGATGCGAGAAAACTCCGTATTTTCTCCTTTGTGAGCTGATGATACACCTATCTAAGTTTGGCATTGCCGCCCGTCCTGGGCATGTTGTATATCAAAAAGTATACAGCCTCGGAAAGTAATTCCGGACATCTGCCACGTTATTTTTGCCTGCTTTTAAGGGAAGATCCGGTTGAATCTCCCAGGAATGAACGACAAAAAGACATTGCCACTGTCGATCTGTGAATAGAGGAAGAGAAATACAATTAAATACCGAATAAACAAAACAGAAGAAAAGACTGATGTTATCCACTCTGGACCAACGGAAGTTTTGGCAGCTCTGCAGACTGTGCAATTCTCCCACTGGACCAAGCATTGAAGATACTTGGTTTTATAGGAGAAGTTGTTGGGAAGAAGAAGTCGATCGGATGTCATTCATTATTATTTTCTTGGAATAATCGTCGTCGTCTTTTTTCTTCTTCTACTGATACACCACACCTACTCTCTCGCCACTTTTCATATTGATATATTATTTCTTCTTCGCCTCTCTTCTCTCCCTCTCCCCCCCGTCTCTCTCTTCCCGTCTCTCTCTCCCTCTTCCCGTCTCTCTTTTGATCTCCTCTCCGATAAATCTCATCTCCATATGCAGCATTCCATCTCATTCATCACCACCACCACCTTCTTCACCATCCACCATGCAAAATCCCTATTTTTCCCCTATACAAAATAATCCTCCTCCATCTTCCTCGTCTTCTTCTCATCCTCATCCTCATCATATTTCTTATGACCTGCCGCCGGTGCAATCCGTCACATCGTCGCCTTTTCACCACCGTCCGTCCCCCGCTACTCTTCTTTCCGCTCCGCCGAGTACGGCTACCACAACGGCCACAACCGGCGGATTGAGCATGGCCCATCTATTACAGCCCGTGTCCCCTAATAATCGGCCTAATCATAATACTCATAATGCGCCAATTATCAGTCCTCCTCTCGCTCTCCCGGTTTCTTCGTCTGCATCTTCATCTACAGCTCCTCATTACCCTCGCTCCTACGGTTCCAGCTCTGGTTCACCCGCTGAACCTACAGCCGTGCTCCCGGAGAATAATCACGCTGTTAGCGCCAACTCCGGCACGGCTGGGTCCCTTTCGGGGACCTCGGGCTTTGCTCTCGGGCAACCGGCTCAACCACAGCAGCATCCACAGGCCGCACCGGCTCCGTCAACAGGAACACCATCAGGGCTACAGCAGAAACGAGCTTATCGCCAAAGAAGGAAAGATCCCAGTTGCGATGCTTGTCGCGAACGCAAAGTCAAGGTACCCTTTTCAGCGTTTTCGCATTCTGAATAGGGCTAACGTAGGACCAGTGCGATGCCTCCGAATCCTCCAGCTGCACAGAATGCACCAATCGCAAGGTGCGATGTCAATTCACCAAAGAAACAAACAGGCGCATGTCGTCCATCAAGTTCGTGCCATCCTTGTTTTTCTCTCCCTCGGTCAAAAAGAGTCAGCGATCCTGACAGAACCCTAGACAAGTACAAGACCTAGAAAAACAGCTGGTCTCGACCAAACAACAGCTTCAGCAGCTCCGTTCTGGTTTGCTCAAGTCCGATAGTCCTTCAATGGACCTGGATTTCGTCGAAACTCCCACTGGTTTAGGACAGCAGCCGCTTTTCAAGCTGCCGGATATCAGCCAACGACCATCGCGACGACCGAAAGCGCGTGTTGCTCAAGATCTGTCCTCCGTACGGACCAACCTGCGAAACTACGGCCGTGGAATCTGGAAAGCCCCGTCTTCATATCGCCAACAAAGCCACCGTTTTCTTCTCACCGCTGATGAGCCCCCATTGCCTTCGAAAGCCGTCGCAGATCGCTACCTTGCTCAATACTACGCCTGCATACATGCCGTTCTTCCGGTTCTCCATTGGCCTACCTTTGCCGCAGACTATGAACAGGTGTATCGGACAGGATCATTACGGGGCGCGCCACGGGAATGGGCGGCCGTGTTATTCGGTGTACTAGCTTGTGGATCGCTTCATACCCTCGACCGCAGCCGCGAGCAAGATGGAAAGGAATTGATACGCACATCGTGCAGCATCATCGATGTGTGGCAAGACGACTTTTCTATGGATCAGGCCACGGCAGCTCTCTTGGTCAGCTATTTTCTTTATGAGATTAACTCGAAGTCTTCGAGCTGGGTTTGGATCGGTTCCGCCGTGCGTGTCGCCCAGGAGATAGGCTTGCATTTGGATTCAGGGCCATGGCCTCCGCTCGAGAGTGAGATGCGCAAACGTGTGTGGTGGGGGATATATGCGTGGGATCGGTGAGTGGCCGCATAGGCACTTGTTCTTGGATTCGCTCTCTAACGTGGGATAGACTTTTGGCCTTAGAAGTGGGAAAGCCGGTTTTGATCAACGATCAGGACTGCGATGTGGACCTTCCCTGTCCGATTGTCGATGAACGGTACATTTCCGACGGTTGTTTACCAGACAGCCAGCAGACTACGCCTTTCCTAGCGGCCATCCATGTTGTCCGATCGATAGGACAATTATCCCGGACATTACGTTCCCCGACCATCGGGCTGGCCACGCTCGAGACATTCGAACGGCATTTCGACGCTTGTGTAGGGACGTTCCCTGCCTCTTACCATCCGCGATCCGATCAACCTCTCGATCCGCGCTCACTAGCCCCGATCGTCTACCTACAAAACGCACGATTGATTCTTCACCGGCATAACGTGTCGCCCATGAGCCCAACAGACGATCGATCAGTCGCATTGGACCACTGCTTGTCAGCAGCACTGGATACAGCAACCCTGCTTTCGCGATGCCTACAACATCCGCTTCCCGGTGGCGAAGACGGCCGTGCCGTATTCGCCTCCGCAGCTACAACCATCCTCTGCACACATATCTGGCGCTGCACGCTGTTCCTCCTTTTCCGGCAGGAGTATGCGGCAGCGCTGGTGTGCGTGCAGGCTAGTTCCCTGATCGGAGACCTGCGAGCGATAAACGCATCCTGCGGTCGCTACCTGGCGTTTTTCGTCCGGTTCTTGTTAGATCGCGTGCGCCGTCCCGGTCCGCCTGTCGACTTGTCCCGTGACGAAGAACTGATCGCCTATGTCTCGGGCGACATGCAGGGGTCCAGCGACGGCAGCTGGGTCTGGCAGGGTAGCGAGACCGGCTCACAATTAGAAGTTCTGTCCCCGCCCGTGTCTAGCTCACCGATTACCCGTCCCGAGACAGGTAATGAGTCCATGGACTGGGAAGGATGGGAATGGATCGAGCGGACGGTACAGTACCTGCTAAGCGAGCAGCAGCAACAACAACAACAACAACAACAACAACAACAACAACAACAACAACAACAACAACAACAACAACAACAAGAACAAGAACGACCACTCGAGACGCAACCCCAAGAACCAGTCAAGAAAGAGACATTCCTCAGTCCTGACACTGCGACGGGTGAGGATATAGCTCGACGGTCGAGCTCGTCGCGCATGACGATTGCCAGTATTATTTGATGCATCCACGGACAACGGAGTACTCGGCCTGCATTTGTTTCTTCATTTATGCTTCCATGCGATGAGATATGGCTTATGAAAATTGCATAGACGGACGCATTTTAACCATCCATGACTTACATACAAGTACTATAGAACTGCATATACCCTGCCAAGTAATAGAATTGACATTTACATTTATAATTACAATTGCTACCAAACAACATCCACCATAAAATACACGTAATACAATCACATTTCTATCAATTAACCATCATTTAGAAAAGGAAAAAAGAAGCTAAGCTTCCAAATTAATCCCCCTCCCAAACCGCGCATAAAGCGCCACCTTCAACTCCTGCAACTCCTCCCTCAGCTCCCCCAATGAATCCTCCAACTTCGTCACCTCGCCCTCAACATCCTCCGTCGAGGTGGCAAGGAGCTGTTGGGCTTCCGAGAGCGGGAGTTGGAAGAATGTGTCGCCGATTTTGTACCTGGTTTTGTTAACTCTGGACCTGAGTGAGTTAGAAAGAGGGAAGAAGGGAAAACGTACGGAACGAGTTCATCTTCATCCGCGAGTTCGAGTTCGGTGGTTACTTCTTCGAGGTCTTCTTTATCTTTCTGCTCGATTATTATTAACACCCATCTCCCATATTGGACACAACAACCCAATGCACCGGCACTAGCGATGCAAGCGCAGTCTTAATACAGGGGATGAGGGGAAAGTACCTGCTTCCCCTTAAGCAGCGCCTCAAAAACAGTCTCCCGCTGATGAAGCCGACTAAAGCGGTTAATCTTCTCCTGGTCCTCGCGCCGGACTTCGTTTTCTTCGCCGCCGGCGGCGACTTCTTCTTCTTTTGAGAGCTTTTTTATTTGTTAGTGTAATTTGTTTGGGCTTAGTTTTAGATAGGGGAGGAGGGCTACCATGCGATGTTGCATCATTTTGGTGGTGTTTGTTCTATGGTGTGGTGGATTGGGTTGTTTGGTGGTTGTTCTGTGATGTTGAGGATTCGTGGGATGTGGTCTGTGCGGGGCGGTTGATCGGAGGTGCGTTGCTAGAGCTCTGAGGGTATGGATTACAGGAGAGATACTGAAGTTACTAATATTGGGGTATATTTACTGAAATAGATATTACAGCCTTTGCCTCTAAATTACGAGAACTGCACAATTGGGCGTTAAGGTAATGTCAACATCAATTCATGCAATCATCTAACAACTATCACCCCCAAACTAAGAAACTACACAGCGCTATATCCACCCCTAGACCCCGTCCCTTGAAGAGTATTCACCACTCGTCGGAACCAATCCTGCAAGATATACGGCACGTCCCGGATCGAGTCACCATGCGGGAGCAGATCCCATCCCCGAGCACCGTAGCGGTTGTAGTTGAGCCACGAGCCGAAGATGAGGTACGCGGAGATGCAAAGGAAGAGGCTGCCTTGGTTAGTGATGTGAATACCAATGGGGAGGGGGAAAAGACGTACATGACAATAAACCAGGTGAAGAATCCCCAATGGTTAGAAGATCCGCCCTTCTTGCTACTCAGGTAGTCGTCACACGCATACCGGGTCTTCCAGTCCAGTTTTAGCACATAGGATTCATTATCTGCAGGTCCGAAGCTCTGGAACCGCAGACTGCGCGATTTATCACCGGTCTCGTCTCCATTTTCCTTCGCCCTTAGCTGCTCCTCCTCTGCTGTGTCCTCCTCTGTCGAAATGCCCTCCAGACCGGACCTGGTGGGGTCGCACTGAAATTCGATCACCGCACCAGCATCCTTCTTGGCCTTTTCGTCGTCGAGATACTGGCCTCCGCCCAGTCGCACACTCAGTCCTTCGCGGTCGGGATCGAGTTGCTTCAACCGTGTGATTTCGGGGTCTTTGGCGCCATGTCCGAGGTGGTCGAGACCGACGATGGGGAACGCTTTCGTTTCGCTATCGGAGCCGTCGACGGCGTCTCTGTATTCGAATCCGCAGACTATATTGTCAGCATTTCCTGTTAAACCGTTAATAAGAGGGGGAAATTGACATACTGTTCTTCGACGTCCCACACTTCAAGTTCCCCCGAATAGCGGCCCCCTTCAAGATATTGCAGATGTTCAGCACGTAGGTGGTGTTGACGACATAGTCCTCCGTCTCCTTGATGTGGTATAACGAATGCACCCCACCAAGTGGACTCAGGTCATATTTAATGCCGTCCGCGTTGATATGTGCGCAATCGAAGCCTGTCGCGGTGACAAGGCCGGCGAAGAGGAATGAGAAGACGCTCGATTGTAACCGCATGGTGGCGCGTGTGCGAGAGCAACCAGCCAGCTGGTGCAGAGGCAGACGTAGGAAGGGTGCGCTTTAGGCGAAAATGGAGCGATAAGGTATTGGATCTCGGTGGTTTCGTGCAACGCAGGGTTGATTAGGCCCGAGATAATGCGAGGCTGGTGGGAATGTTGGCTGGGATGCTCGGAGGTGTTTCTTTTTCCGAGGCGGTGATGCTCTAATGTCAGGGATCTGAAATTTGGGTGGTCAAGACGTGATGCTAATACCGGTAGTGGTACGGAATAAATGGCGTCTATTTCAGGTCAGTGTCGCATAGTATTCTTAGTATGCCAGCAGGGAAAGAATGAAGTTGGTCGAGGTCTTGATGATGTCACCTGACTTTCCTTTTTGGGTGTTTGCTGACCAACTCACATGCTCTCTTTTCACACCCGTTTCTATTCATGTTTGTCTCTAATTCCATTCATGCAAGATTGCTGGCCTATAGTACTCAACCGCAGGTGTACAGATGCAAATGCAGTCATACACCAGACTGGCGAACGAGAGCCTATCCATGAAAGTTATCTCCAGGGCAAATAACCAGTCCTACAACCAACGCCGGGGTTGAGATGAATCTTCGTCTCATCAAACAATGCCGCTGAATAGGTTCGGATCCCAGGTTGCGAACTGCGTACAGGCTCTGCAGCAGTGCAGAGTGCTTGCACAAGCACAAATAAAACAACCCTGGATGAACAACCCTGCCAGTCGAAACGCAAATACTGGCCGATGCCCGATAGTCCAAGTTCGAGTCTTTTAAAACCGTGAAGAATCGTCTTCGTCAGTCATTGTTTTCTTCAGATCTGCCACAACTCATGAGCTTTATCGATTCCCTTATTCTTTTACCGAGAACCAATAACACCACCACCATGCAGAATATCTCACTCACTGAAAATGTCAAAGAGATCATCAATAAGTTGCGCATCGTCGCAGCAGACTCGGACGCATGCGAGATATACAGAAACTCGATTGGCTGGCAATATGGCGGTTACAAAATTGAAGCTCAGCTCAACCATTTGAAAGATGAGTTGGAGAAGAAGAAGAAAAAGAAGACGAAGAAAAGCAACAATGTAAGTGGAGCCCTGTTCTTGACTTGAGCATACACAGAACTAATACTTTTACAGTGCAAGGTGGCTGAGATAAAAATGGTCCGTTTCCTTAAGAACGCCAACGTTATCAACCCGACGAACAATTTGATTCTGATTCCGGTCAATGGCGACGCGCTCTTTGGGAACGCGACGGTAATACCGGATGAAGGCTATTATACTGATGAGGATCAACGACCGTTGTATGGTTGTGGAGTGGATGTTGTTATTGTCATTCTTTCTAGGAAGTAGGGGAGGTGATGTGTGAAAACAACGTCTGATAGGAAGGATAGGGGGTGTACACTGAGGGCTTGAAAGAAAATAACATCACTACCTCCACTACCTCCACTACATCTACTCCTTCTCATCATGAACCCACCCCAAAATCCTATTCGCCTTCTCCGTAGCCCAAAACGCCTGATTCCTCGACAAATCCCCCCGAATCTCCGCCTTGGGATAAAACTTCCTCGCCAACTCCTCTGAAGCCGTCTCCTGCTGCGTCGTCGTCGGCGCAATAATATTAAATATCTGACAACCCCCCAACCTCTCCGACCTCTCAATAGCAAGCAAACAAGCCCTCGCCACCGCATTCGGATGCACCCAGCCCCACAACTGCTTCACAGCAGCTTCATCCCAGTTCCTCTCATGCTCTTTCTGGACGTCCTTCAACGGCGCGACTTCATGGATGCGCAGACAGGCGATGTTCATACCGGGGAACCACTCGACGAAGGAGCGCGCTTGGTACTCTGCTTCTTCTTTTGCGAGGGCATAGGGGTCTGTTGGGTGCTGGGGCGCGTCTTCGTCGATGGGGAAGTAGTCGAAGCGTAAGGGGCGGTTTGCGTATGCGAGGCCGATGGCGTTGACGGAGGATGCGTAGCAGATTTTGTAAATACCATGTTCAGCAGCGGCGCGGAAGCCGTTGAATGCGCAGCTCACATTGTTGTTATGGACTAATGAATCTTCCTTCTCGACCGGGTCGGGGATAGCAGCAAGATGGATGAGTGCGTCGCAGCCCTCAAAGGCCTTGAGCGTACCAGCATAATCATTGCCAATATCTGCTGTTCTATGCTCGGTGTTTGGAATGTCGTCGGAGTCGTCGCGCGGGGTGCGATCGATTTGAACAGTGTGGTGGCCTGCATCAGCGCAAAGCTGGACGGTGTCTCTGCCCACTGTTCCGCGGGCGCCGGTGATGGCGATTTTCATTTTGTTAGGCATGGATGGTATGTGCTTGAAAACTGGACTTGAGGATGAGAATGAACGAGTGGTTATGGATATCGAGCACTGGAAGGTGCGAAAGGGTATGCTAGCCATTGAGACTAGGGCTTGTCTTGGGGTGGTCATCATAGGTCATACAAAAGCGATGGCTTTAGATAACCTCGACGTAGTGCAATTGGATGAAAATGGCCACCTTGGAATACAGGTTTATCAGAGTTATTACTGTTTGCGGTAAAAATAGCAATTGAGTTTGGGGTGTTCGTGGAATGAGTCCCTTGACATCAACGGTTGATCCACCCGAACATAGTCAACATCCAAACAGCATCCATACAACACAGATTGTCTTTTCTGTGTATATAACTTGACTAAGATGCTCCACATTTAAATAATCCAGGAATTAGCGTTGTCTATTCAAATAACCCGTTTTTGACTGTGGCAATGAGAAACCAGTCTTGATATCATCGGATGTTGCATTGGACGCTCAGATGGAAGAACTATGTTGATTTCCCCACAAAACTCAAAGATACAGTTCATAATATAATGATGCAATATCTTAAGACGATCAGCAGACTCCCAAGTCTTATTGCTTTGAATAGACGAAGTTGTAGACACTCACCAGTATTCAGAATTCAGACGCCTATAGAGAAACATCAACAATGCCAAGCACAACAGGATACTGCCCCATAGAAGACTATGGCCTAATCGGCGACATGCACACTGCCGCCCTGGTCAGCAAATCTGGCAGCCTCGACTTCATGTGCTGGCCCGTTTTCGATTCGCCCTCTGTCTTCTGCCGCCTCCTCGACAAATCCAAAGGCGGGTATTTCTCCATAACAGCGAACCCGGAAAGCGATGCGTCCAGCAAGCAGAAATACGTCCCCTATACTAATATGCTGGAAACAAGATGGATGCATGAAAACGGTGTTGTGCATGTTCTTGATTATTTCCCCATTGCAAACGGGCAAGAGGCGGCGCCGGATAATATCCTCACTGGTGTCTGCCCGTGTTATAGACGGTATAAGGCAAAGTTTGATGATGCGTTGCAGTATCGGCATTCTGCGGTTATGAGGACGGTGACTTGTGCGCGTGGGGAGTTGGATATGGATGTTGAGCTTTTTCCGGCTTTTAACTATGCGCGTGATGGGCATGAAGTTGTTGGTCATCTGACTGGAGACGCATTCGATGAAGCCCAGACACAGTCTCTTCTGTTCAAGAGTGCGACCGAATCTCTGCGGGTGGACATACATGCAGATGTTGCCGACGAACGACAAAACAAAATCCCATCCTTCAAGATCGAATTGCAGAATAAAGAAGGTCTAAAAGGACAGGGGCTGTATGCCAAACTGCGACTCTCCATTGGGCAGTCAGTGACTTTCATCATCCATAACGACGAAATCGCTGTTCCAGAAGACAACGTGGGATCCTGGGTTAGCAAAATCGAGAGGAACACAATTGATTTCTGGGCTAGCTGGACACGACAGTGCACGTATACTGGGCACTACCGGGAACAGGTCTTGAGAAGCTTATTGATATTAAAGCTGCTCACGTACAAGCCCACAGGAGCGATTGTGGCGGCTCCAACCTTCTCACTACCAGAAGATATAGGAGGTTCCCGGAATTGGGATTATCGCTTTTCATGGGTCCGCGATACGGCATTCACACTGTATGTGTTTCTAAAGAGCGGATACACCGAAGAAGCCGAGCAATACATGAATTTCACCTTCGACAACATCCTCCCATCAGCAGAAGCTCACGCAAATAATGATCAATTTCTCCCCATCATCTTGAGCATACGAGGCGATTCTACAATTCCTGAAATGGAACTATCACACCTTGAGGGCTATAGAGGTAGCAGCCCTGTCAGGATAGGCAATGCAGCAACCATACACATCCAGCATGACATCTATGGTGCGCTATTTGACAGTATCTACCTCTATAACAAGCACGTTGGTCCTATTTCATACGATCAGTGGCGCACAATCCGAAGCATAGTCAACCGCGTTCGCAAGCTGCACAAAACACCCGACATGTCGATCTGGGAAGTCCGTGGTGAGAAACAGCACTTTGTATACTCCAAGATAATGCTCTGGGTAACCTTCGACCGTGCGATCCGACTCGCTGAGAAGCGCTCAAATCTTCCATGCCCCGAGCTCATAGAATGGCGCGCCACGCGCGATGAGATCTATGAAGACGTGATGGAGCATGGTTATAATATGGACGAGGGATTCTTTTGCATGAGTTATGAGAACAAGAAGATGATGGATGCTTCGGTGCTTATTGCACCGCTTGTGTTTTTCACTGCGCCGGATGATCCTAGACTGCTGTCGACGATAAAAAGGATCTTGCAGACGCCCGAGGCTGGGGGATTGACCACTGCGAAGATGTTGCTCAGATATGATCATGCGATAGCTCATGATGGTATTCCCTTCCCTCCCGCATAAAAGAATTGGGACTAAGAAATCGCAGGACTCGATGGCAAAGAAGGCGCCTTTATCATGGTCACATTCTGGCTCGTCGAAGCCATGGCACGAGTAAGTTTCTCTTCTCTGCTCAGAGATAATCAGTTAATGAGACGAAGGCATCCATGGCAAAATCCCATATACACGAATACCCCCATTTGAAGGAATTGCGCAGGAATGCCTTTTCCTACTTCGAGAATTTGCTGATGTTTGCCAACCATCTGGGCATGTTTTCCGAAGAGGTGAACCATTCAGGCGAGCAGATGGGAAATACACCACAGGCTTTTAGCCATATTTCTTGTATCAGTGCAGCGATGAATTTGAAGCGGTCATAATGTAACTAGTCTGCTGGTTTGTGCATATATTGTTTTTTGCCATGTAGAACTAGGCATATCATGTGTTAGGCAAACTTCTTGTATCGTATCACAGAAGACTCATCAAACTTACCTCCAAACATCTACTTTACAACTTACCAAGAAAACACAAAGTATTGAAAATGTCTTTTCCAGAACCACATATTCATCCTCCAACTACCACACACACACATACAGTAATCCTCCTCCACGGGCGCGGCAGCTTCGGCCCCGAACTCGCCGAAGAACTCTTTTCCTCCAAGACCACTAACAACCAAAACCTACCAACCACTCTTCCAAATGTCCGCTGGATCTTTCCAACATCCCGCGATCACTGGGATACCAAGTTTGAGGAAGATATACCGGAGTGGTTCGATGCATATTCGCTTACCAATATTGAGGAGAGACAAGAACTGCAGGTTGAGGGGTTGAAAGAGTCGGTGAAGTACGTGCTGGAGATATTGAAGAAGGAGATTGAGTTGGTTGGGGATGCTGGGAAGGTGTTTTTGGGTGGTATGAGTATGGGGATGGCGGTTGTGATGTGGGTAGTTGTTCACTATCTTGCTTCCGCAGCAGGAAAGAGGAAGGCGTTAGGAGGGGTACTAGGATTCAGTGGATGGTTCCCGTTTGCTAGACAGATCGAAGAGTTCTTTTCTACTACTGGAGCTGGGGGGCCTGAGTTCCAGCGATTGATCTTGTCTTTACTTGGTGAGCCTATACCTGTCGGCGGGGATCAAGATAAAGAGACCATATCACCTGCGAGCATCCCTATATGCCTCCTCCACGGGACAGACGATGCCTTTGTCTCTGTTGAACTTGGTCGGCAAGCGGCTGGAGTCTTGCAGAAGATGGGCGTGCCCGTTGAATGGAATGAGCATACTGTAGCAGAGAATGAAGGGCACTGGATCAAAGAGTCGGAGGGGTTTGATGAGATTTTGAGGTTTCTACAGAGTCGTGGTGTGAAATAAGCTTATTGATATCCCTACGAATTTATGATCATGGCGTCGCATACTGAACACATCAGAATACAAAATCCTTTGCTGTATAAGTGCAAGAACATCGAGAAATTGCAATGAATGCTTCAAACTTGAGCACAGCTCACTGTAATTGTCATCTCTGGTTGCCATATGCTATATCGATGCTAAATGGTATAGACCGTCTGATAAACCCAAATCAACGCTAGGTTAAGAATGAGAGGCTGCTCTGCCTCTTCCAGTTTCCCTTGGAACGCCTTGACTTGTTAGATATTTCTAGCTTCAATAAATGCTGCTCCAGAAAGGCTGCATACCCGCCAGCACAGGCCCTTGCCCCAACCATGATTTCACGATTGCTTCCCACAACAGGACTAAAGTCATCCAAACCGATCCCTGAAAAGCATATACCTCATTGATGATGGACATGCCCGAAACTGGGGCGAGATGATCCTCAGGTAGGTTTGCCAGACTAGTATCTTGTTGCAACTTTTGATTGCTAGTCTGATCATCCCAGTCAGGCTTGTCCGCCGGATTTTGAAATTGCTAGGTCAATTGTGCCATAGGCGTTTGCTAACTTGTCTGATGCCTCTTTGGGCTTCATGGTAAGACTGAAATGTCTGTATAATAATACTTGGTACCCTCTAGCGCCACATTTCGTACCGGGCTCTTCATTGATAATGGTGGATCATTTTTCATGGACTCTCAATCTAGGAGTGGCGTTTTGGGAGAATGGGAATGAAGCTAGCACGAGAAAGTGACGAGTTTGTCTTGTGGATGAGAACCCGATCAGCAGGGGATGGGTTGACGATAGAATTTGGCGGTGCTTGTTCCGGAGGTTGAGTTGTCTTCAAGATTCTCTAGTGATTTCTATTGAGTAGTCCCTGCTCTGCTAGTGAATAAGAGTAGCTCATTAAAGTCATGGTAGACAATTATGTGTAGCCATCACAATGAATTATACTCTAATCAAACACCATATGCTGACACAGATGTGAATATAGCAGCAGATATAAGATACACAGGCTCATATACATGAATATAACTGAAACAAAAGTCCGGGTCATATCCACATCTATAGAATCGTGATCCCGCAGCACCTAATCCGTGCACTATCAATCCGTGCTTGACGACCCCACCACAAACGAACCAATTCCTCTGCGAAGACACGGTCCGTGGCACTCCAGACATCAAGGCCCATTTCCGTCATGTCTTCTGTGGTGATGAGAACAGTGTCGGAGTCGTAGATGCTCCTGTCATCTGTATCGCTGTGGAGGAGAGGGGAATGGTCATCGTCGCCTTCTTGCGTGGATTGGCGGGCCATGGCGACGGATGAGTTCTCGTCGTCTTCGTCGTTGGCATCATCGCGGTAAGGTTGAGCGTCATCGTCTACAGACTCCTGCCCGTCACTGTCATGCCGCGCGACAACATCTGCGAGAATGATGAAGATCTGTGCTGTCAGACGGCGGAAGTACGCCACCAGGGCGACCTCCGGCGGTTGCTGCTCTGTATCTCCCGGTTGCTGGTTGGGATGGGAGAGGCTCTCCACACTAGCCAACAGACGTGTATCTTGCTCAATTTGCTGCTCCTCCTCTTCTTCTGAGAGACCTTCGCGCTTTTCACCCGCTGATGCCCACCAAATGAAAGAGGTGTAGGCGAGTTGGGCCCAGGAAAGGGGCTCGACGACTGGACTAGATGAGAATGTTGAGGCTGTGTCAGAGCTATCGTCGGTTGCGTCGTTGAAACTGGCGCCGTCATTGTCACTGGGGTCTACTAATTGCGAGTTTTCGCCGCGGGAGAGATGGCGCAGTCCCTGGCGGAGCCTGGTGTAACGGCGAGCGTCTCGTTGCGTGGCTCTCAGCTCGGTTTGGACTGGGGCGGTTCCCGGTCTCGAAGGTGCCTGCACCGTAAGCTTGGGGTATATCTTCTCCGCCGCGTCCTTGGTATAGGGAGCCGGTACTGTAACCAGGACGTCGAAGAGTTCTGGTTTCATGGTCAAGACGCTGTCCGTTGAGCATGCGATCCAGGTCGAATCCTGTTCGCTGTCCCGGGGACTGCGCCCGATGAACGAAGAAAGGTATGGGATGTCATGGATGCCGATGTTGAAAAGTGGACGGGGCCGCGGGATCGGTAGATTATCCGGAGGAAGGAGAGGGAGGACGGAATTGGGTAAGGAGGCTAGTAGGGAAAGATCGTATACTGTATCATCCGGTTAGCAATGGGCTTTTCTTGTAGTAGCGCAAGCATCATACCATAGTTACAGGGCACATGCACCGGCGCTTCAGTCATGAGCAGGATTCTCTTGCGCAGAAGTGCAGCTCTGTATAGCGGGAATATCAAAGGTCCGAAAGAGTCAACGAAATGCGGAAGGGAGGACGCTGGGTGGAATGGTGTCAAGGCCGGCCTCGACGATGGTTCCAACACCATGGCGTCACTGAAAGCGCGATTGCGATGCGAGGAATCAGGTCGGTTGAACCGGACGCTGATCGGAGAGTCGAGCGGTGATTCGGGTGGTAATGCATCGGAACCCCGAACTTGATAGGCATCCCAGTATTCATCTAATGGTTTGCTGTTGGACGTATCTTGTGCGTATTGTCTGACGGTGACTGCAGTTAGGACGGTGAACAGCATGACGCAGCCCGGTTCGAAACCACTTACTGCACCAATTCCTTGAGTTTCGGGGCATGTCTCCAGCTCTTTCCCAGTCTTCCAAAGCTCAATGGGACTAAGACTCCAACAGCGAACATCTTCGCATTGCGTTCGGCTTCCTCTGCGGGTAGGTTGACGAATGCGCTGAGACCGGCGTAATCTTCGTGGACGAAGTACCTAGACAAGAAGGTTTGTTAGACAGAACACAATCAGCGCAAAGAGGCGACACATACACCAGATCCTCTGCGACATTATGCAACCCCGAGGGGAGCGATTTATATTCGACGACACCTTCGACCTCAACTATCCGTCAATGACGACGTCAGCTAACGTGCTTCGATTTGCGACCAAGGTATACGACGATATCACACACCATTTGAGATAGAGCGCTTCCAGGCGATCACGTATCTATGAAATTCAGTCTGTCAGCCACAGAGAGTTCAATTCCGGTATGGAATTCAAGCAAGACTCACCCAGTCTTGATATCGAAGCGGATCGCGAAGAGCGCCGCAATGCCGGGCGGCGATTCAAGGATAGCTGCCGTACGAGGCACTTCAAGCCCCAAGGACTTCCGCTTATTAGGAGCCATTGTCGAGACACAGGTTGTACAAGGAGTTTCCAGACTCCATGGAGGGGGTTGAAGGTGGCATGGAGAGAAGAGCATGGACGTTGGATAAGGCCATCGGGAGGAATTGGTGCCTGAGGCTTTAACTAACCGCATTGGGTTAGTGCACTATATCCATGGATACAGAGCAGAACAGCCTACTATGAATGAGGAAATGCTATGATATTATTGAAGATATTCTCAGATGAAGGGCATTGATACTCGATATCGCCGTCAAGGGTGACCGGTTGTGAGGAGACGTACCTATCTGCCTCGCATATAAGGCATCGGTAGACTAACCAACTATTAACTAGTTAGCTGAACTCTTCCTCGTCACTCACGCATTATCATCTCAACCACTCTTCCTTCCCTGCTCAAGGACAACCGCCATGGCTGCTGCAATTTTCCCTCATCCTTACTATCCGATAGACGCCTTGATCGCTGGGTATTCTCCCAATGAAGCGTCAGTCATCACGCTTCTTACCGTGGCCAGCGTGAGCTCTCTTGTTCTCCTGGGGACGACCTGGTCCTTGGTCAGCCTTGCAAAATCCAGTTTGCGCCATGGCGACAGATTTGCTATTCTCTGGTTTGTCTTATGTATGTCTGGTCCCTTCGCATGCAAGCACACGTGGCTAATAGGATGTAGCTGGAAGCCTTCATTGTTTCTTCGAAGGGTATTTTATCTTCAATCATGATCGGATGGGATCCGGACAGGACTTTATTGGCCAATTGTGGAAGGAATACGCTCTATCGGATTCACGGTATTTGACTTCGGACACGCTGGTGTTATGTATGGAGACCATCACCGTGGTAAGTTGACCTTCACCTACCGGGCATGTGAACGAACAGCTAAATGTCTCAGTTCGTCTGGGGTCCGCTCTGCTACTTGGTGGCGTACTTGATCTTCACTCAGCACTCCCTCCGGCATCCATTGCAGATAATCGTCTGCATGAGCCATTTGTATGGAGATACGCTATATTACGCGACGAGTTTGTTTGATCACTATGCCCACGGAGTGTCGTACTGTCGGCCGGAGGGTTATTACTTTTGGATCTATTACTTTTTTATGAACTTTATCTGGATCGTGATTCCCTTTTGTAAGTGACGATTGCTCTGCTTCCTCGATGCATACTAACACGCAACATAGATTACCTGTGGCAAAGTGTCGGTACGATATCGAACGCTTTGAAAAGTGTGCAGGAGACGACGAATCAGCGCAAGTCCCGATAGAGGTCTGTGGTTGGAGAATCGGGTATGCGAATCTAGAACGTTGCGAGCAGGGACCAAAGAGCTCTGCGTACATACCACGGAATGCTCCGTACATACAGCCGGCAGCGAGGAGCCTATGATATTCTGCAACACTCCAAAGTACGGAGTAGTCCGCGGTGGATTGAAGACTTCAGAAGAGTTATTTATGGACACGACAATTCAGGCTGCGATCAGGTCGAAACCGGCCCACTCTGGACCCGTAGGCAAAAGAAAAAGAGAAAATACAGTTAAACTAGGTCTCCGGTAGCACACCGGGTCACATTCCCAGGTCATTGCCGTTTTTTTGAGTACCAGAATAGCAGTTCATGGAGGAACAATGACCGGGTGACAGTCTCACGTGGAGGTCGCAGCTAGAACCACCATTTTCCTGCATGAGAACAAAGCGGCGGAGAGACAACAAATTCGCCTCTAAAATAAACTATTTTGGCGCCATTGGACTCTGCATTCTTCATCGCCGTTGGGCGCAGATCCAGCGCTTCCTCGCTCTCATCAGCGCTTCGTTTCCCCGGCAGCACCGCCGCCGACCAGCCATTTGACCGCCTCTTGAACAATTCCTCTACCATACAACTCCGTCCAAGTACTTGCTATCTTCTGCATGGATTGCTGGTCTGAGCGGTATTGCAGCTGAACCAGTTTCTCTTTCGTTGCTGCCCCGGGGCATGTCCGATAGACCGTGAGTACCTTTCTCTGTCTTGATCGGGTTTCATAAACAAAACACCCGGTGACGTCGTTGGCTGGTCCGTCCCTTGTCTCAGCCAGCGCCATTCAACAATCTCATTTATCCTCAGCTCTGCTACAAATGCATCGGATACTTGCTATTTAGCATCTGCTAACCCATTGTTCCCTATTGCGTTTGCAGATATCGATGTCGTCGCCCGCTCCGCACCGCGCCTCCAACCGCGGGGGAAATCCTGCGACAACAGCCAACAAAGGGCCCTCGGCACCAAAGCAGAAAACAGTGGATATCGGGAAACAATTGGGAGCCTACGATACAAACTCTGTTCGTTCGAAGGTCCGCAAATGGCAACAACAAGGAGGTGGGGTAGTCATCGCCAACGACTGCGTTTATTACGAAGAGGACGAGGAGAAGTTGGAGAACAAGTCAAACGCCAACAGTTCACAAGGGAGATCGACTGCGAGGGACAAGCAGACACGTACCTCGAAAATCCGCAGCGAAAGCACTCCCCGGAAACGAGTCATCAGTGACGAACATTGGAAGCTCAACCGGCATGCTCCTAAGCCTAAGGCATCACAGAGCAAGTTACCGCCGCCCAAGCGTATCTCGGAATATACCACAAACGATTCATTGGGCTCGCCACCACCCACACGGGATAGAAGGGATACAATTAGTAATGATAAGCCCAAGCCATCTCCGGCCTCGCGGAGTCGAGAAAGGAGCAGGGCCGCTGTGACCCCGGAGTCCGTCAGACAACACAGGAAGTCCAAGTCAACCCACGATCTCTCTGCAAGGACCGGTAATGATACCAACCGACTTGAGCGACCAAGACCTTCATATTCTCGACCGGAAACGGAAGCAAGGTCTTTACCAGATGAACGGTCCGAGATATCAGAGCGATCGAGGACAAAGTCGTTACCCCCCGAGGCGGATATGGACTGGGCAACCATCGAAGAAAACTTCGCCGAATTGTCGAAAAAGCGCGTGCGAGGACCGGACCCGAGCGCTGCGAAACCGCGTGCCCCTCCTGCTACTTCCCTTAAACCACCCAAGGGCGGTATTTTCAGCCATATGCTAGATGAGTCGAAGAAGATGTTCGCAAGACCCGAGCCGCCAAAGCCTAAAGGAACAAGAATTGAGGCGTGGCTCTCCGGCACCCCGGACACATACACACAGGATGGTGAATCGGATGTTGAAATTCCAGCGCCCCTGAACATGAGACCCAACAAGGCCAAGCACTCCTCTCGTGACAGCTTGGATAAGCAGCATGCTCCTGATTCTCGTAGGCGAGAAGGGAGCCATGATTCCGAGCCACCATCTGAAAATCGGTCTCGGAGGAGTACACACGCTCGACGGTCACGAGATAAGATCGAGGCCGACGAGGAGAAATCTACTGGAGAACTGTCGAGTTTGCGGGAGCGAGATCATACGCCTCCGCCATCGACTAGGAGAAAGTCGTCCGAAAGCAAGCAGAGCAAATCTCCAGCCAATGATAAGGAAAGTGAACCGTCTGAGAAAGTGCGCGAGAAGAGTGCGGAACCCGATCCAGAGGACGATGAGACGGAATCCCACCCTCCGGAGGAAGCAGAAGCATCTGATGACAAGGCGCTCGTTCCGTTTGGACGTGAACGACCCTTTCCCACCACTGGCAATCGGCTCCCTACCATTGCCTCCGCTGAGTCGGACAAGGCAGGGAGTGCCGAGAAACCAGAGGAACCAATTGAACAAGGTCCGTCAGAGGAGGCCGAGTTGACCCCGGTCCAGGAGGTTCCGGATTCAGAAGAACGCGATCAGTTTGATCCCAATTCCTTACCCCTCGTTACCACGCAATTAAAGCGACGGCTCACAACTCATGATGATCTCATCTCTGTTCTGTCCGGGTCGAACGGGAGGAGCCGAAGTCTCAGATCTGCCCGAAGTCTTCGATCAAACAAGAGCCGCGCTCCAGATGCCACTGTTACCGATTTGCTTAGGGAGCTATCGGCAGATGAGGCCAAATACATGCGTGAGCTCAAGACGCTGGTCGGTGGCGTCATCCCGGTGCTTCTTACATGCGTTCTGTCGAGATCAGAATCGGCCGTTGCAGCTGGTCTGTTTCGGCCTTCCATGGACCCTAAGGATGAGATGAACTTTACTAGGCCCATAGTCGACATGGGTGTGGCTATTGAGCGTCTCAAGTCGCTACATAAGCGTATTCCCCAAGAGCAAGTTGACCCCTTGCTCCATTGGGCTACTGGCGCGCAAAAGGTGTATCGAGACTATCTCAAAGCATGGAGATTGGGGTTCAAGGATGTGGTTGTGAACTTGGCGCCTTTGGACGAGTCTGAGGCCACGAAGAACAAGGATGAAAAAGAAGATGGCAACAATAATAACTCTGAAACAAGGAGCTTAGATGAAGGAATGGCACGGGACGAAAACGGTGACATTGTGGATAGCGAGGGCGAGAAGGTTGACGTGGCATACTTGCTGAAACGGCCTCTGGTTCGGTTAAAATATTTGGCAAAAACCTTTAAAGGCATCAATATGCTTCAACCATCCTCCAAAGCCGACGAAACTGCATCGTCTTACCAAGCCCTTGTCACAGAGGCTCGCCGTCGCGCCCGGGAAGAACGTGCCAGGTTAGAAGATGAATCTGCTTCGAGCATCGATCCAACCCGTGCCCGTGATCCGGCCACCCTCGGAGCCCTGGCTGGGGTCACCGTTAGCCAGACACGACGTGTGCGGGCACGCGATTTTTTCAACTTGTCCCTTTACCACTCCAGTGGTCAGGTCATTGACTGCCGCGCGGAACTTCTGATGAGAGACAATGCTCCAGTCAATGGTGCTGGTGGCGACTTGCTTATCTGCGAGATTGACCACTCGGACCGCTGGCTGCTGTTCCCGCCTATCGATGCCGGGTGCGTTTCAGCTCGCAATGGGGACACAAAGGGCGAGGTTGTGGTCATGATCCGCAGTCCGCCAGGCCAGGCGAAGGCCTGGCAGGAAGTCATCTCGCTCCAGATCGAAGAGGAAGAGGTCGCGTTCGAATGGATTCAGTTGCTTGGATTGCATCCTATCCCGCCAACTATTTGCAGGAGTCAGAGTTTCATTGACCGCGCGAGGCAGCGACAGAAGCAATTGCAGCAGCAACAACAACAACAGCAACAAGAACAAGATGCTCCTCCCAGTCTTCCAACAATTCAAGAGACACCTCCAAGCCCCAGGCACCTTGACGTTCCCATCGGGGAAAAGGCAACTGCTCGTGCTGTGCGCCGCTCCCTGACCCCCAAGGACCCGTCCACAGAACCAAGTATCTTTGGATCGTCATTCGCGCTGGAATCGCGAGATTCGTTGAACACAGATATTACACGACAATCAGATTATGTATCAGAAACTGCTAGGCCTGTTACAGCGTCGCCACAGCCTTCTATTCTGCACTCCAGAGACCCCAGGGCCATGACTCCCGTGGACGACAAGTCTCCAGGGCTCAAGCGATCGAAAGCCAAACGGGTTTCACGTGTCGGTGAGAGTCCCTCGCCAGCCCCCGAAGACAAACCATCTCCGTCCACGCCCAAGAAGAGCGAGAACAGACTTCCTGCTCCATCTCCTAGTCCGGGTCACGGTCCCAAGTCCAACAAGGAGCAGCAGCGCTCGTCACCCCAAGCTGAACACTCAGCTCAGCCATCCCCGCGTGTCTCATCTACACCTTCGAGGAGCCTGCCTTCCATCCCCAAGATTCGCCCAGCAAGCAGTTACACCCATGTGACTGAATCATTGGGTTCTCCATCAGATGAGGAGGATGAAATTTCCTTGGACTATGATGATCTACCCGAGACTCCAACTAGGAGGGAGAGCCACAGCCTATCGGACTCCGGTTCCAGTCAACCCGATGACGGCGACGAGCCTCCTCCGCCGCCGCCTCACCGTTCACCAAGCTCGAGCGTTGCGAATGCACCTGTTCTCAGCCCAACTGGCGGACAGCAGAGACGACGGGGTTCATCGCCGCTTAAGCATGAGTATGAGCCCTCCACGGCCTCGGATTCTCACTCTGACTCTAATTCCGAAACGTCAACCGTCAGACGGTATGATATGGATTCAGCATCCGAGTACTCTGGATCAGAAGACGACTCGGAGGACGAGGATGAGTCTGAAGACGAGCTGGACTCGACTCTTCCGCCAACTGAATCTCGTGATCCTCCCAGGCCTTCTGAACAGGCATCTATCGTTCCCTCTGGCAGTAGTATCTCCCCATCTCACTCTGCGTCACAAGTCGGGTATCGAACCGTGCCCGCACAGCCCACAAAGTCTTCTAGAGTGATGGCATCGATCTTTGCCTGGTCTGACAAGGGCACCTGGGAGAGTTTGCTGTCTGATGAGTGTGTTATCATCGTCAGCCCTGGCCTTATTGAAGCTTACGAGATGAGCGTTGCTCCTTCGGAGTCCGGTCATGAGGATGGCGCGCAATCCAGCAAAGTACGACCTATGATCGCTCTCGAATTAACACCCCTGGTGCCCATCCGCCGCGGCACGGCCATTGACATTAGCATCCGTTCGCCGCCAACTGATCGATCAAAGGTTACCTGGAGCAACAACATCATGTTCCGCTCCCACAACGCCGACGAATGCGAAGTCCTATACGGCCTAATCAACAACTCCCGCATCAACAACCCAACCTACATCGCCCTACAAAACGCCCGAGGCCCATTCGCCGACCAGCCAGACCCCCTAGAACGCTCCAACAACACCGCCGGAGGCATGTTCGGCTGGCCCCGCCGCCGCAAGAGCTACCGTGCCTCAGCATCCTCCCCGCGCTCCCTGGCCGATAACTCCGAAAGCAGCGTGGGAACCATGAGCAGCGCATTCTCCGCCCTGAAGCGTTTCGGCAACGGAAGCAAGATGTTCAACATCCCGCGGTCAACGGTCACCTCGCGCAACGGCCAAGAAGACGGCTCCAGCACAGCTGGCGGCTCGACATCAGGAATCGGCCGCATCGCAGCTGCCATCAAGGGCGTCGACGGAATCGGTCTATCTAACGCCAAGATCCGCATGTACGTCCGCGAGACGCAGACCAAGTGGCGCGACATGGGTGCCGCCAGATTAACTATCATGCCCGCTCCTGCATCATCAACGCCCCGCCCCAACACCGCGGGCAGCGATGCCACCAGCACCAACAACCCAGACGCCCGCCGCAGCGGCCTGCAAGAACCCCAGAAACGCATCGTGGCCCGCGGTAAGACGCGCAACGAGGTTCTGCTTGACGTATGTCTGGGCGAGAGCTCGTTCGAGCGCGTGGCGAGGACCGGTATTGCTGTGTCTGTGTGGGAGGATGCGCATGCTGGTGGAGCGATGCCGGAGAAGGGTGGTGTTACTGGGGGTTCGTATAAGATTTATATGATCCAGATGAAGAGTGAGGCGGAGGCGGCGTATACGTTTGGGTTGGTGGGGAAGTTGAAGTATTGATTTGATTTGTTCGATGGAGTATTGTGGATTGATTTATGAGGGTTGAGGTTTGGTTTGGTTTATGAGTGATTGATTTATGCGATTTGATGGTTTACGGTGTTTTATGTGGTTATTTATGTTTTGTTTTTGCACACACATGTGTGTTTTGATCATACCCCATTTGTTTTTTATATTGTTGTCCTTGGTATTTATCCATGTGATATTGATACTTGTATATGAAGTCGAGATATAACATACATGACTTGGTATATTGCATTGTATTCATTTTATATAAACCCATGCCCATTCCATATTCCATGATATACAAACAAGTAAACATAATGCCAGTCAGGGGTATCATCATATCAAGAACCACCATCTATCCTAAATTATAACGCAGGCAATAAACAAACTAATCTACCATGATGGGAGTAGAGACTGAATTCTCTCTAGCCTCACCTTTGGTAGCATCATCCCCAGCGCCATCACCAATCGTATCACTGCTAGGAAGAGCACCCCTCTTCTTAAATATAAACCCAACCCGATTATCCTCCTCCTGAACCAACGGAAACAAAACATCATCATCGTCAATCGCTTTCATGATATCATTCTCTGCGAATTTAGACCTCGACATCAAGAGGGGGTCGATGTGCGCATACGCAGCGAGTGATTGCTGCATTTTGTTCTTTTGGTTTATGGGTTCGTCGGTTTGTTCGTCTTCGTCTTCGTTGGTGTTAGGGTTGTGTTTGCGTTTGGATGGGCGGGTGCGTTGGCGTTGGCGGATGAGGCGCTCTTGTTCTTCCATGTCGACTTCGGAGGCTTTGAGGAGGGTTGGGAAGTCGGGAAGGTCGAGGATTTCGTCTTCATCGTCGTTATCTTCTTCTTTGTTTTGTTCCGGTGATTCTCTTGCAGAGGAGCCCTCCGGCTCATCCTTATTCGGAGGAGCTACACCCCAACCCCCACATCCACACCCCAGCAGATCATGCGTCTGACACAAACTCTGCTCATCCAACCGGAACAAATCTTTAAGCTCATCTCTCGAAAACTGCGCAACCCCATCCTTCCGCTCCATAACACTATCCGCCAACCCAATCTTAGTAACCTGCCTCTGCCAAATCTTCTCCTCAAGACTTCCCTTCAACAAAACGCGATAGATCCGACAATGCCGTTTCTGTCCATCGCGGTGAATCCGCGCCATCGCCTGGACATCCGTGGCCGGATTCCAGTCGACGTCGAAGAGCACGAGACGGCTTGCGCCGATGAGGTTCAGGCCCGTGCCGCCTGCTTTCGCGGAGAGGAGGAAGGCGAAGCAGACGGAGGCGGGGAGGCGGTTGAAGTCTTCGACTAGAGATTGGCGTTTTGCGGCGGGGGTGGAGCCGTCAAGGCGGAGGAAGGGGAGGGAGAGGGAGGAGAGGAGTTTTGCGAGGAGGTCGAGGGTGGAGGTGTAGTTTGAGACGAGGACGATTTTTTCGGAGGTCTTGGTGCGGAGGTTGTGGAGGAGTTGGTCGAGGACGCGGATTTTGGCGCTCATGCCGGGGGAGTTGTTGAGGCGGGCGAGTTTGGGGGGGATGGAGGAAAGAAGGGATGTGATTGTTTCGCTGGGTGTGTCTTTGCCGTTTTGCGCGGAGAGTAGGGATGGGCTGTTGCAGACTTTCTTGAGGATGGTGATGAGTTGTAGGGCACTTTCGGAGTTCCCAAGGACGCTTTGGAATACAGGTGAGGCAAGGACGTGTTTGTAGAAATTGGCCTGGGCGTGCGTAGGGTTGCAGAAGAGGACGTATTCCGTCTTCGGTGGGAGGTATTTGGCCAAGATATCTGCTGTCCTGCGCAGCATGAACTTCGACGTGAGCTCCCTTAGCTCTTCACCACGAGCCTCGCCTTTTTCAATGTCTTTCCGCGTTGCTTCTGGTTGTCTGCTTCTCACGATTGGCGTTTCGAATTCCTTAACAAAAGCTTTGAAAGTTCCCAGAACGCCGGGGTTAACCAAGTCCACTGCCGCAAAGAATTCTCTCAGATCATTCTGAATAGGAGTTCCAGAGAGAATAACCCTCTTCGCAGCATTCAAAGACTGAATCGCCTGACCACTCTTGTTCTGCAGCGTCTTCAATCGATGTCCTTCATCTGCAATGATAATATCGACACCAGCACCTCTCGTAAGTGCCTCCTGGACAGTCCTCAACTTCTCATACCCCACGATCATGACGCTATAAGCCTTGCCCATCGTGAAATCCGTCAATCGCTTCCGATTATCGTCGAGGACAAAGACTCCAATCCTCTCATTACCCAGCCACTTCCGGAACTCCTTTCTCCAATTGCTGATCAGCGTTACTGGGCAAACAATAAGAGCCTTCTTCACCACGGGCTGACTCTCATAGATCGGGCTCTGCTTCAGCAGCGTCCACAACAGCGTAATCGTCTGTAATGTCTTCCCGAGTCCCATATCATCCGCCAGAATCGCACCTTCACCATTGAACGAACGCAATCCCATCACGCACTCATAGAGGAACTGTACACCCTCCCGCTGGTGTTGACGAAGATGCTTGACCAGAATCGGATCAACAACCACATCGACAATCTGCTTTCCCTGCGGTGCTGAATCGGGCCGCTTCATCACCAACGCCCCAGGCGCTTTCGGATCATGCCGTGGAGTAGGAAGACTTTTCTTCTGCGGTATGACAGTCGTCTCCAACATCGGCGTCTTATACGCACTGGTCGACCTGGCAGTAGCGCCAGTCGTAGCAGCATTCCTCGTCCCCGTCTTATTCTGACCCGCCAAAGAAACAAACTGTTTCGTAGGCATAGACGGCGCAACTGGAGCGGTATTGCTCTCAAGAAAAACCCTCCCCGACATGTACTCTTTCCTCGGGACCTCAGAATCAACTTCGATCTCTTTACTCCCAGTGGACAGCATCGTGCCGGGCTCGAGTTTCGACCCGTGCATTACACGGCCCATATACTTCCCTGACATATCTTGTAGATAGGCGTAGCCGTCGTCGCGGGTGATTAGGATACCGTCTCCGTCCCAGGTTTTGTTCTTTTTCGTGGTTGGTTTGCGCCTATTGTACACAATAGCCATTAGCATATGAGAATGACCAGCGTATAAGGGGAGCATGACTTACCACAAGACATTAAAGAACCTCTCCCCTCCAGACCCATTCCCATCCGCATCCCCCGTCTTCTTCTCCTTCTCCTTCTCACCACTCTCACCACCACCCAACCCACCCTGATTCCTCACCTGAAGCAACGGCCTTCGTGGCGCTGACTCCGTCTGCAAACGCGGTTTCTTAGCCGGAGGTGCATCCTGGTCATCTGGAATGGTGATTGTTTCTCGCGGGGCAGGTTCAGTTCCAATTTCATTCGACGGCGATGGTTGTGGTTGTGGTTGTGGTTTCCTTATTAAAGGAGGCTTAAAGGGCTTGAAGACCATGGCGATGTGAAAACAGTCTTCAAGCTGCTGTTCGTTGTTTGTGCTGTCTGGGTTGGTTGGATGTTGGCGAACGCGTTGCGCGAGACGCGGTGGAGCGTGGGCACGTGATTTCATATTGCCCTTTTTGGGTCGACTAATTTGACTGCGAATTGGAGTAAATGTAAGAATGAATACAACGTCGAATACTTGAATACTTAAATCATCATGAAACCACACTGCGCAAAGATTGTGTTGATATTAATGAAGCGAGAAATCATCATCTATATACGAGCCGTGTCATGCCGCAAGACGCTTTTTAAGGGTAATCAAAAAACATTAATCCGTAAAATTTAGATATCAGGTAAAGCGCTCAAGTCAGAGCCAAGGAGAAAAAGAGGACACGATGAACGAAAAGGGTATGAACGAAATAACAGCAAGTGATGTGTGAAAGAAAAAGGACAAAACAAAATAGGCGATGGAGATCACCATCACCTCGCATCATCCAGAACGACCTTGTCAGTCAGAGGAATATTCTTCGGTCCCTCATACGATCTCATCCGGAAGAGCCACCACACGCCCACAAAGACTGTCAGACCACCAGTAATCAAGCAGGCGTAGTTCATCGAGGCGGCATCAGTCGGCAGAGCGTAGGGGAAGCAGAAGATGATAACGAAGGCAACGATGTAGACGCAGGAAATAGCGTTGACAATGAAGCCAATAAGTCCCTTCATCCAGAAGAAGCCGGGCTGGAATGACGACCGACGGGTCAGGATGTGCGGGAAGATGGCGGCAAAGTAGGAAAGACTGGAGAGTTGGACGAAGGAGCCAACGAAGGCATTGAAGGCGGTCGATGAGCCGACGTAGATACACGCGAGGATGGTGATGATGACGCCGCAGACCAGGGTTGCGTTGAATGGGTTGTGCATCTTGCTGTTGACGCGGCCGAGCCATTTGGGGAAGGGGGTGGCTCTGTCGCGAGCAAGGGTCCAGAGAGTACGGCCGGCGGTGATGTAGCAGCCGCAGCAAGTGATTAAGGTAGGCAAGAAGGCGACGATCAGCAATCCGAGAGCTCCGCCTCTGGTTCCGGTGGCCTGGTGGTAGATCTCGGCAAGGGGGAAACCGTAGACGCTGGAGATGACCTTTGGGAGGTCATTGATCGAGTAGAAGATGGCAATCATGTAAAAGATACCGGTGACGAAGCCAACGCTCATCTGGGCCAGGATGGCCTTGGGGATGTTACGGCTGGGTTGAGGGATTTCTTCCGCCAGATGCGAGGAGCAATCGGGAGTTCCCACACTGTAAGCACCGTTGAGCATTCCTGCGACAAAGACAAACCCTTGACTCTCGTAGCCCGTTTTGTTCTGCCATTCGCGCCAGACAAAGTCGTTGGTCGCATACGGCTGGCCGTTGACATGGGGCATGACTGCGCAGACGATAATCGTAACGAAGACACCAGCAAGAATGAAAAACATGCCCAGGTTACCGATGTATGGAAGAATGCGGTTCAAGAACAGGACGATGCAGCAGCAGACCCATGTGCAGATGACGAAACTGACAAATATATGCCAGGATTTCGGTGTGAAGCCGGGATTCATGAGGGCGTACATAGAAACGGTTTGTTGGCCGAGGATCGACGACATCGAAGTAGCACCCAAGATCCAAGCAAGACAGTTCCAGAAACCAGCGAAGAAACCACACGGACGACCATACTTTCCAGCGGTGATCGAAGCCCAGTGATAAACACCACTGGCCGAAGGCATACCAGATGCCAGCTCCGCAATCGACGCTGCAACTAACCAGTAACAAACCGAGACAGCAATACTATTGCGGTTAATATGCAGTCCCGATGGAGTGTATGATAAGAAGCTTACAATTCGTAAATCACACCCGGCGGACCTCCATTGCTCAGCGCAGTCGTCACACTACCACCTTGCGCAATCCAAGTGTTTCCGGTTGTGACGGCCACGGCACAGATACTGAGCAAGCTGAAATTCCGTTCGAGTTCCTGGCGATGACCCGATGGGTTGATTAATTCCCCGGAGGCTCGTTCCTCGCTGGCGGCCTCGACGGTCTGCATCTTTTCCTCGGGTTTCGGGGTGAAATTTTCTGTCGTCATCTTGGCGATTCAATAGATGCGACGTAATGACGACTTGAATAATGATTGAGTGTAGAAATTATTGTATATGTAGGGCGAAATCAACGGAGTTGGATAAAGGGGTTCACGAGAGGCGAGAGTTGGCGGGAATGACGATAGAATGTAGCACAAGGGTTAAAGAACGACACGACACAACGACAGAATGCAGACGACAAAAATTGAATATCATAAGGTTCAATAACGGCCGGACATGACAGCCTGCATAACGTTGGGCAGCATCGAAAAAGAAAAAGAAGGAAAGAAGTGAGATAAAGCGGAGGGTTTATACTTGGGGTGTCTCGTACACTTTTTGGGTGCGTGCAGCTGAGATTGTGGAACGTGTGGACCTGTCTGCGTGGATTTGAAGAAACTTAGTACGCATCTATGCCCAATCGGAGAAACATATCCCTCTACGCGCATGAGGCAATAATCCACCGAGCACTTGATAATTGGCCGCCGGGATACGGCTGCCCACGGGCTACACTCCAAGAGGATCAGCGAATCATGACGGGGGACGCGGAGAATGCTCTTTTCCTAAAAGGGGAGCTTGAACAGATGCAACTCTATCAGGACTGATGCAGTCTGGTACTACTAGAGGCGATGTTGGCGCATGAGGTGGTGGCTACAAGGTGGTGGCGTTGCGTGAACTTATCCAAAACATACAAGCCTTTTTTGCTTTTGCTTCATGTACCGAATTTCTCGAAGCTACAAGGTACTTAGGAGCACATGCCGTGATGTTCGGCCCATAGGGATAATACAAAGACCGCACTCATTATCCATATTGTGAACAGGGACGAGTATCCTAGAACTGACTCGAGTATCAGAGATATGACGGCTCTCTATCTAAGCACTGGCCATCCGCTACGCCAAAGTACGGAGTACAAGTACGAAGGACGAAATACGATAGCGCTAGCACAGCATGAGGTAATTAGCATCAATTGGCAATTAACATCAATAACCGATTCTGATAAGAATAAACAATCATGCGATTCAACCATCTTGCAATCCGACCTGTCAATACGGAGTACGGCGATTTTATAAGTCAATTGCTAGCCACCGCGGTAGAAGCCGATGGTCAGCTTAAATACACCGACCAGGGTGTCCTCTTAAGTACTTCGTAGCATTCCATGAGCCTCGTATTATCGGCAATTCCGAATCTCAGATCGGTCAATTTATCTCAGGCCGGAGCACGGAGTCCTCTGTAATGTCGGTGCTCGCTCTACTCCGGAGTAATATCCACCTGTCTGGCCCAATTTTTTGTCCTCCAAACCCATAATTACCGTCACCATACCCGTCAGCAAGCCATTGGTAATGGATCCCCTCTCGTGGGATAGAGTCTTGGAGTCGCTCCTGAATCGTAGGACAGTGATCCCTGCACGACGGCGCGATACGGCACGCTCACTGGCAGCTTCCCGCAGCGCCGGACTTGAGCTTATTTATTTATTTATTTATTTTTATTTTTTTATTTTTTTTTTTTTGCCCCTGAAAGTTTGATCGAGAAGACGCTCGTGTGGATTGACCGATGCGGGAGGTTTCTAGAAATTCTGGTGGCGATGCTGGGCTCGATGTATTAATGGGATTGTGTTCATTTCTCATTCCTGCATCCCTGTTCTAAATTATGCTAGATTACGGGATTGCCTTGGAAAGTGCAGGGATGCTGGATGGATAGTTAGTTCGCACAATTACCGAGGACACGAAGGCATACAAGTACGGACGGTCACGGCTACGGACGAGGCACGGAGAATCAACGGAGTACCGATGACAGAGACAGAGTTAACTGACAGAAGATATTATCTGATCCGACGCCGGTGGGATGATGGATTGAGTTCAATAAAACGGCGGTAGTTACGCATGGAACTGCCTTTGCATCTCTGAATTACCCGAGGATGAGAGGTCTTGGATCAAAAGAAAAGACGCAAAAGCGAGTTAATAATCCCACCATGAACCTGCAGTAATCAAATCTAGATCTGGAATATTAGAGAAAGTTGATTCCCCACTGTTCACGAAGCTTCTACGTGCTCTATCCTGGACAACATTCCAGAATCGGAATGTGACCGAACCTCAACATATGATCCCACGGCATCCTCTGGTACACAGTGCTATATCCAAGGTATTTGTCCATATAGTGAAAATCCCCCCTCATAACCATCAGGGCAGTTGCCGTGGTTAAGGAGATTCAAAATTAGTATCTGTATTAATCTTACCATACGGTAACCGTGACAGAAGGCAAAAATAGATCTTTGCTTTAAAGTTGACGCTAATCTATGCAGCCCCACCTGTCCCGCCAGTAATAATGTGGTATTCTTCAGTAATACACAGTACTCCGTACAATTCCACAATCCTCCACGCACAGGATGCGGGATATTAACGTATCTTATTATTGGGATGACAATTATTGCTCGTAGGGACTCAGGGTGTTAACTATCTTAGGAACAGCTTGCTGCACGATGATTCAGGGTGTTCGTGGAGTCATGGCTCCTTGAGCACGCGACCAATCAATGTCACTGTATATAGCACTCTGTTCGGAGCACCTGCTGCTCTTACTCGGTAAACGCCAATGCAAAGTTTGTCATTGCCAATAGAATAGCAGACATAGAAACTGTACTCCGGAGTACTGTACTCTGTGCGGTACCTGACCTAAAGCCAATCCGCCCCCGGGTGGTCCAATAATCAACGTCCGTGAGCCATGGGTCAAGCTCGCCCCTCGGCTTCAGCTCTTCTCGCTCGTTGGTCCATGTTTATTATTCTTATCATAGTGTTCCTTTTCTCACCAAAAGCAATTCTCTCATGATCTTCCCTTCATGATCCCTACCCTTAATTCCGCTTCTGGTTGAATCTGGTCCAATTACGCTGAAAAGTTTATCTGGCTGCCCGGGAAATGTAGGTCACCCTTCTTATATCCTGCATGTATCCGCATTTCTCGCACTTGTTTCTCCTTCTCTTTCCTTTTTGGCTCTACTGGGAATGATCCTTTCGTTAATCCTCTCTTTCCCTTGTTTGGTAGGTTGAGAGCCGACAAGATGTCCAGTCTAGGTCCGGACTTTGCCCGCAGATTTGCGCGGGAAACATGGGCTCTCTATGCTGTTGGGATGCTGGGTGTATGTTTGCGATTGTAAGTCCTCACCTTGTGTACAATTAGATGAGGATGATGGTACTGACAAATTAGCACCGCTCGTATTCGTCGATTAGGCATGCGCAACCTTCAAGCCGACGACTATGTTATGATGTTCGCTGTCGTGTGGTATACCATTCTCTGCGTGGCTCTGAATAAGGTGGTCTCCGGCGGCGGATCGAATCTGATGACGGACGAAGATGTGAGGAACTTGACGCCGGAGATCTACAACGAACGAGTTGAAGGAAGCAAATGGGTGTTTGTGAGCGAACATTCATTTGTAGGGGCCATCTGGTCATTAAAGACGTGCATGCTCGTGATTTATGCCCGTATCACGTATGTTGCCAACCATATGATCAACAAGATGTGTGATGTGCTAATTATTGTAGTGAGGGACTGCACCAGAGACGCTGGATCAATTGGCTGGCCATCTATGTTGGTCTTGGATTTATCGCGACTGAGTTGACGTTGTTTCTCATCTGCCGGCCATTGTCGAATTACTGGGCCGTGCCTACGCCAAACTGTACGTCAACCTTTGTCTGGTCAATGCTCCTCTTATACTAACTAACGACAGATCAATGCTCGTCGTACCAATACTACGAAATCATCCAAGGCTGCATCCACATCTCCGCCGACATCTTCATGCTCATCATCGCCATCCCCCTTCTAATGAAAGTCCGCGTCCCCGTGAGACAAAAACTCATCCTCCTCATCATCTTCGGCATGGGCGCCTTCGTCATCGTCGCCGCCATCCTCACCAAAGTCTACTGTCTCGTCCCCGAACTCATCTCCTACGTCTACATGAATTGGTACTTCCGCGAAGCCACCGTCGCCGTCCTAGTCACCAACATCCCCCTCGTCTGGTCCCTCCTCCGCGACGTCTTCCCGTCCCTCAAGAGCTGGACCGGTGGATCCCGCGGCCGCACAGAAAACCGCTACCGCTCTGGTCGGTGGACATTCAGCAAGGGCTCTGCGATTCGATCAACCTATGGACCACCCAGTCGGGGCGGTGTCAGTATGCACAGTATGCACGACTACCGACGGAGTATGCCATTCACGCCGCCGCAAAAGGTCATCTCGGAGATTAGTGAGAGCCCGGAGCCGAGCGAAGGCCGGGAATATAGCGATGACGGTTCGACGCGGGGACTGCGCATTCGGCAGGATGTTACGGTGACGGTGGAACGTGGTTCGCATCCACCGGCGCTGGATCAGTGGGAGGCCAACCGGACTCGAGCTGAGAGTCAGGTTTAAGTTTTTTTTTTTTTCTCACACTGATCTATCACTGATCTATTATTCATCTTTCTTGTATATAATCACTTTCGGCCTTTCTTTTCTTTTTTGTTACGCCATGGACTGATGATACGATACCTTTATGGGCTTTTCCACGAGATCTCTCATCTGCCAATGAGGGTTGAGAGTGGCGGGGTTTGCCCTCTGATCTGCATGTGGGACGGAACTTTGTTTTCTTTTTTTCGGGCACTGTCTGGAAATACGGATATACTCCGGAGTAATTGTACTTGTACATAGAGATATACAAAAATCTACAGAGTATTAGAGATTATTTTACACTTTCCTCCATCCTCCAAAGTACATATCATATACTTGATATTACTTCAACCCTACCTAAGGCACGTGCCCAGCTGAATACAGGACGGTAAAATACCAAAAATCCTAGCGTCCCGCCGATCTCCCGGTCTGTGCCTGACAACAACCCAATCAACGCGCAGACCACCTCTGTGGGGAAAAAGCATACGTCAGAGTAGCCGACCACTCGGCTTGGCCATGGTACGTATTGGAGTATTCACTGCTATTGGATTACTATTGGACAGACAAGTACAGAGTACCTTGGGGTTGATCAGAACCCTTGGCTGGCTAAAATATACCGACATGTCTGTTCTCGGTACAGAGTACTCACTATTGAAGACTGTTCACTGCTAGCAATGCGATATCCAAGTGGACAAGAACAGAAACTCTCATCCGAAACATCAAAACTCTACTAGTAGTCGAACTCAAAACCGACTGTCAAATGTAGTTGGCACATGTCTACTTTTCTTAGTCGCGTGCCGTGGGTATCACTGGTTCCATGGTTCGTCGCTGAAACTGTACCAAGTCTTACTCTCCCGGGACATCAGATTCTCATGGTTCCATGGATACATATGTAGCAAATAAACGTATGTATTTTATCCGGATTTACCCTCAACCGGCCTGCCGAGGGGGAGTTGACCGGTTCACGGGATCTGCGCGCGGTGATCTCTCGAGTGGGATACTGTTTGTCCACTGTCCGTAGTAAAAACTTGTGTCTCCGTGCACTCCGTGCACTCCGGAGACAGCGGAGGGAGGCATTAAACTTTGCTTTGGAGTCGCTTATGCAAAGTTTGTTTGGGGGTCTGGGTTGTCGTGGAGGTGACCTTGTTGACCGTTGGACTAGTACACTTTTGTACATACGGGGATGGAGTGCATGCACGTGGTCTTGGGGCTCGATTGCTATCTTGGTTTAGGTGCAGGTTTGGGACCTACTTTATTTGATTCCGGAGAAGGGCTAAGTGAAATACCGGTGTTGTGAGCTTGGTGAGTGGTTGGTTGATGCGATTGGAGTACTCTGTACAACGTTCATATGTATCCATATGTAGTAACTTTATTCGATTAATTCAAACGTATCGACGTATTCCACGAGAAGCCACTAGTATTCTTTATCACTACTGTCGTTGCTACTCTGTACTATCTCTTCTGTATCACCTCTTCTCGTAAAGACACGTGACTGCCCCGCGTGCCAATAACATCCCACTATCACATCCTCATCTCAGCAACATCAGGGAGTCCTTCTAGTATCCCCTACAAAAACACACCGGTCAATCGATTATACATAAATTCAAATATAGAACAGAAACTATAATTCCCTCAAATACCGCAATACTGCAAGTACACCCCGAATCCACTCACCTGCCATGCACTTAAGTAAGTTACTAGTACTAACCTAGCAACAGATAGTCCCTGCCAATCCACGTCTATCAACAACTCAGTGTGTGGTGTACTTATTTGTATGTACTCCGTAAGTACGCTGAATTAAGTTGACGGTGTTGAGTTGGAGCTTGTCGCTCGTCTATCATACCCTGCATGCACGTTATCCCGACTAGCTCATAGCTATGGCAACCTCGTGGTCGTTTCTGGGCCTGGAAGGTCTGCATGTTTTCATTGCCGGTGCGCCGGGGGGTATTGGGGAGAGGCTTGTGGGGGAGTTTCTGAGTAAGTTCACCCTAATTAACTACTGGAGATGCTGCGCATGTAAGCTGTGATCCACGGAGGATGGTTTCATGTGACTGCAGTGTAAAATGCCCTAATCTGATTTAATCGCAAGCTAACTAGAACAGACCAGGGCTGTAAAGTGACAGCCCATGACCTTCATCCATACATCCCAGACTCAGTCACAAATTCAGACAGACACTCGCGTCTGAATATCGTGACAGGCACCGCCACAGACGAACAATCCATCCAATCCAGCATCTCCCAAGCTACCAAGTGCTTTGGTCCCATCAATATCCTAATCGCCAACGCTGGTATCACTGATGAAAGAAATGACTATCCCGTCTGGGACATGCCCCTGGATGTCTGGGAGAAGACGTCTCAGGTCAATGCCCGGGAGACTTTCCTCACCATCAAGCATTTTCTCCGTGCTGCGAAAACTGCACAGCTGTCTCTTGGTAAAGAACTGGACAATCTGGCTATTGTTGTGGTAGGGAGTCAGATAAGTGATGGGTTGATTCAGGGTGTGAAGAATAATATTTCTCAGTTGAACAGTAAGGCCAGAATCAACGCTGTTGCACTGGACGATCCAGGAAACATAGCTCGCACCACATCCTTCCTAGCCTCCAACCGCGCAGCAGGCCACATCACCAGCCAATGCAGCAGAAGTATTGAAGAAATAAATCAGCAAAACAAACCCAAGACCCCCCAAACTCAACCAGAACAATCCACCTCAATCCCCCCAACCCTAACAAAACGCAACAAAATCCGCGTCGCCATCTCCATCGACCTCGACGCCGTCTCCGGCTGGCTAGGAACCGGCTACCACCCCGACAACGTCCTAGCCGACTACTCAGCCGGTTTCTTCGCCGCCAAAGTCGGCGTCCCACGCCTCGTCCGCATGCTCCAAAAACTGCACCTCGCAGATCGCTGCACGTGGTTCATCCCAGGACACTCCGCAGAAAGTTTCCCGGACGAAGTTGACCAGGTTGTCAAAAGCGGTGCTGAGATCGGACTACACGGCTACGCACACGAAGGCGCATACCAACTCACCGTCGAGCAAGAGCGAGACATCCTAGTAAAATGCATCGCCATCGCAACAAAACTCACCGGCAAGAGGCCAGTGGGCTACAGAGCACCCCTCTACCAACTCCGCGAATCAACCCTCGACCTCCTCGAAGAACACAACTTCGAATACGACGCCTCCCTAACAGACCACGACAGCCACCCGTTCTTCGCGCCCCGCCGACCACCCCTAAAACCAATCGACTACTCCCTCCCCGCGTCTTCCTGGATGCATCCCCTCCCCCCCTCCACACCCTCTAATCCCCAAGACCGCAGACCGTTAGTCTGCATCCCCTGCAACTACTACATGGAAGACATGACGCCGATGCAATTCCTGCCACACGTGCACAATTCGCAGGGATACACTGATACGCGGCTGATTGAGAATATGTGGAAGGATCGGTTTCTGTGGATTCGGGAGAATGAAGTGGAGCCGGTTTTTCCGGTGCTGATGCATCCGGATACGAGTGGGATGGCGCATGTGATTGGAATGATGGAGAGGTTTTTGGGGTGGTTGAGGGAGTGGGAGGGGGCTGGGGAGGTGGAGTTTTGCCAGTCCGGGGAGGTGGCAAGGTGGTGGAGGGAGAAACAATCGTCTACGAGTAGTACTTAGTATTTTGGTGTAGTGTCTATTGTTGTGAGTGGAATGGTTAGAAGGTTGGATATTAAAGTTGATTCTATAAGACTATACACAGAAGATATATCACCATAAGGAGCAATAAAGCAAAAGCCAGATATATGCAAAAAAAAAAAAAAAAAAAACAAACCATCACACATAAGCATAACTCATCATCATATATATTAAATCAATCGAGTATTTATTCATCATACAAATCCATATCCCCATCCGTCGACACCTCATCCGAATCAATCATATCCTCATCATCCTCATCAGCATCTGGCAACTCATGATTTGGTAGAACCGAAATCCGTCCATCAACCATGACAACTCTCGCAACCTCGCCGTCGCGGATACTGCCCCGCAAGATAAGAATGGCCATGCGGTTGAGGACTTCTCTCTCGATGATACGGCCGAGTGGCCGTGCGCCGTAGGCGGGTGAGTACCCGGATTCACCGAGGTAGTCTTTGACTTCTTCGGTGCAGGAGATGGTGACGTTGCGGTCGTTTTCAACAAGACGGCGCTGGACTTCTGAGAGGCGGAGGTCGACGATCTTGCGGATCTCGCGTCTTGTGAGGCGGTTGAAGATGACGGTGGAGGAGATGCGGTTGAGGAATTCGGGAAGGAAGTAGTCCCGCAATGCGCCCATGACGAGTTCGCGGGTTTGAGGGTCGATAGCGCCGTTCTTCAATGATGGGCGGGCGAGGAAGTCCGCGCCTAGGTTGGAGGTCATCACAACGATGCAGTTGCGGGCGTCAACGATACGGCCTTGACCATCTGTGATGCGACCGTCATCCATGAGCTGGAGGAGGACGGTAAGAACTTCCTTCGCGGCCTTTTCGACTTCGTCGAAGAGGAGAATCGAGAAGGGGCGGCGGCGGAGGTTCTCTGTTAGCTGGCCACCGGCGTCGTGGCCGACGTAGCCTGGTGGTGCACCGATCATACGGCTGAGGGAGTGACGTTCTTGGTACTCGGACATGTCGAAGCGGATCATGGCTTTGGGGTCGTCGAAGAGGAACTCCGCAAGTGCCTTGGTGAGTAGCGTCTTACCAGTACCGGATGGACCGCAGAAGAGGAAGCTAGGTGGTGAATTGGGGTTGCTGAGGCCGGAGCGCTGAAGACGGATGGCGTTGGAGACGGAGGTCACGGCTTCCTTCTGGCCCACGACGAGCTTGCCCAGGTACTTCTCCATGTTGAGGAGCTTGTCTTTCTCGGTAGTCTTGAGGCGAGTCACGGGAATGCCAGTCCAGCGTGCGACAATCTCGTTGATTTGATCAGGGCCGACCGCATCCGCAAGCAGGGACTCTCCACTGTCATCACCCTGGCGGGCCCGACGTTCCGCATCAGCATTGGCTCTGTCTGTTTCGAGTCTCTCAATCAACGTCTTAGTTTCCGGAATGGCGTAGTATTCCAAGTCGGCCGCAGTCTGGGTGTCACCAGATCGTTCAGCCTCATCACGCTTGACCTTGAGCGAGTCCAACTTGATCTTGGCGTCTTGGATGGACTTGCTGCGTGCTTTCTCGCTTTCGTACTTCTCGCGCATGGGCCGCAGTTCCTCAGTTACATTGGCGGCTTCTTGCTTGGCGGCCTCCAAACGTGCCTTGGAGGCGTCGTCCTTCTCACGCTCCAGAGCATGGATTTCAATCTGGAGCTGTCGCAGCTTGCGCTCGAGGGTGTCGAGTGCCTCGGGTTCGGATTCACGTGTTACACGGACGGCGGCAGCGGCTTCGTCAATGAGATCAACAGCAGAGTCAGGCAGACGACGAGCTGTGAGATAACGTGATGCCAGAGTGGCTGCAGCAACAATAGCACCGTCCAGAATGTTGACACCGTGGTGCACTTCGTACTTCTCCTTCAGACCACGAAGGATAGAGATGGTCTCGGATTGCGAGGGTTCTCCCACCAGGACTTGCTGGAATCGTCGTTCGAATGCCTGGTCCTTCTCGATGTACTTGCGGTATTCGCTCAGAGTGGTAGCACCAATGCAGTGCAACTGGCCACGGGCCAACATGGGCTTCAAAAGATTGGCTGCGTCCATGCCACCCTCGCCGCTGGAGCCCGCGCCCATGAGCAGGTGGATTTCATCCACGAACAAGACGATGGTCTCTTTGGAGTCTTCAATTTCCTTCAGGACACCCTTCATCCGCTCTTCGAACTCTCCGCGGAACTTGCTTCCCGCGACCAGAGATCCGACGTCCAGCGAGAGCAAACGGCATTGGGCCAAATTGGCGGGGACATCGGCGTTGACGACACGGCGGGCCAGACCTTCGACAACTGTCGTCTTACCGACACCAGGCTCACCAATGAGCACTGGGTTGTTCTTGGTCCGCCGACTGAGAATCCGAATAACCCGTCGAATCTCTTCTTCACGGCCAATAACCGGATCAATCTTTCCTTCTCTTGCCAACGCTGTCATGTCAATTGTAAACTTCTTCAAGTTCTCAGACTCGCTCTCAGAATCCGCAGTCTTCGAATCCACCCGCCTTGTGCCCCGAATCTGCTGAACAGCCGTATCGATCAACTTGATATTGGGGATATTTGCATCTGCCAAACACCGCTGGACCTGTGAGTCCTGCGATGCCGACAGAATCAAGTGATCAACCGCAACAAAGCTGTCCTTTTGTGTTTTCGATAAATCGGTCGCAGAGCGGATGACCTTGGCCAATGCGGGGGCCACACTGACGGTCTCTGGCGGAGGGTCTTGGCTAGGTAACCGGACGAGTTGTTTCATAAGAGAACGTTCGAGGAGTTGAGGGTCGCCGTGTGCCCGTTCGATGACCTGGCGGAAGAGGGGTGCGGATGCGCCATCATGCGACGGGTGGGCGGTAGCTTGTTGGTCTTTGGACTCATCAGGGCCGGGGTTGAGGAGGGAGACGGCGAGGTGAACAGGGAGGATCTGGGAGTGGGAATATTGTTCAGCTAGACTGCTGGAATCTAGCAAAGCCTTGTTGGCTCTGTCCGTGAATTGGACGCCGTTCATGGCGGCTAGCAAAGAGGTCTGCTTTGGATGTGGATAGGGTAGTTAAAGCGACGTGTATATGCTTAGAGTACTGATATAAAGAGTGTGGTAAGTTGACTAGGCAAGAAAATGCCAGCTAATTGAGTAATGATATACAGAAGCAAAAATTGAAGCCGTGAGTGTGCGAGCAGTCATATATACGAGGGGCTCAAACAGTATGGATAGATCCCGTGACGTCGTGACGCAACGAGGGGCTTCCACCGCCTTCCAGAAGCATCTGTGATCCTGTCACCACATGACTACACGTGATCAAGGTCATGTGACAGCACATGACCAAAGCTGACCTGATCCCCGCAGCGCAGATAAACTCAGGCATTGGCATCCTCCTCGTGTACCAAGGATCAATGCTTGTTGGGAAAGACTAAAACAGGCCAGATCATCCCACTTCCATGTTGCTGATCGTGCAGGGATTGCAGTGCCTCAGTGCCCCCCTCTTCCCGAGGCTCAACCCGGAACACGCCCGACCTGGCGATTTGCCCGGCCACAGAGAGAGGCGCAGGCAGGCGGATGGATACCAAATCAAGAATTGCTGCTTACTCGGTGCCCATTCAGGAAATTTCTAATCGGGTCATGTTACCAGTGGCACAGGATCACCAGGAGGACAGTGCGTGCGAGACAGCATGATGAGAGATTTTTTTTATTTCCCGGGAATGATCCCGGAAGGAACTTATAGTGTACAAAAGCAGAAACCTAGGGAGGCTAGCAGTGGTTTTTTTTCATTTAGACTAGACGGCGACGGGTCGCTAGTCCTGCAGGAATAGCGTCTGTCCGTAGGGCCGGTCGTGCGCTATTTTAGATATTGTACAGGGGTGATATAGTACTATGGTAAGTATGCCGAACTATGCATTGTACATTGTATAGATATTTCAATTGTACTGTACTATCTCAATGCATTACCAGAAATCTCTGAGTGAATTTCAACAGGAACGGACTCATGACGTCAAAATGGCAATATCAACCGGGTGCTTAGAATTGGCAGAGTCTTCAGTGGACTCGAAAAAAAGATATACACACTACTCTAACTTTTATGGAGCAGATGGAGCAACTGCCGCAGTCTGGGTCGTGGTCGAGACATTGTGAAAATTGAAACGAAAGAGAAGCAAAAATACGATCTTATTTTTTCTGTCTCCGTGCTCTCCTCGGGACTCTGTGCTCCCATATAAAAACCGGTCCTTCCTTCAGTCTTCCTTTCTCTGTTCATCCATCTTTATCTATCCTTGACATACACGAGACTTTTCCTCCTCTCTTTTTGCAAGACACAGCATTTGCTATTCCCTTTTATATCAGCATAATAGTGTCACTCACTTTCCAGAGGTGAAATTCCCTGGTAGACGCAGAGATGTCGCAGAAACCCATCTTTGTCGTAACCCACCCGCGAGCATGCTCGACGGCGTTTGAGAGGGTATTTATTCCTCTATTGTATCTCGTTTTTACAGTGGTGATGCTGACAATATCAGGTTTTCATGACCCAACGGAATAACATCCAATGTGTCCATGAACCCTTTGGCGATGCCTTTTACTACGGCCCCGAGAGGCTCTCAGAGAGATTCGAAAACGATGAACAGGCCCGGATAGACAGTGGCTTTAGCAAATCGACATTCAAGACCGTTTTGGACAGACTTGATCGTGAAGCTTCTCTTGTACGCTCTTTCCTTTCTTTCTCTTTTTTGCTGTTTCTGCGTCTCATTCCCCCGCACTTGTTGCTTTTTTGACACTCCGTAATGTCCCGAGTGCCCACCAGTGGATATTGGTGATGAGTTGGGCATTCGTGCAGCTACATTTCTTACTGCGTTTCTATACTTGTCTACACTTCCGAAAATGGGAAGTTATGCGTTACTACAGCCGGATGGACACTCACCTCAATAGGGCAAGCGAGTCTTCATCAAGGACATCATCCACTACCTCATCCCTCCCAACGGCCAACCCGCCAGCATCGCTCCGTCGCTCCAGAAGGTCAAACGTGGCGTAGGCACCCAGGAACATGCCAATGGTGATGCTGCGGCCGTTGACACCAGTCGTGTCAACGGCAAGGCGGAGGGGAACGGCAAGGAGAACGGGGTTACAAATGGGTCTCATGCGGAAAAGAGCCCTCGTTCCAGCCACGCAAAGATTGACAGCGGCGTCGATCTCTCTGCTGTCCCGGTCGGGAGCAACGTAAAACCCAGTATGGCCACCATCAACGAACAGGGAACCAAACCCTACCCCTATGACACAGAAGCCGAACCGGGCAATCCCACCGTGATGCCCACGGAGATCTGGTCACGTTTCCATTTTGCCTTCCTTATCCGTGATCCTCATTTCAGTGTGCCTTCGTATTATCGTTGCACCATCCCGCCGCTGACTGAGGTGACTGGGTTCCCCAACTATGACCCGTCGGAAGCCGGATACGACGAGGTCCGTCGCATATTTGAATACCTGCGAGATGTCGGGCTAGTCGGTCCTCACGTCACCACCCATGACGACGACGAGAGTGCCAACGGCGAAGGTCTCAAGCCGGTTGTCAATGGAATCGGCGAGGGGAAGGAGTCCGGCGCAGAAATTTGCGTAGTCGATGCGGACGAAATGCTCCAGAAGCCGGCACCAACTATCGAAGCGTTCTGCCGTAGCGTGGGACTGGATTATGATCCGAGCTTGTTGGAGTGGGACACGGATGAGGACCACCAATTTGCCAAGGATGCGTTCGAGAAGTGGAGGGGCTTTCACAACGATGCGATCGAGTCGAGGGGCCTGACTGCCAAGAAGAAGGTGAGCACCAACGAGACGGCAGCAACAAAAAGATAAGAAAAGCTAATAATATTGTTAGAAACCGGCCAAATCCGAAGAGGAATTCGACGCTGAATGGCGGGAGAGATTCGGCGAGGAGGGTGCAGCGATTATCCGCAAGACGGTCGACGCCAACATGCCGGATTATCTGTACCTCAAGCAGTTCTCGCTGCGAGTTTAGACGAAGAAACCAGGGGAAGGAGGGGGTGGGAGATACTTAAGGTGGCCGTCATTTGCCCACCGGAGATGGTGGGATTTTAGCGGTGATGGTGTGATAGCAGGAGCCACTCGGAGGGTTACAATGCTTGTCTGTGCTTTGAGTGTTGGAGATTGTCTATGATGTTATCTTTTCTTACACGTCTTGTCAGAGTTGTTTGACTCGTTAATTATATCCCATCTTCGTTTGAGTGTTACTGTGTGTTTGTACCCTGTACCGGGTTACCCTAAATTCGTGCCGCCCTCCCCTAAGTAGTCACCCCACACCACACCACATCTCCAAGAACCTTTCAATTCAATTGAATCATTTCTGCTGTATTCCAGCTGTTCTTAACTCTTTGCTTTCCATCCAATGCCAGAAGAGCAGCAACAATGACCCTCTCCGGTGATTGGCCACCTTTCTTTCGGGGCGGATTCAATCAACCATTATGCATCCTCTCTCCCTCTCCCCTTCAATTGGCTCTCATTAGGGACACTTGAGGGTGACTGGCAGAATTCAAAGTGAGGAGGGCATTGAACATTCACAGGCACAATGCAATGTGTCGCTACATGTACTGACAACTCGATCGCTGATGGGCACTACCTTTCGCAATTCCCTCGTCCAAACGCTTGCTCTCGAGAGCCAACACGCGACATCGATTGGTTCAATCCAAGTCAAATCTATCCCGACTCGAGGATATACTCTCGATAGAGATCCAACGCCTCAACGTACCCACAATCCGACGCCCTGTCCTGACCACCCTACGTCGCATACCATTCAACAAAGATTATTGACTATGACCACCTGGAGAACGCAGGTTGGCATTTTCTTCAGAAGACCACAAGCCAAAGCGCAGATGACGAGATGGACCTGGCCCACGTACCGCGGTCGTAGTCCGTACATTTATACATACTAGGGCCTGGTCGATGACACCGAGGGAATTCTGTCCCAATCACAAGGGGAGAGTCGCGTTTGCCAAAAACATATAAGTTGATATAGACTTGCGAAATTATCATTTCCACTATTGCATCCATGTTTTTCGGCGTTTGTGAGAGAGCAGGGCCCAGTCGGATATCGCAGTCGAAGGTCTTTTTGTCCTCAAGGACGAATTTGGAAAGCCTTTTTGGGCTATTGTTGGCCCATCTGGTGCCACTTTGTCTCGGCATAGATGGACGAGGGTATATGAGAATATCCACGGATAACGAAGGAGATCGAGCATATTTACCGCCAACGTGGCTCAGACTACGATACATGGTACCAGTTGCAGGCTACAAGCTTAGTATCCTTCATGGATACATTTTTAGGAACATAAAGTTCGGCCAGGACAAGCTCTGGGAGATGACAAAGGACAACCCAGAGGGATAGTTAGTCTATTCTCTTGCACCAACGTATCTACAAAGCATAGCATGTGAGATGTTATTCTAACTGCTAGACACGTCATGCCGGACATGGCAGATGCAATGTATGTTACCCATACCTCTGGCAGCGAGATGTCACTAGCCGACATTCCGGAGGAAGTGCGGAGGGAAAGGAATCCATGATTCACAAGGCAGCGTAGTGAAACCCTGTTTCATCATTCAGTTTAGCATCAACTACCGTCAACTACGATCAATCACCATTCTTGAAAACGAGTCTGCCTCGATCAATCTGCATTTCTGGGATATGAAGTGCTTATATTACTCCTTGAGTGGTATTATCAAGGGGCATTTTTCACAGATATTTCGAATTGACAATGGGATATCTGATGGAGGTTTCAAAAACTCCCAGAAAAATTCGCTCTTCTCTCCAGATGATCCTACAGTTGACTGGCTAGACTTGGCATGCAGCTCAGGATCGTGATAAAGCAAGTCGGAAACAGCGTTTCTACATTGCAAGCACTTGAGTTGAATTGAAAGTTACAGAGAAGGTCCAAATCAGTTGGGAGACAGGGATCGGGATATATCCATGGCAATCCCTGGGAAGAACAGGTCGTTCTGATGACTGATTCGATACGACGACTTTATTTTTTCCCAGTTGCCAGAGCCTTACAGACGCAAACAGTCTTGACTACATGGAAATTGCTACAGAAAAGTGAAGGGAGGAATTGTCATCTCATAGCTTCCCGAGTGGCTTAGTATTCCTTACATTGGTCCCAGAGAGACGGTATATCATCATGGCAAGCCTCGGTTTTACCAGCTCGTCATTACCAGATCTTTGAAACAACGAGTCCTCGAGTGGATGCACAACACACCAAGAGCGGAGAGGGAGAATCGGTAGACAACGCCCGCATGGTGGGCAACGATCCGGCTCTTGAGACGGTCCAGACGGTTAGGGGAAGAAATTGATCGCTTGGGTATATTAATAAGACACAGGAACCACCATTCCTTGACTCAACACGTTGCGCCTAGTCGCGCACGGGGACGATACCCTCGAAAACATCGCAGTTCTAACAGACAGTTACGTACGGCAAAAGAATGGCTATATGAGCTTGCTGAAGATGAGTGTCTTCTCATTCAATGAGTTTCCGAATACAGACTGCGGAAAGTAACCCCACCACATTCACCCAAAAGCTATGCACCCAGGGAAGCCCAGGGCATAAAACATCCACGACAATACTCCTCGAGTGCGTATACTAATAAACCTGTGTGATATGTGACAAGTGGGGGAGATATCTCTCCTCCCACTTCCTGCCATGGACAATGTCCTTTCCCTACAATGCACGCATGGTCCGTACGGGCATTTGTTCTCATAGACGTCACCCAAACAGGCCGTCCCGGCAAACACTTTTTACTTTCAGCAAGCTTTGCCCTGAGACCAAGAGGCACCGTTGAAATCGACCCAAAACAATCGTTGGAATAAGTCTTAGGTTTCGCGCTGATAGCCGAGTGGAAATCACACAGACGATTCGATGAGATACGAAAGGCTTTTCTAGACGATTGTGTTCTAGCTCATAGCTCTGTCACACTGGGATGAATGTCGTTGTTATGCTTTTGCGATCATGATGCAGATGGTTCAATAGTGTCAGGCTGGATGTGACCGAGGTTTTCATCAGATCAGACATCAACGAAACAACAGTGAAGAACAACTTGCATGATGAAGATGGCATTCTGTTGTATCTGCAAAGACCTCTGAGTGGGCCCGTCAGAAACGCCATTTCACGACACACGTCTAAAGCCATGAGAGAGGACATCTGTATCTGAAGCGGCAACGCATCATGTTGACTCCTCGAGTGAAAACTGTTTCCTGAAATAAAGTCATAAATTATGTCCTAGTAACCAAAATAAAATACTAACATTGAAGAACCAGAAGAGCCAAGATCAATGCAAGACAAAGGAAAATATATAAGAGAGTGAGGATGGCCATAACCATGAGATGTAAACAAACTATCCATCCAGCGCCATGCATAAAAACAAGTCCTTTTTAATGAGAGTATTTCATGCAAGAACAAAATCAATTCAACAAAGATTCCATTAACAAGAAAAAACGCCATACCGGTAGCAAAGCACCCGGGGTATCGACCAAGGACATTAAACCTAACACAGAACTCCAAAAGAAACACATGACCTTTCTCGTTCATTCAACCGTGTCAACTTGAAGACAAGTATATCACCGGTGATACGACCTTCTCTGGTCATTTCTCCCATTCTGCGGAGGATGCCGGTTCGAGCTACTAGCCGCCGGTGCAGCTGCCTTGAAGAGTCCTTCACCAGCGCTGACGGATCGTTTCGTGCTGTTCGCTCTTCCTCTCCGTGCTCGGATTTGTGCTAATGCCTCCTCGCGGCTGATGGGTGTTCCGGGAACGACGGCGGACTGATTGGATAGGCGGGATTCCGGGCGTAAAGGGACACGCTTGGTGACGGGATACCCGCTTGTGTCGAGTTCGAATTCGGTGCTTTGTTCTACTGACATTCGAGAATCTTGTGTGGCCCGGTTCAGGGCTGTTGACGGGGAGGGTGTGTACGGGACACGGGAAGGGACCTGAGGCGGGGCGTGGGGGTAGCGTTCGAGGTCCATGTCGTGCAGGTTGCTTCGTCGTTCAGTTGGACCCCGTGTTAACGGCGATTGAGCGAATGATTCTTCGTCGGCGTGGGACCCGGGTGCCGTCGGATGCGCCGGGATCGAGGTCTTTTCTAGCAGTCTCTGGGGAGAGGGCATGGCGCGAAAGGTGCCCGTCTGAGGCGAAAAGGCAATCACAGGATCCTCCATATCCTCCTCATGCTTAACTTGATCATCGATGTCCATGGCGTGCTGAGGCTTGTGCACAGGCCTACGCAGACTGTGTCGAGCCGGTTGTGTCTTGCTTGGTTCGGGTACGGCGTGTTCTCTCTTCTCGTGCGGCGCTTCGTTGGCTTCATATTCTTGCTTCTTCTGGGACAATGTGGTCTCGTGAACGCAGGCAGTTTCGGAATCCTCTGCAAGACGGCAAGAGCATCGCTTGAATTGACACTCCATCTCCATGAAGTGGATCATCTCCTCCGCATCTGTGCGACGTTGTTTTTCGTGGTCGAGCAGCCGTTGAAGTTCCTCAACCATCTCGTTCTGGAGATCTTGTTGTTTGGTGTCCTGCTGGTTCTGCAGCTCTTCCTGTTTAGGGGTGATGTCGGATAGTCGTGGGCGCTTGGGAGGAGTGCATTGAGTGGACGAGTCATTCGTTGAGTACAAAATCGTTGCATCAGCAGACCTCTTGGGACGTCTTGGTGTTGGCGTCATGAGTAAGGCGAGGTCTCCATCTGCGAGCGACATTCTCCCAACATTCTGGGCCCGACTTTCGAGTCTGTTCGAGTGGATAGCCGTTTCGGATGCTCGTAGACGTTTCTTGAGGGCCTCCATTTCTTCCATTAGACCTGCAAGTGTGTATGTACGCTCAAAGGCTTCCTGCTTCGCCTCATCCTTGGCCTCTCGTTCCACCTGGACCTCCTCTCTCAGGCTCTTAACTTCCGCTCGGGCTTCCTTGAGGTCCTCTTGAATCTTTACGACAGCAGAGCCCGCGCGAAAAGCGTCTTTCCTCGCCTTCTTAATCTCCTTTTCGAAAATCGATCTCTCGTTAGATTGGCGCTCTTTTGCGGACTGTAATTCTGCCAGCAACGTTTCAAGTCGTTCGCCTATCCGGCGCTCTCGCGACTGGGCTTCAGAAAGCTGTTCCGATGCAATCCGCAACGCAGACTCTGCCTCTTCGCGCCCGAGGATGGCTCGTTGAAGTGCTGCAGTGTTTCCTGCTGACTGCTGTGTTTGTGCGGGCGAGGGGCTATTCCCACGCGAGAGATTATTCAAAAACGCGACCTTTGCCTGAACGTCAGATAATCCTCTCGATTTGCGGTGCACGCCCATGATATCGGAGGGGTGGGATGGTGAGGGGGAGGGGGGCATCGTTTGTTGATTCATGCGCTCTGGTGACACGGGATTCAGGACCTTCGAGGGGCTCGACAGGATGGCTGATGGTGAGTCCATGATGGCGAACTCTCTGTATAAACTGCCGTAAAAAGTTAGTAGTGTCAAGCAGACACCGTAGTGAGCATGACAAGCAACGGCACAAAGAGTTGAAAGAGGATCGGAGCGTGACGGCTCTTGTCAACAAAAAGGGATCTCCCGCGCGGTGGAGCGTGACTGCACGGACGCTTGTTTACCGTTTATGGCCACCTTGGGAAACCACACGTGACTGTTGCTGGGACGACCGCTTTATGTCACGTGGTTTTGGTACATGTTCTTCATTTCGATACATTCCAGTACTTGATATTAACAGTTAACAGTTGTTGGGATATTTGTCACTTAATTATGCGTATTAAATAATGTAAGGATGCAAAACATTGCTTCAGAATGGCACAAAATTTCCTGTCCTTGGTTGCTTAAAAGTCACGCTTCCGTGGGAAAATTAAAGACCTTCCAAGTATGTGATTGGCTGTTTGGCTTCATATACACTAGCGCTACCGCATTTTATTGAGGCCCCGCTGCTTACTGATCCCCGCCATCCAGCGACAAAAAGTAGCACCACGATAATCGAGAAATCTTAGCGACAATATTGTGAGTATATTGCCCTGTTTGAACTGAAAATAAGATATATCGCTGACCCAGTGTCCAGGAGACGAGATGCACGAAATCGTTACCCTCCAATTAGGGCAGCGGGCTAACCACCTGGCCACGCATTTCTGGAACCTTCAGGTATGAATCAGGAACCAAAGGTGCACGAAAGACCAGGTACTGACCTGTTCTAGGAATCTTACTTCACATACCAAGAAGGAGAAGAATCTCCGGTTGATCATGACGTTCACTTCCGGCCAGGCGTCGGGGCAGATGGATCAGAAACTTATACGCCTCGGACGGTGATATATGACCTAAAGGGTGGCTTTGGCACTTTACGGCAGTCTAATGCGCTCTATGAACTAAGCGAGGATTTTAACCCGGGGCAGGGTCTCTGGTAAGGCTCCTCTTGAAAATTTACATGGAGCAATGGGCTCATTTTTTCCAGGGACGGAAAAGAAGTTATACAACAACAGCCAGCAATTCTTCAAAGTGACTATCAGAAGAGCCTGGATGCAGGCCTTCCAGCTCCTCAACTTACATCAGAAACAGTCCGGTATTGGTCAGATTACAACCGGCTATTTTACCATCCTCGATCAATAGTGCAGTTGAATGACTACGAGCTTAATTCGATGATGATGCCTTTTGAAGATTGGGAGATGGGCGAGGAACTGTTCAATAACCTTGATAAGGAGCACGACTTAATTGACCGGGATGTGAGACCCTTCGCGGAAGAATGTGATCAGTTGCGTGCATTGCAAATCTTCACGAATGCCGACGACGCTTGGGGTGGGTTTGCTGCTCGATATATGGACAGGCTGCGAGACGAATATGGTAAGAAGAATATTTGGGTGTGGGCTATTGAAAGTGGCTCCAAGGTGCAAAGAGTAAGTGTCATTTTGTCTGCTTTATTACTTGATTGTCACTGACCAGACGCAGCATCAACAAATCAAGCGCGACATGAACAAGGCCCGTTCAATATATTCAATCTCTCCTCAGTCATCCTTCTATACACCTATCATTGACCCCCCTCACCGACTACCAAACACCTTGAGTGTGGACTTCCAGTCAGAGTGGCAGACATCGGCGTTGATCAGCTCTGCTATGGAAACCGTAACCCTACCATCTCGACTACGTCCTTACCGTGATTTCGAGTCTTCATTGGCCGGAGACGACGGTATCCACAAGATCTTTGAATTACAATCCAGCATTCTTACGGATGAAGCGCAACGCACGGCTGATTCAAAACTGACTAACGGAGCCGACCCCTCGGAAGATGAATCTTCCCAAGTCAAGACTGAGTTTGACGTAGACTTCAGCTACGATTCTGGAGACAGCAGCAAATCCCACATCTTCAATCAAGTCCAGATGTCACGCGGATTTGACCCCGAGCAGAAGAACAATGATGGTCCTCCAACAGAAGATATTGACCTTGGCATGCGTCGTAAACTCCGGCTTCACAATTCTCAGCCCATGTTCCAGAGGTAAGCCCTGTCCAATGCAAGTCCATTATTTTAGCCATCACTAACCAAATATATAGCTTCCATACACCCCTCCGCTTCCCTATCCTCGACAGCTTCCCCAGAAACATGTTCCCTGTATCCGATGCGAACGCCGGGATCCAAGTGCTCTCTTCTTTGACAGCATCATCGCGGACAGGTGAACGGATCAAGGCCATGGAGGCAGTAGCTAGTCGGATTATTTCCATCGACGAGCGGGAGACTATTGTCAATGGCCTGGGCGAAATTCGTGAATTGTATGAGACTGGGTGGATGAGTGATTCGGATTATGATGATTAGACTGGTTAAAATATAGATCCTATCATTCAAAAATTCTATGTCAGAAGCATGTTGGCTCGCCTAAACCGTATCGCATCAGTTGCATGAGAATCCAATTTATTCCTTTCTCTTCCTTCATCCTCCAATCCACCATAATCAAACAACTCTCAGCTCCTTGCCGAATACCCTCGTAGCGATGTCATACTTCGTTCCTTAATAAACCCATGTCATCTCATGTCACCACGTAAAGTCAGTCTTACCAAATGTTGTCGTACTCGACTTTTCTACAACAAACCAATAACTTTAAATAACCATCAATCCCCTAAATTGTACACTACGGCCCTTGAATATGTACTCTCCATCTCACAACATGTCTCGAAAAACTTCTATCTATCGATGGCATATGCCACGCTGGATTCGGCGTATTCTTTCTGAGACGCGCGAAACAGGAACAGAAGATGAGCATACAGTGCAGAAGCCAGAAACAGGAAAGTGCACAGAAAAAGAACCAGAGACAGACAAGCAAGCTGTGCCAGATGCAGTGGTTTACAAGCAACCAGTACAAGTCTCAAGAGCAGAAAAGGACATAACGCAGATATTAAGAAAAGAAAAAGGTTCAGCGCAAACGCCAGGGAAATCTGGTAACCTGTCCAGAGCACCTGCAAAAAAGCGCGGACTATCCGACCTTCCATTGGAGCTTCTTCAGCATATCTTCCCTTACTTACCGCTACCAAGCCAGGTTTGTCTAGCTCTCACTCCAAAGGGTTTCTATGAGTTGTTTAAGTCAGCGCTTGGAGCTAGTTATTGAGTTGCGATTCCCCCTTATGCCTCGAGAAGGACAAAAAGCATATGTTGTCACTGAAGAATATCATGTGCGAATGAAACTCCTCAGTCAGCTTGAGGATAGTTGTTGGGTCACCCGGCATCTAGGGAGGGAGAGATGGTTTGCGGATCCGGAGTCCGTTGGAGATGGGAATGGAGTTCAGTTTCAGAAGCAGTGGTATAAGCAGTGCCGGGATTGGAAGAATTACATTCCAGAGTGATTATCTGACTTATGGTCTTTGGATTGCGTGCAATAGCTACATAGCATTGCTACATACCGAGTAGAAATGGAAGGGATTGTGGAAATTATTGGCATTATTCAAATATATATAAACACTCGTACAATAGTATCCTCTGCAATGCACCAATAAACGACACCTAATCCTCCAAAACCGGCAACCGATACCCTTCCGGCACAACCGGCCATTTATCAACCCCATCCAACAACGCAATCGCCATGCCCCCACTCAAATGCACCTGCAAATGACAATGCAAAAGAAACGGCCCCGGATTAACAACCTGATACCTAATCGCCAGCCAAGTCGGTTCCGACTCCGCCGCAGGCGTATTAAACGTATCCCTAATCTGCGGCGTCTTGAAATTGAAATTCTCGGGGATATGCCGCATCGCCTCTGCCACGGAAGAGTAGTTGAAGTCGCCGTTTCCCTGGCCGATGACGAAGAATTTGTTGGAGTGCTTGTGCATGGGGTGGGGTGGTTGGACGGGGGATTTGACGACCATGATTAGGTCGACCCAAGAGCCGTTGCGGGTTGTGATTGTTAGGTCTGTGGGGGAGGAGGTTGTGTTGAAGAGGAGGGGGGTTGCGTCTTCGAGGGACATGGAGAAGGAGGTGTTGCCGAGGGTCCAGCGGTAGGAGGCGTTATAGTGGTCGACGGTTAGTTTGTAGGTGTTGTCGACGGAGAGAGCGGGGGTGAGGATGGGGAAGGGGATGACTTTTGTTTCGTCGAAGAGAATGGTGGAGGCGGTTGTGTTGCTGCCGACTTCGTTGACCCAGGGTTTGGAGGGGCGTGTTTGGGTCTTGAGTAAGGTGTCGTAGGACAGGGTGGCTGTCGTGTTGATGATCTGGTTGATTCCTGTGTTGGGGGCGCGGATCGTGTAGTCGCCTGCTGGCTGGTCGAGCTTCACGAATACAGAATAGCGGCCGCCATTGCTGATCGTGATGCCGTTCACTTCCATGGGCTCGATGTATCGGCCGTCAATCGCGTAAACGTACATACTGTGCTCGTCGATGGAGGCCGTGGGTGTCGATACACCAGCGGAGGTCATTAGATCGAAACTCACCCAGCGTGCAGCTGGGTTAACCTTGATGATCTCTGTCGGGCCCTGAGTTGGCTGGCAACCGGAGTAGAAACTTTTAGGCATTGCGCTGATGTTGCGCCAAAAATGGCCTTCAAGGATCTCAATCGGAGGCATACACCCTGTATCCGTCACATTGTTATTCCCAAGCAACATCTTCTGCGCAGCCGACGTCAACGCATTAAGCCTCTTCCTCGGCAAACAGTATTGCGATCCCTTGCCGTTGATGAGGATAGTGTTGGTACAGAATCCATCCAGCCCAGTAGCTTGTTCGGTACGATATGTTTCTTCGGACGTCAAGCGACGCCAGTCCGAAAACAAGATCGGCTGCGAGCTCTTCTCTGATTCGCGCATTTGCAAAAGCTCGACTGGATCCTTGGTGATCTTGTCAAATGGCCTTTCCACTGAGTCGTCTGCCAGGATATGAATGGCGCCATACAGACCATCGTCCATTTGGCCTCTGCGATGCGCATGGTAGAAGTAGCTGCCGTACTGGGTTGCCTTCCATCTGTAGATAAATTGGCCACCGGGTTCAATTGGGAGTTGGGAGAGTCCTGGTACGCCATCGGACCATGGCGTGCCTTTCTGCTCGATACCTGGAATCGTTAGGTTTAGACCAGCATAAACTAACCGGAGGGGGGTTACCATGAAAATGAACCGTAGTCGAGAAAGGCATCTGATTCTTAACTACAAACTCGACATTATCTCCCTGTCGCAATCGCAATGTCGGCGCCGGTAACTGCCCATTGCTCAGAATCGCCTTTCTCGTAAACCCAGCACCATCGTAATCCTCCCACGTCAAATCCAAACCAAACCGGACCGTTCTCACGTCGTCAGTCTCAAAGCCATGTCCACCAGATACCCATTGCACAAGGCAAAGAAACGCCAGCAGAGCCAGCTTTCCGTATTGTTTCATGGTGTCCTCCGTGACGCGATCCTCCGCCTGTCACTTGTCTGGGGCTTGCGAAGGAAGCAAAAAAAGCCGACCCAACGCAGGGAGCATGGCCTATTAATCTAAGCTGGGTCGATGGATGCCCCTTGGCCCCAACGAAGTTGCCCTGTGCCTCGTATCCCTTCATCGCATCACGCGTGGGCCCCTAACCAAAACCCAATCCACTTCTAAATCACGGTTCGGGGCCGGCGATGCGGTACTTTGGTCGGGTCTCCCAACAGCAAGCCAGTATACATGATTCGACAACCCTGCAGGACAAAATAATTTCCGAGAATAAAAATACGAGCATCATCCAGTTGGCCAGCTGACAACTCCCAAAGCAACTGTATGCGTTGTGCGTTGGTGTGCAAGGAAGGGGCGGTAGTGGGCGCAGCGTCCAGTCCATAGCGTTCCATAGTACGCTTAGGGGAGCCAATAGTTCGTCCCCGCAGCTAGCTGAAGATCCTAAGCCCAATCGGGCGGCTCCGAATGTAATCTTAGCGGATCTCAAGCTCCATTGCTTAGCTCAAGATTCGATTCGAGAAGCTTGGATTGTGAATGTTCGGAATGTGTTCGGGATCGAAGGCACGGTCTCTGCCACTGTGCTGTTGTCCAGTCTGGGTGAGATTGGGCATGAAAAACAAAGATAAGCTGCAGGGGAGCGCTATACGAGTGCATGTGTCATATCGAATTGACGTGTCTGGATTATGGCAGATGCGTGGCTGTCGTTGTGTTTGGTGTTATTGATCCGCCGTGTGGGGAGCCAAATGAGACAATATCCAAAGCAATATTGTATAAAAATTCTGATAATTGATGTCTTCATAAATATCATTCCAAATGGCCATAACTAGTCATATCACAGTAACGCTAACATTGCCATAGAAGAAAAAAGAAAAAGCAATATTAGATCTCCCAAACCATAACCAAAGAAACAATGCCATTCTCATATCGTCGTGAGGCTCAAATTGCCATATTATTCAAGGAATCCATATTTTCGGCCGTGTTACCCCCGGATTCACCGGATCCTGTAAGCCTCAGAGATTCAATCTGAACATCCACCTCCTTTCCCAAGAATTCGCCGTTCGTGCTCTGAGTCAGGTCACTCGCTTCCTCGGGATTTTCTTCCATCGACTCGACCATAAGCTCTTCAGGCTGATCAACGCTGACTGAAGCTTCTTGTGGCTCAGTGTCAGGCTGTTCGATGGCTTCCAAACTCTGTGCACTTGTATCGTCCACAACCACATGATCCTGCCATTCAGCTTCGGTGGGCATGGAAGCGGGAACAAGCTCACTAGAGGTGGTGGGCATCTCGGAGTATGAAGCCTGGGAGCTTGCAGTTCCCTTTTCCTCGGTTGGAGGGACCTGCCACTCGTCGGCAACGGAAGTTGGGATAGGCCTCAAGACGCTCGATGTGTCTGCACTCGCAGCCCGATGCTGCTCCATGCTCACGACGGATGTTGGAACTGAAGCGACCGTCTCCTGTGGAAGCACTTGGAGTTCCGAAGAGGAAGTTGAAGCTGGAACCCGGGCACCGGCGATGGCCAAGAATACAACAAAGATACTGAGGATTCCAATTGCTATATTGCGTCTGTCACTAGCCAGCACGCGGATGTAATTGATGAGCAATGTTCGAAGATCGATGCCTGCGGCCGACTTTCTGTTGTGCAAATTCGAGGAGACCTGCTCTTGTTCTTGCGATGCTGGTGGTGAGGCAAGATAAAGGGAAGAATCATTAGCAGTAGAACTGCGCTCCGTCAATGGGCTGCGCGCCTCTTCTTGTACCGACGGAGGACGCGACCCCCAGCTCATCTCGCTGTGCTGTTTATACAACTGTGAGGGCAATTTGCACTCCACCTCATCCTCCAACAACCTCCTCTCAAGCTCCCTCCTCACATCCCCCGGAAGCCACAACCCAACCTCCACGTCCACCTTCTCCATCTCCTTCCACGCCGCAGCCCACGCCCCAGCTCTCATCAACCCATTTGCCGCAAACACCTTGATTTCCCATTTACGGTTCTGATCGTTGCAAGTGACGACTCGTCCACCACAGTCCGTGCATACTTCGCCTTGCTCGTCATCCGTTGCGCCATCGTCTCTGTCTGAATCGTACTCTTGTTGTCTTAAGAAGTGGCCGTGGTGGAGACGTGGTTGTTGGAGTTCTAGGCTTTCGAGTAGTCGCTCCTCGAGAAGGTCGTAGGTGTCTTCTGGATGGGAGATGAGGACGCCCCGGTCACGGAGGACTCCTGAGCCGACTTTTTCTTCTAGGAGTTTCCACCGTCGGTAGTACTTTGTGGGTAGGACTTCCTTTAGGATCTTCTGGTTGGGAACCCCGGTGTAGCCGATGACCGGAAGCGAAGGTGGAAGTAGATTGCAATGCAGGAGGACTAGCGGATATTCCCTTTTGATGCTCTGTTTGCTGGCTGATCCCCTGGGTGAGTAGTACGGCAACCGCTTCATCGACGGGGAAGCCGGAGAACGCATGGAGAATTCAGAACGGCGTTGGCCTCCCCCGCGCCACGATGTCTCGTATTCATCGGACTCATCGTCGCTATGTATCTGTATGGAGGGCACCGAATTCTGTCTCCGAAACGTACCGCTGCGGCGGTAGGTATGTTGACGCGTTCCAGCAGTCCTTGGCGATTTCAACGCATTAGACGAATGAACAAGCGCAGAGGGAGGAATCGAAGACACAGACGAATGACTCGATGACGGTGAGGGGCCTCGCAGCAGTTTCTCATCCTCCAAATCCCGTGCTGAGACATCACTCGAATGCCCCATTGAAGACGCCGAAGAATGGTATCCATAACCACGAACGCTGCCTAACTCGTCTCCCTGTAGCGAATCAACCTCGTCACGATCCAATAGGTCCGGTGGAATCTGAGCTGTAGCGAACGAAGATGGGACTAGTGGATATTCGTCTCCGCTTGGAGAGCACGGACGAGATTCATCTGAAGCCATCAACGCTCGTTGAGCTGGAAACTCCAAGGCACGGACTGGATCCTCCATTGCTCCAGCCCTGTCCCATACAGTTGTCCACGCCGTTTTTTATGTGGATTTCTCGGAGAAAGCTTTCGTAGATCAAGTATGTATTACGACCAACGGATGTTGAACAATGCGAGGCGATGGAAAATGTTAGATACCTCCCACACGATACAAGATTATTGAAAAGAGATTCATTTGCACAACGTTCGAAATGCTTCGCAAATTAATCAACAATTCCCCTCGTCGAGTGCTCACTTAATCGGGGTTGTTGATGGTGTTTTGTTTCACCGCCCGTCGTGCCGGGCAACGGCCAAGGCGTACCCTAGCATCTCCGACATTAAACACCATCCTTTCAAAGTATATTGCAGGGGTGTAGGTAGGCCTGTGTTGGAATCATTAATCAGAGACAGTAGACCCCTGTAGGGTAAGACTACACAAAATCCAGAAATCCCAGAATGAATCCAGTGCGCCTTTATACCGAGGCGATTTTCATATTCCCATAGAAAACGTCGTGGCCAAAGGCAACAAAACATCAAAACAAAGACACTACTTTTTGCCCTCCAAAGCATCGTCTCTAACCAAAAGAAGACATCACAATCATAACCCAGAAAGATAAGCAAAAAGAACAATACACGCTGCATGCTGCGTAATCCTCGTGAGACAAGACATCTATATCCAACACCAGATACTTCCGTCTCCATAAAGGTTTAAATACTATGGTAGCACCGATCGCTAGTAAATTCGTAAAAATCCCGCAAGACATGCCGCTAAATATGAGAAGGGGAGAGGATTAAAAAGTCGTGACAAATTAAGAAGGGTAGTGTGGATGTTCCCCAAATAGACTGGCAACGTCGGGTGGTAGGTACTCCAGCCATGTAAGACCATCGCCGTTGAGGAACGGGAGATTTCCTGGGTCATGGAGCATGTTCATGTCAATGTTTTGACTTTCAATTAAGACGTCGTTTGCGCTGGAATGGAACCCCGGGTGGTAGTAATCACCAGGTTGATGATCATTCGGACCTGGTGGGATTTGATAATGAAACTCCGGCGCTGCTGTACCAAGTTGAGATGGAGGTAGGCTCTGGTTGTACGTCGACGAAGAGTGACCAGATGAGGGATAGGACGCGTTCAAACCAATATAAGGATTGGCTCCCGATGCAGGAATGCCGTGGACTGAAAGAATAGGCGGGCTTCGGGTCGTGTGGATATGACTGGGGGACTCGACAGATTGTGAATATGCATTCGAACTCTGCCCAGTGTTGGGATAGCTATGGCTGTATTGGGAGGGGTGTGTTGGTCTCGTCGGTGCTGAGTTCGTATGTGCTGCCGGATTCTGGTACAAGACACTCAAATTAGGATTGTGAGGGTCCGCAGCGTTGGTAAGGGCCCATCCAATCGCTAAAAAAGGGAGTGTTAGCAAGGTAAATTCATGGATTTTAAGAAGGAATTGAAGCATTCGCACCTTGGCTGGGGTCGAGTCTTGCTAGCCTCCCCTCAGTTGAAGGAGCAACATCAGCTGTAGCCTGTGAGTCCGAGTTCAACGGGACATCCGATGAAGGCTGTCGTTGCCGTTTCCTTGTGGTCAAAGACTGCACAGGAGCATCTCCCACCTCTTCCGCCGTGTACAACAGAGGGTCGACTATTCCCTTGGCCTTCTGGTCGAGCACGGTCAGAATATACTTGGTACCATCCCAATACATTTCGAGCGCCTTCAAAGCTTTGTAGCACTTCTGATAGTTGTCCTTGGCGGATTTTGCGAGAAGATGGTGCTGCGTGGCGCCGATAGACCTTTGCTCGGATCCGTTTGCCAAACCCATATTGGGCATCACAAAACCGCTGGATTGGTTGGCCAACAGCGGTTGAGGAGAGATACCGGATTTGGAGTCTGGTGACGCATAATATGCGCTTTCCATCAGAAAAGCGCACGCCGCGATGTACATGGGTTGGCTCGTAAACGGGTTTCCAACGAAGCTTTTGCTATCCATCAACTCTGAGAATGAGGCGATATCCGCGATAGTCTTGGCAGAAGACATTGCCAGTGGCCTGCTGTTTGGATAAAGTTGTTGGATAGTGCCACCAAACGAATGCAACAGGGTTGGTTGATGGAGTAGAACGATCAAGGCATGGAACCACTGATAAGTGATGTTAGTCGAGACACAATGTAAAACTATAATCACATATACACGGAACGTCCTTACAAGATGTAGAAGTATGAAACTCGTTCCTTCTTTGGCCATCGCGTACTGCTGGAGATTGGCTGCATCAAAATAGAGCTTGGAGGATAATGCCGAATAAATGCCTGAAAAAACCGTTCGTTAGTTGAATACACTCCTGTAACATTATGAAGGCAGCTTAACTTACCTGTCAAGTCTGATTCCAGACCGGCCAGTCGCTTCACCGTCTCATCCGTGACATCGTTGACGTCCTGGATTCCGTTGATGATATCGGTGGCCCTTCCGTAAAGATGTATAATCCGAATGAGTGGCGGAAACGGAGCTGGCCAACCATTCGAAACCACCGACTCTGATTGTGCAGGAAAGCACAATTGTATATCTTCATCAACCAACGTCACTGGCCTGCCCGTGCCTGATGAAATCACCCGATCAAGGAAGTAGATACACCAGAAAGTGTCTTCGCGCTCTCGACTGGAATCTTCAATATCTTGTACGCTTTCATCAGGGCTGTTGGACAGTTCAGAGACTTCACGGTGATCGTCGCCCGGCTCTTCGCCAATGGACTCATCAGTTGGTCCGTGTGGGCCATACCTTTTCTGTATGCCCAAATCTTGGGCCATCCGTATTGAGATTCCCAGATACATCCATAGACCACTGTCTCGGTTTGAACCAAATTCCTCGTAGGCCAGTAGCAGACACGCCTGCGCCACCGAGAGAGTTGGGCATGACAGAGAGTCAACCAAGGCGCCCCTGGCCCTGCAAGCAAACGGATGACCACGATCAGACATTTTCCAGTCATGTGGCTCTTCGTAGCCATCGATTGTGAGCGACTGTGGAGGACCCAATAACGGATGTGGGGAGAATCGCGCTGACAGTGCACAGACCACATTAACGAGCATCGTATTAACCTTTTTGTCCTTGAGGCCCCGAAGGAATCTATCTCGTTGCAAAAAGGGGAAGTTGCATCCAAGGTGCTCGAAGAACAATTCGCACAGATGGGTCACAAGATTGCTAACGAGTGAGCTGTCATTGGTGTCGTAAAAGGGAATCTTATTGTCGTCCCGGCTACTATCGGATATGGCGCTCATAGTGTTCAGTCTAGTGCCAGTGGACTTTGGACTTCGGGAAGGGAATGATGATGAGTCTGATGATGGGTTGCTCTTCCGAGAACCTCGAATTTCAACAAGCTATATGTGGTGTTAGAGAATCAGCTGAAAAAGATTGATCAAATATGAATGAGCAAACCATTTGTTTGAAGCCCGGGACAATGGCAGTTGGGCCGAAATACCTGAAATATGGTACTTGAGCACGAGGATTAGCGCTTATGGAGCTGCGGCCTGCACGCAGCGAAGCACACATGTCAGCATTGATACCACCATAAGCCTAGAGAAGAAACAGCATGGGCCAATCGCTTAACTTACTGCTTCCGGGACTATCTTCTGCTGCATGTTGCTGTCCGAGATTCTTGGCAGTACGGAAGGAGGGATTCTTGAATGGGAAGGCATTCTTGGGGCCTGTTGTGGGTTTGTGTGTCTCGGACGCTCTGCGTTTATGCGGTGGTCCATTCTGTCGCCGAGGAGGATCTGGAGACTGGCTCTCCACTGCTCGAGCATTTCCAGGTTTAATCGCCTCAGTGGAGGAATGTAGTGAAGACAGGTCAGGGCGCCGCGGTGCACTATCGGATTGCGACCGGACATGAGAAGGAGGTTCACTGTATCCCAGACAAGTATGATTGTAGTCGGTACATGTCTTGCAAACTAGAAGCGAAGTCCAACCCAGTCAATATACCATATAGGCAGACCAAAAGGCGATAGAAAAGACCCGAAAACTCACCTGGCTGTTCGCCCGAGCAACGTATCTTGCGCCTGCGACAGGTGCGGCATCTGTGCAAGTATGACTCTGAGTTAGCAAGTCGCAAACCGAACCGTGACATCCAAGACGACAACGAATTGGGAGACGCACGCTGCGTTCACTCGACGCCGTTTCGTCTGCGGTTGGCCATCCGTTGAGACAAAACGAATCTGTCTAGGCGGAGGCACCGGGACAGGGTGAGCAGCAATGCCGTTGCAGCCGTTCTTCATGGAAGACGGTTGGCTCATTGCGAGCAAACAATCATCCGTGATCCCAGAACATTGGGCATTCGAACTTGCAGTTTAAGGAAGACAGTTGATTGAGCACCGGAGCAGGTAATCTGGTTGTTGTGAGCGACGGCGACAGTAGTAGAGGAGGGTAGGACTGCAGCGGTCGTGGCCGTGGTGGTCTGGGAGAAAGAGCTTTGGTGCTGAGTGATACGGGACGTTTTGTGACCGGGAACACCACACAGAAGAAATATCCATGGACAAATCACGGGCGCTTACAAGAATAATAATAGCGACACTGTAAGAATTGGTGGTAGATCGGAAGGGGACGATGTACGGAGTAATAAAATGGACGATGATATAGCGATGAGATCCGGAGCTGTTCCTGGAGAAAAGCGAGACTGACCGCCCTCGACCATGGATGTTCTTTTCTACTGCTCTTCATAATCTTACACTACAGAGTACCTAAGATGCCAATGAGAACACCTACAACAGCCCAGCAGGGGGCTGAAAATACTGAACGCACAAAAGGAAGAAAAGAAAAAAGAAAAGAAAATTCAGAATATCAGATGATTCTCTGAATTCCGCTCTGATTTGCACGCTGACGGTTGTCCATGCATCTTCATCCACCCATCCACAGCCATTCGTATTAAATCTCCCTCGTTCCCACGGATCGTCTTCCGTGTGCCTTTGTTGCCCTCATTCGGGCCGGTTGACGCAGATACAAGGAAGCCGAAGGAATGACTCAATGTCAGCACGATGAGAAGTGTTGATTGCCCGATGCTTCTGAGATCGGCCCCTCTGGACGCCGGTTCCTGCAGATGGAACGGGGATGGAGGGATAATTTGTACGGAGTCGGGCTGACTATGGAACCGAGCCTGGACTCGCGGTTTTTGGGCCTTTCTTCTACATGCTATCCCGATGGTTGTTGTCGAGTCGATTGATTTAGCCTTTCCAGACAGATCGGCCGAATCCACCTTCTCCGAACTAGTTACTCCAGACTCTCCGAACGGAAAACTGCCTCTCCGCAAATACGGGGTCCTACTTTGTACGGTGTTTCAACACACCGAAGATGAGGTCCACCCGGGTCGGGTAAGATCCCCCATTCAATCACAATCCGTTGAAATCTAGCAATTCCCAGGATACATGTGCAGTGCATGCTGGCTTTTATCTGGTCAAAGCAATTGGCGCAAATTCTCCGATGCTTCGAGTCACGAGAATCGTTTTTAAGCGGTCAGCCAGCCGATTTATGTATGATTTAGCCGATAGGGCACAGTAATGGCACAAAGCGTATCTATATACATTCACGAGACTATGGGCGAGAAGATCTATCGCTTAAAATCTAAAAGTTGGGGCGGGGGAGCTCCATGGCTTCCGAAGTCCGCCCGTAAGAAATACCACCCAGACGACTGATTGGCTTCAAGACCTTCAAGTCGACAATGCTCTTCTCCTCGTTGATAGCGTCCTCCCGCGCCCAGAACCTGACACCCTCAACAACAGCCAGCACACCCGTCTTCTTACCAGGTGTGGTGCGGCTCTCGAACTCCTCGGTTCTGACCAGCTTAGCCTCAATGGACAAGATCGACTCTTTCACACGGGCAGCCTTGACGATGCTGCACGGCGCCTGATGCAGCCCAGAAGTCTCCCACTCAGACACACCATACGGGGCGTTAATAGCCGTCGCGTTGGCCGCCTCAACAAAGTGCTCGGAGATAATGTTGATCACACACTCATCCGTCTCAGCCAAGTTCTTAAGCGTATCCTTCGCCTTATCCAACGACCCCACGAATCCCACAATGAAAAGCGGCGGGTCATGGTTAATGACCTGAGCATAACTGAACGGCGCCAGGTTGGTCGTCTGTCCATCCTTGGACTTAGTGCTGATAAGGGCGATCGGTCTGGGGACGATTCCCGAGATCAGGAGCTTGTAGTTGGATGCTACCGGGCGTCCCTCTTCGTGGGGGTCAATCTCCACGTGGTTCTTCTTAAGACTCTCCCCGCCGTCGTTGGCACCGTCTGCTGTCTTCCATTCGGGGTTCGGGGGCTGGGTGAAGGTGACTTCGGTGTCGCGCTTGAACTCCGGCCGCGAGGCCTGGATTTTCTGGAAATCGTCGCCGACTTTGAACATGGTTGATGTCTGACTGAATGGCTTATTCACTGATAGTGGGTATAACGTAGGTTGACGACCTCTATGGACATGTCAGTTGTCTGTACTTTTGATTTATAATAGTCGATGCCTCTTGGCCTCTATAACAATCGGCCGATTCAAAGCATCGCAGTGCTATAACCACCTCCCGGGTCAAAACTTACAGTAAGTTTTTAGACGGAAATCTTCTGAAAGTGCGTAAAATATTCACAGGAAGTGAACTCATGTTGAAAGCTGGCGAAATAAATCATTCAGGTGAGTCGTTATCGGGTCTCTATCGTCACCCAGCCGAACATGGCGGGACCATATATCGCCACGCACCAAATAGTGGGCTAAGCTCAATTTCCACTCCCCAAATAATGCAAATATTCAAACCAAATGTGTGGCAATACCGCTACACTTACCGATCCCCGGGCCGATATTCAGTTCTCAGTGCCCCGCAATAGTTGAACGTTGTCCCAAAAAATGCAGTGGATATGATGCTGGCTTTTGTCCAAAAAGTTTCGTAGCTTGCTCACAGGCATAGTTTGTGATACTTATGGACAAAGTATACATACATAGCAGGACTAGGATATTGATATTAGTACTACTTCGTATGCCACTGTGCTCCAACGGACAATGCGGGGTTGACCAGATAAGAACGCTTCCATCTCCAATACTGTCCAGTCTATAAAAGGGCCGTGCCTGCATGATTACTAGTCATAAATCATTTGTCGCGCTCCAAAGGAAATGTCACAGCAAGACTGCAACATCTTCAAGCTCGGGGATTGGGAGCTTCAGAGCGGAGAGAAGATCCTCGATGCCCATATCGCATATAAGACTTTTGGAGATCCCGAGAGTCCGGCCATCGTTTATCCAACCTGGTTCTCCGGATGTATGTAAATGCCCTCTACAAGTGCCAGAAGGAGAAACCTGACTAGATATACTAGCCATCTCGGATAATGTCTGGCTAATTGGCGAAGACAAAACCCTCAACCCCAACCAATACTTCATTATCATCCCAGCTCTCTTCGGCAATGGCCAATCCTCATCCCCTTCGAACCAACATACTCCGGGCCCGTTCCCCAAGTGCACCTTTTACGATAACGTCCGTGCCCAGTATACCCTCGTAACGCAGCATCTAGGCCTCAGCCATTTGCGCGCTGTCATCGGGTGGTCGATGGGCGCGGCGCAGACCTACCAATGGGCGACGCAGTATCCGGATTTTATGGACTTGGTTGTTCCTTTCTGTGGATCAGCTAAGACTGCCCTTCACAACCAGGTCTTTCTCGAGGGTGTCAAGACGGCTCTTCTGACGGCGAAGCATGTACCATCTGGAGGTTCGGGGGAGGATGGTGTTCTTGGTGCCGGAGAGACGTTTAGGACTTGGACGGATAGGGAAAGGGAGGTTGGGTTGAAAGCGTTTGGTAGAGGCTATGCTGGATGGTGAGTTTCGTCAATGAAACGCCTCTTCTAAACTGCGCATAGTGTTCTGACATGCTGTTCCACAGGGGACTCAGCCAAGCCTTCTACCGAGAAAGACTCCATGAGACAGCCCTCGGTTTTCAAGGTTTGGAAGACTTCATGCAGAACTATTGGGAGAAATGGGCACTTTCCAAACGTAAGTTCATACTACCAGTCAAGGAACAGAAACTGACGATGTTTCAGACCCGGAAAACCTGCTGGTGATGTTGCGGACTTGGCAAAACGGTGATATCTCGAAGCAAACGCCGTACGATGGTAACTTTGAGAAAGCGCTTGCGTCAATTCGAGCTAAGGTGCTTGTCCTGCCGTCAAAGACAGATCTCTATTTCCCGTATGTCAAGATGCCTCTCTTCCAGATCGAATCATGCTGATAAAAGACAAATTCTAGCCCGGAAGATTCAGAATACGAGGTTGCATGCATGGAGCCGGGGGTTGGGAAGCTGGATATGTTTCCATCCATCTGGGGTCGTAAGTATTTCCACTTGGTTTCTTTCACGCTGTTCCGTGGACTGATTGTCGTGTTGTAGATTGGGCTGGCGGACCTGGAGAGAATCTGGAGGACGTCAAATGGCTGGATGGACAGCTATCCCAGTTCTTTTCTGAGAATTGAGTACTCCGTAGTTTATTAGTTATATAGTTAGTTAAATGACCTGTTAGTAAGTGTGATTGTGTTAACTAACTAATATGTTTGCTCTCCCAAAGCGGCAAGTCATGTGGCTGAGCTGAGTCAGCGGGCGATAGACCTCTGGCTGTGGCTGGACTGCTCTCTATCGACATTCGCTCCTGGGAGATTCATTCACCGTCCATCGCGCCGTTCTCTTCTCTTTCCTTTTTTACTATTCGTCTTCTTCCTTTCTGCTGTTTGTTTGCTTTATTTGCTTTCTCTCTTTTACTAATCGCACTCTTCGCTTGTTCTTTACGTGTATTCTACTCGATCGGCGCAAGGTCCGTACATGTGCCTCTAGTAATAGCCAGGTCCGCGACATTATGGCAACACCACCCGTTCGACAGTGGGGAGTCACTCCTCCGATTTCGACTGTTCTTCCTACTCCTGATGAGCTTGCCGCAAACGATGAATTGATTGCCGAACTTAAAGGGCAGAATAACTTTGAAAGCCCTGCGGAGACTGAGCGGAGGTAAGAGATGTGGCGGCGACAGTGACAAACGGACAAAGGATTGGAAAGGGGGATAATATGTGGATGTATCGGATGTGCTGACGCGTGGGTGCTCATAGGAACCAAGCGCTTCAGTTACTCCAGCGTGTCGCCATTGAGTTTATCAAGTCCGTCAGTCGCAAGAAGGGTTTATCGCCAGCCGCGGTCGAAGCAGCAGGAGGAAAGATCTTTACCTTTGGGAGTTATCGGCTGGGTGTTTATGGGCCGGGTATGCTACCTATGCGGATAATATTAGACTCTTCCTCGATGATCTAACATTGGTGGTATGATAGGGTCGGATATCGATACATTGGTCCTTGGTCCGAAACATGTGTCCATCGAGGACTTCTTCTCCGATTTCCCTCCCGTCCTTGAGCAGATGGCTCCCTCGGGAGCTGTCGAGAAGATGACACCCGTTCCCGACGCCTTTGTCCCGATCATTAAGCTCGAATTGTCCGGGATCAGCATCGATCTTCTTTTTGCCCGTTTGATCGTCCCTTCGATTCCGCTTAACCTTGATTTGAAGAACAATGATTACCTCAGGGGTCTGGATGAAAGGGAGGCTCGTTCGCTTAATGGAACTCGTGTTACTGACGAGATCCTCGAGCTCGTGCCTCAGCAGAAGACATTCCGTTTGGCACTCCGCGCCATCAAACTTTGGGCACAGCGTGAGTGGTTTTCTTTTCTTCAGCCTGGATGGATTGGTTCAAGACTAATGCTTAGTCTTCAACAGGCCGCGCTATCTATGCCAACATCGTTGGTTTCCCGGGTGGTGTCGCATGGGCCATGCTGGTGGCCCGAGTATGTCAGTTGTATCCTCAGGCAACCGGATCGGTGATTGTTGGCAAGTTCTTTCGAATCATGAACAAATGGGCCTGGCCTCAACCTGTATTGCTCAAGCCAATTGAAGATGGACCTCTCCAGATCAAAGTTTGGAATCCTAAGGTTCGTTCTGTTGTGCCAAATCGGCTGTTGCTCTTACACTAATCGATATTGTCAGATCTACCATGGCGATCGGTTCCACCTAATGCCCATCATCACACCAGCTTATCCCTCCATGTGTGCCACCCACAACGTCTCTTTGTCTACCAAGGCGGTCATTCTTCGTGAGCTCGCGCGGGGCGGTGATATTGTGGACAAGATTTTCATGAAGCAAATGAATTGGAATGATCTCTTCACCCGCCACTCGTTCTTTACGAACGACTACAAGTATTATCTCAGTATTACTGCGTCCAGCAAAACAAAGGAGGCGGAGGCCGTCTGGTCAGGTCTCGTCGAATCCAAGTTGAGACACTTGGTCGGAGCTCTGGACAGAAAGGGAACTATCGCGGTATCGCACCCTTTTCCGAAGGGCTTCGAGCGTACACATACCGTCAGCAACGACCAGGAAGCAGAGGCAGTCAAAAACGGATCTGCGAAGTATCAGGCGAAAGGGACAAAGACTGAGACTACTGATGATGTGGCAGACATTAACCATCAGGTCGCAGCCCAGAATGGTATTCAGCATCCTGAGAACGTGGAAACGGTCGAGCAGAAGACCAGCGAGGAAACGCGGACTATGTATACTACGACCTACTATATCGGATTGGAACTGAAGCCGTTGGAGCCAGGTACGGAATTCCCTTTCCCTTTGAGAACCCACTGACTTTATAAGGCGCATCACGGTCGTTGGATATCTCGACCGACGCTCAAATCTTCAAATCGACATGTACTTCCTGGGCTGGTTTCCAGCCGGGGATCAACGATCTGTCGATCATCCACGTGCGCAAGTAAGTGTTTTTGTCTTCTGAGTAGCCTTATTTGCTCTAATCCGGAACAGCTTCGACTTGCCTGATGATGTTTTCGAGTCAGGAGACACTCGCCCCACCCGGCCTAAGAAAAGGGTTATCAAGAAGACCGAAGCAACCACCCAGAAGCGCAACATCGATTCGTTGGAAGTAAGTCCACGCCATAAGGCCGTCAGAATCTTGAGGGAATATGGGATACACCTTATGTCGATGGTGGTGATATATCTTTTCAATACTTGAGAATAGCTAATGCCGATGATCATCTCACAGGGCGTTCCACACGGAGATTCAAAGCGCCAGGTTACATCCAACAGAATCCAGAGTCAAGCCACTCCTGCCTAGGATCTTTTCGCATACCAGCGAACCACCACCAAATAAGCGAGCACACGCGTCGGGGCTGGTCCCCAAGCAGTCGACAGCGAGACGCTCGACATCAATCTCAAAAAAAAAGAAAAAAGAAAATATTTCAGACACCAGTCACTGGTGTTCCTTCTAGTAATACACAAGACCACCCAAGCTGATTCTGACACTTACCAGCAGTTGATCTAGTCTCTCGTCATCCTGTTTTCCTTACTGCTTTTTGCCGATGAACTTGACAACTGAGTCAGGATTACAAGGTTGGTTCATCCATTTTCTTTCCAGATCTTCGCTATTTCGTCCTTATACGGCCGTTCTTTTTTTTTGTTTTGTTTTGTCTCTTTATTATCTTTCCTTGCTTTCTTGCAAGCGGCAACATAGAGGAAGACGTCTAACATGGACGCATACTTATTTGCACTCAGTGGAGTCGGGATATCCGGTCTTTTTTGACATTTTATTCTCCTTTGTGGTTTATTTGCAGGGTTGCTTTCGTTTTGGGGATCTTGCAGGTGGCTTATATCTATCTGTATATATCGAGTTGCCATATCGTCCAGATAGTTAGCTTCTGGGGTTCATGTACGAGTTAGAGGTAGTTGAATAAAGGTGCTAGTTTGCGTGGCCTACGGGTCACATCAATCATCAACATTGGCTTGACACCGTAAATACAGTTCCACTCTACTTGAAATCGTCCTCCAGGTCATCAAAATTCCACGCTTTCCATATTTTCGCCTTCCGTAACCCACTGAAAATCTACGTGACCTACAGCTCGCTGGAGTCCACCATAGAATCCGGCCGATCATTCTTGAATCCAGGTACTAGTTCTGGGCTTTGCTCGAAGAACGCAACCTGCTCATGCTCCAACCACAGCCTGTTTTGCGGGATGTCTTCGACTTCACGGAAAGCAGCGTCAATTCGGTTAAATCGTGCTAGGCATCTCTTAATCTGTTCAACATAATTGAAGGCGTTCAGGCCATGCGGTAGCCAGAATCCGAAATAGTTCTGGTTAGGAACAGGGTATCCATCTGGCTCCAGAACACCAGCTCGCTCTTGTGGGTTCTGGAAGATAGTGGTTTTCAGACCCGAGTTCATGAACTCTTCAAGTTCTTCTACCATACAAGGACCCAGAATGCCGCTGGCGTGGATTGTCTCGAACAGCTTTGGTAGTGTCACGGAGCATAGACATTCACTGAGCATGGACAGTCACTGAGCCTCGCTTAAACCCCTCGCACACATTAGATAGCTCGTCGCCGGCAGGCCTGCCTCTTTCCTTTTCTCTCCTCATGTTAGAATTTTGTCAGATAATCTACCAATATACTCATATTGCTCGAGACCGTCTGTGACGGCTCAACGACCAGATAAACATTGCCAACATGCCAAAAGATGCCATACAAGCAATA